GGGTGTTAGGCGAGAGCAAGACGACGGCGCACGGGAGAGAAAGCTGTGCGGAGGTGTGTCTGTGTGTGCGGGAGGAGGGAAGGGAGGTGAGAATCTCTCACCCAGCTCTCCAAAGTAGACCAGCACGTCAGCCGCGACGATGAGGTCGAAGCCTGCTCCGCCTGGGGGCAGGAGGAGGTCGCTGGGCGAGGAGAGGCGGGGAGAGGGGAGGAGGCGGGAGGGGCAGGCGAGGGGGAGAGGGGGGGAGGGGAGAGGCATCTTCCCACTCCTCCCCAAGCAGACTGGGATGGCCGCTAGATGGCTGTCTGCTCGATGGCTGTCTCGAGTCTCGAGGCCGCAGCCTCGGCCGATCTCGGCCAATCTCGGCCCTCTCTCGCCTCGGAGCAGGTCGGGCAGGGGCATCGTCTCCAGGTCGAGCGCGAGGAGCTCGTCGTAGAGCGGCCGCTGGTCACGCGCAGAGCCCTGCACGCCGCAGCCATCTGCGGGGGAGGGGCCGAGGGCGTGTGAGCGCGTGTGCGAGGCGGGAGGGGAGGGGAGGCGCAGGGCGTGCGGCGCTCCCGAGCGGGTGCAGGCCGCGGCAATCCGCAGCATCTTTGTCGAGAGGTCGACGCCTGAGCCGAGGGAGGGGCGTGGAGGGCTGTGAAGAGACGGCTCTCGGACGACAGCTGGTGCGGAGAGGGAGAGGGAGAGGGAGAGGGAGAGGAGAGGAGCCTCGAGGTCGACAAGTGCGCGGGACGAGAGAGGGCGGCCACGTGCCTCCGCAGGTCGGCTAGACCTCGGCTAGATCTCGGCTAGATCTCGGCTAGATCTCGGCTGCATCTCGGCTAGGTCTCGGCTAGATCTCGGCTGCATCTCGGCTAGGTCTCGGCTGGATCTCGCCGACGAGAGGGCCGGAGACATGCCTCCGCAGGTGCGGGCCGGCGAGCCCGGTGCCGCAGCCCGCGTCAAGAGCGGAGGCGAAGGGGCGGCCTGTCCTACCGCGCGCGAGGGCGTCGACCGCAGCGCCAGCCATCGCCGGCACGGTGTACTCGAGCTCGGTGAGCTTGCCTATCGGTGTAGGCGATCCGGGCTGCTGCTTCCCCGGGCGGCGGAGGTGCATGCCGGCGCGCGGGGGTGTGCTCGCGGTCGAACGAGTCCGCAAAGTCGTCGAAGAGCGCCTGAGGGAGAGGGAGGGGGGGGGAGGGGTTGAGACGGCAGAGCGCCGAGTCTCTCGGCTTCGAGTCCAGCGGAGAGGGAGCTGAGGAGGGGTGCGTGAGCTCCTCTCGCCTCGACGAAGCCCGGCGCCGCCTTTGAAGGGGCGCCCTCTCCCGCGCCGCCGGCGCCGCCCTCGCCCATCATCGCAGCGAGCATGTGCTCCGCCTGGGAGAGATACAGCCGAGATACACCCGAGATACACCCGAGATACACCCGAGATACACCCGAGATACAGCCGAGATACAGCCGAGATACAGCCGAGATATAGCCGAGATGTAGCCGAGATATAACCGAGATGCACCCGAGATACAGCCGAGATACAGCCGAGATACAGCCGAGATATAGCCGAGATGTACCCGAGATGTACCCGAGATGTACCCGAGATGTACCCGAGATATAGCCGAGATATAGCCGAGATACAGCCCCTTCCCGCCGCGCCTGCGCGTTGCTTGGGTCGACCGCGGCCGCGGTGCGCATCGCGTTCTGCGCCGCCGCCGCGCAGAGCTGCGCCGGCGGCATCCCTCCCTCCGCCGTGCCGAGGAGCAAGTTCTGCGGCTGCGCCGCGAGAGCGCCGCACGCCTCGGGCGAGAGGTCGGCGAGCAGCGTCCCGTACCCGTAGTACAGCTTGGAGAGGTACGAGCCCTCGCCGCCGCCCTCGCCGCCGCCGGCCTGCTCCGCCGACTCGAGCACCAGGATCGCCCGCTCGTACGCGTGCAGCGCGCCGAGCGGCTCCCGCCGCAGCTCCTTGAGCGCCGCGGCGAGGTTGGCCCACGCGTCCCACCGCTCGGGCTCCGCCTCTGCCGCCACGCGGTACATCGTAGCCGCCTCCTCCACCGCCTCCTCCGTCTTCCGGTCGTGCAGCAGCAGAGCGAGGTTGTAGGCAGCGTCCGCGTGCTCCGGCTCCGCCGCCAGCGCGACACGGTAGAGCTGCTCCGCCCGCTGCTCGTGGCCTCCGAGGTCGACAAGAACGCTGGCGAGGTTGATGACGCATGGCACAAAGTGCGCGTCCGCCGCTGCGGACGGCAGGCCGCCCGGCTCGAGCTGCAGGCACGCCTCGTAGGCGGCGACAGCCCGCGCCAGCTCTCCCCGCTGGTAGTGGCCGTTGCCTCGAGCGAGGAGAGAGGCCGCCGCATCGCGAGAGCGAGCGGGGCCGGAGAGGAGGAGCAGCACGAGAAGGAAGAGCTGGGCCATGGCTGGATCGTGGCTTGAGTGGGCTCAGTGTGAGGGGTTGTGCGTGTATCTGAGCGAGTACTGCAGCTGGCTGGCTTGGTGGAACCGACAGAGAAAAAAGTTAGCCGGGATCAGCGTCGCACGGATTTCTCTATTCCTGCTTCAGCCCTTCCCCCGAGCTGCGCGAGAGAGCACAATGATCGGTCGGCTGAAGTGGACCTCGCTCGCGCTCGTCCTCGTCGGCTCGGCCACATCAGAGCCGCTGGAGGCGTGGCGGCGCTTGTGGCGGCGCTCTCCGGCCGAGTTTGAGGGCGAGGTCTCGCGCTCGCTCGCCTCGCGTCTCGAGCGGCTGGGAGGCAGTGTGCACCAGGGCGGCAGAGGCTGGCGGCTGCCGCTGCTGCGGCGGTCAGCGGCCTCGGCGGCGGCGGCGGCGGAGCGGCGACGCGAGGCCGCGCTGCGCCTCCTCCTCCAGATCTGGCGCCAGCGCGACGACCCCGCGACGCTGCTCACCACCTGCGACACCCTCGCTGCTCTGCTCGACGACGGCGACTCGATCGATGAGCTGGAGGCGCTGCTGCCGCAGCTGGCGCACCTGACGACGCGTCTGCCGGCGGACTGGCTCCTCACCTCCGTGCTCGAGCGCTTCGTCCTCCGCGTGTGCGAGTCAAACGTGCACTGGGCGCTGCAGCTCACGTGGATTGCATACAGCGGCCTCGAGGAGAACCGGCCGGAGGCTCCCGCTGCCGCGTCGTTCCCTGCCGCGCACCTCTCGCCGCCGCAGCCCCATCCCTCGCCGCCGCAGGTCTCCACCGGCGACGCCGAGGTGCACGCGCGCTGCGCCGCGCTACTGCACCGGATCGAACAGGCCGTCGTGTACGGCGCAAAGGTGACTTCCGAGACCCTTCCGAGACCCTTCCGGGACACCTCGGCCTCCCTGGGCCTCCCCGCGCCGTGACACGGCCGCGTCGGTCGGGAGGGCGGGGCGTGGACTTTGACGAGAGACTCGAGGCTTTCCCTCGCTCCTCCACTCCCTCCTCTCCCCACCCCTCTCCCCGCCTCCTGCGTCCAGATGGTCAACCGCGACACGCTCCGCTCGGCCGCACTCGCGCACAATGTGCGCCGCTGGCTCGACGAGCTCAAGAGCAGCATGGACCTCACGGGCGGCATGGAGCCGAGGCTCGTCGAGGCGAGCGGGGACGGAAGGAGTGGTGCGGGAGAGGGGAGGAGCGGCGCGGGAGAGCGGGCGGCGGCGCTGCGGCCGGCGAGTGGCGCGGGCTGGAGGGCGGTCGGCGCGGCTCGCTCGCCGCGGTCGGCCGAGGAGGGCGAGGCGGTGCTCGAGGGCTGGCTGCTCAAGCGCAAGGCGCGAGACGCGTGGGGTGTCTGGCGCTGCTGCGGCGAGTCGTGGACGCGGCGCTGGTTCTCGCTGCGCGAGGTAATCATAATCATAATCATAATCATAATAATAGTAGTAGTAATAATAATAACAGCTGGTTCTCGCTGCGCGAGGTTGTGCTCTACTACTACCGCTCGCCGACCGACCGGCGCGCGCGCGGCGCCATCCCCCTCTCGCTCGCTCACGTCGAGCTCCGCGAGTCGCCCACTGGCGGCCAGTACATCAAGCTCTCTGCACGCTTCTCCCGCCGCGCGATCCGCGTCCGCGCGGCGACGCCCGCGCAGACAGAGACGTGGCTGCGCGTGCTGCGCGCCGCGGCGGGCCTGCCGCCCCTCTCGCCGCCGCTGCCGGGCGCGAGCGGCTCGATCGCACAGTGCACCGACCTGCTCTCCGCTTCGCTTACAGAGATGCACAGAGGGCAGCCGCACCAGCCGCAGCCGGCGGCGGCGGCGGCGGCGGCGGCGGCGGCGGCGGCGGCGGCGGCGGCGTCTGCCTCTGGGGCGGCCGTGGAGGCCGCCACGATTGGCTCCGCGGGCGGCGCGAGCGATCGGGCGGCCGCCGATGCTGAGCGCGGGGGCGACAGCGGTCCGCCTCCGCCTCCGCTCGAGGTTGGCGTGTGGTCCGCCGTCGGCGCCGCGCACCTCTCGACGTCGCAGCGCTGCTCGTGGCTCTACCTGACGGCGCAGCGCGACTTTGTGCGCTCGCTCGCCGCCCTGTCGGAGGAGCTCTACACGCCCGGCTCGGGGCTGCCAGAGATCGAGCGGAGGCGCGACGCCGCAGCGAGGCGGAAGCAAGCCCCCCTTCACCGTGACGCGTCCTCCTCCCTTGCAGGCCCGCGAGCGAGGCGGCGAGGCTGAAGCTCGCCGCGCTCGTCGGAGGCATGGCGGTGCCGCCTCTCGCCTACGTGCCCCTCTGCTCCTCGTCGGACCCCTTCCGGCGCGTGGTCCGCATCCCGCCCGACGAGGTTGGCGTCTTCGTGACGCGCGAGCGCGCCTCGGCGCTCCTCCTCGTCGAGGTGGTCGCCGACCGGCGGCGGCGGCGCCTCTCTCAGCTCTTCGAGGCGGTGCGAGCCGAGCGGTCGGGCACCACCTTCGACGCGCTGCGGCAGAGGCAGCCGACGTGGCTCGACCAGCTGATGCGCCGCTCCGACGCAGAGGACGAGGCCCCTCCGCCGCCGAGCGACGTCGCGGCGCGGCTGGGCGGCGCGGCGGCGGCGGCGGCCGCCGAGGCGGGATCCGCGGAGGGGGTCGCGGACGGGGCCGGGGGCGCGGCTGCGCGGGGCGGCCGCGCGTCGCGGGAGGAGGTTGGCAGGGTGGGCAGCCTCGACCAGCTGTACGGCGAGCCGTGGGCGGACAAGGTTGAGCGGATCCGGCGCGCTTCGCCGCACGGGCGCCGGTCGGGCTGGGCGCTGGTGCCGCTCCTCTCCAAGGCGAACGACGACGTGCGGCAAGAGGTGTTTGTGATGCAGCTGCTGCGGCTCCTCGAGCGCGCCTTCCCCGCGCCGCTGTGGCTGCGGCCGTACGCCATCCTCTCGACGGGCCCGCGCTCGGGCCTGATCGAGTTCTCGCCAAACACGCAGTCGCTGCATGCCCTCAAGAAGCTTCCTCGCTTCGGCTCGCTCGAGGAGCACTTTCTCGACCATTACGGCGACGCGTCGTCGCCTCGCGGCGCCGCCGCCCGCCACAACTTTGTGAGCTCGCTCGCCGCCTACTCGATCGCCACTTACCTGCTCGGCGTCAAGGACCGGCACAACGGCAACATCCTGCTCGACCGGGACGGCCACCTCATCCACATCGACTTTGGGTTCGTGCTCGGGCGCGCGCCGGGCGGCCGGGCGGCGCTCGAGGCGGCCGTGCCCTTCAAGCTCACCCGAGAGATGGTGGGCGTGCTGGGCGGCCCCACTGCGCCGCTCTTCACCGAGACGCTCGTCGACCTCTGCACCTCTGCGCTGCGGGCGGCGCGCGCACACGCCGACTCGCTGCTCGCCCTGATCGAGATGACGGGCTACCGCTCCGACATGCTCTGCTTCGCCTCCGGGGTCGAGACGCCGCTCCGGCAGGCGCGCCGCGCCGCGATTGGAACGGCAGGCGCCTCAGCCCCGCCCGCCCACGCCTCAGCCGCGCTGGTCCGCGCCGCACAGGTGCGCGACAGGCTCATGCTCGAGGTTCCAGAGGAGCAGCTGCGCGAGCGAGTCGAGCAGCTCGTCTCTCTCTCGTACAACAACGTCTACACCCGCGCCTACGACGAGTTTCAGCGTTGGTCCAACGGGATTGCTTGCTGAGGCGCGAGCGGAGGCGGGGGGAGAGGCGAGAGCGCGAGTCAGAGTCCCAGGAGACGGACCACACGCGTATAGGGGTCAATGGAGTTGGCGATTGGCGCGAGATATAAGGCGAATAAAATTGGGCCATGCAGTTTTGTGCTGTAAGGGCTCACATGCTCGAGAGCTTTTTCCTACTGTGCTGCATGAGTGGTTGGGCAGGTGTGAACAACACCTCCCCTGACCACGGCGCCGCGCAGGCGCCTGTTGATGGGTCCAGGTGATAGCCCTGGGTGGGCAATGCACATATACGATATACCATACGGCATACGCCTACGGCTTTAGTTGGACCTCAGATCGCCCGACCGCGTCCCGGTGCTCTGCCCGGTCGGATTTGTGACGCCGCCGCACCGCGCCGCGGCCGGGGGCCCTTCGGAGGCCGAGGATGGCCGTGGCGGACCGGGACAAGCTCTGTGGGAGGTAAAGTGTCTCAGTGTATATATTGTAGAGACCAACACCATGCCCACAATATCTCTCAGTCTAGCTAAGCCAGGGGAGGCGATGCCGGGGCCGTACAGCAGCTTGATGGTGCTTCGCCGGCGTGCGGTGCCGGACGGGCGGTCCGTGGGACAAAATCGGGGGACAACCCCGACGGCGCCCTGATTCGACTTTTAACCGTTCAAACAAAGACGGCCGCACGCGCCGCAGCGCGGCGCGGGCGGCCGTCAGGAGCGGATCCGTCAGTTAGTTGTATTCACGCCGGCACGTGTCCCCCACAACCTGCCCAACCATTCCTCCAGCAGAGTAGCCGAGGAGTTGTGTTGTGAATTTCAAAAATCGACTATCGAGCCCGAGAGCATGTCCACATACCTCATACGTGTGTGCCGACACCCTGTGAGCCTGTGCCACCTCCGATCCTGTGGTACGTGTTTGTTATGGCCGGTTCCCCAACGAACACACCAGCGAGGGAGGGAGACGATCGAGGGGTCCCGTACCATGCGGAATCGACCCTATCCCAGTGCAATGGCGTGGTGCCCGCCGTCTCGAGGGGAGGGCGGCTTGTAACTGAGGTTCGCCGTCAGAGACAGTCGTCCTCCCCTCAACCGTGGGGGGCGTACTGGCTTGATCCCACCGGCTAAGGGCGGGCAGTCTTCCGTGACTGCTGTCACGCTAAGGCCGACGCCCCCTTGTCACCACCCGATGAGAGGGGATCACGGGGTATACGGACTGTGCGCGCCCGGCCGGCTTAGCGGCTTACTAGGTCCCGCCCTTCTCTCGGAACACGCGCGCCGGCCCAGGTGACTCGCTTGCGAGGTAGATCCCGTTCCAGCCAGAGGCTGCGTGACCACCATGGAGACGTCCGGCGGCGCCGAGGAGCGATATCGTGCCGATCTCCTGGCAGATGATGTTGAGCACCTCGGCGATGCGAGCGCGGCGGGAGGCGCCGCCGCCGAAGACGGAGTCGGCGACGCTCGAGACGACGCTGAAGGAGGGCGCGTTGGACGCCGGAGCGGGCGGGTCGTGCTGCGACGCGCCGAGCCGGCCGATGCTTGCTGTCGGCAACAGGTTGGAGAGCGCGCCAGTCGAGATGCCCCCGAGCCTTGTGCACTGACGACGGCACGCCACGGGCTTCGCGTGAGGCGTGCGAGGCCGCGCGCGAAGTACGGTGGGGAACCCTTGCGTGTGGTCTGTCGGTATTCATCCATTTTGCGCGTACTCGTGGTGTTGTAAGGACGTACTGCTCTGAGAACCAGACGTCTCGAACACAGAGAGCCCGGCCCTTACGGAGTCGCGCACGCACAGGACACCACCAGAAACATAGACCACCATGGCAGTCCCCGTCGACGCGCGGGCGAGTCGGATGGGGCTCGGCCCGCTTGCTCGGGCGCACGTTAGCACGCCGTGGGCTCAGGCCCCCCCGTTCTCACACCGACGCCGCTCGTTCAGGCCTCGCCGAACTCGAACTTGAACTCGTGGCCCTCCTCCTGCGAGGCCCACTTTGCGCCCGCGATCGTGAAATCGAAAGCCTTGCCATTCGCCTTGAGCTCCTTGGAGAGGTACTTCACGAACTTCTTGTAGCTGCGTGGGAGCAGCGCGACGGGAGGTGAGGGTTCAGCGGCAGTAAGGCGCGTGCGGGAGGGGGAGCGTGTGCGGGCGTGTGCCGTGTGCGGGGCGGGTGTGGAGGCGTGTCACTTCTTCCCGTTCTTCGTGATGGTCATGGAGGTGGGCGAGCCCGGCTTCGGGGAGGTGGAAGACTTCGCCATGTTGTTGATTATGACGTCTGCGCGCGCGCCGGGGGGGGGAGCACCCGTGAACAGGCCGTGGCGGTAACGATTGCCGGGAGAAGGGAGAGTGGGATGGGGCTGAGGGGCGTGTACGGCGGCGGGCTGGGCGGCGGCGAGGGTGGCAGCGGCGAAGGGTGGGTCCGCACGCAGCGGGGCGCGCGGCTGTGGTTCGCGGGGGCGGCGTGCGGATATTTCTTCTCTGCCGCAGCGTCTGCGACGTCTGCGCGCGACGAACGCTGTGTACACCCCGGGTGTGGCGGCGGGGTGTCGGAAACGAGCCGTGGCGGGGTGGGCGATGCGCCGCGCCGCGCCGACGGCAGGCGGGGGTGGGACGCGGGCGCCCTCAGAGGATGAGTTCGCTACACATACTATCAGCCACCTGCAAATCGGCTTTTTTTTTGAGGCGCTGTTGCGGCAGTTGATGTGAACTCGTCTCGTCACACGCCAAGGGCGTATGCTCTGTCGAGATGTGAGGCGCATGCGCCCAGGAGGGGAGGGCGCATGCGTAACGACGCTGCTAGAGAAGCCTGCCTTTCGGGGCCCAGAGAGAAAACTTCTGATGCCATGCGTGACCTAGTAGTGTCCCCAGCTCTGGGCGTGTCCACGTTGGAGCCAGGTGTGGTGTGGACGCGAGAATAGCTCCGCCATTCATGGAGGCAACCGATGCGAGTCGACTGGTGTGTGTCGTCGTGGTTTCGTATCAAGAATACTCACTCACATACTCCCATTGCGCCTTTCATAACAGGGGAGTTGTAGTCCATCAGCCCCGACCGGCAGCACGCTGTTGGTCGGTTCGAGAGGTGGCCTCCGCCAGAGGTCTGCGTGGGCGCCTCTCCACCGCCTCCCTCCTTTGCCCCGAGCGTCGTTCCGCCCTCCATCCACACCATCCTCGCGAGCCACCATCTATGTCTCGCCTGACCACGACCTCACAAAGGCGCGTGGCGACGCCCCCTCGCAGGGCCAGATCACTTTCCTGGTCGTAAAAGCTTGGCGCTACGAGAGGACCAAAGTGGTAAAGGTGGCACTCTCCCCTGACCCGATCAAAAGCGTAAAAGCACCTGAGGCAACAAAACGTACGTGTTTGGTATTGCTAAAAATCTCTCTCTCCCGAGGCTCCCACCTCCAGCAGAAAATAATAAGAGAAACTGCAGAAACCTTACCCTCAGGCTAAAAAGCCGTAATGTGGGCACCGCTCGCGGCTCGACCGGGCACACCGACTCGCGGTATCCAAAATGCGCCTGCGGGCGGACCCTCACAGCTCACAGCTCACATACCCGGAGAGGTGGACTGCTGACAGGTTGCGATGAGGACGCCCCGCGGTCCCCCCGAGACGCGAGACCCGACGCGCCGCGAGGTTTCTCGCGGGATTCCGATGCGTGGTTTCGATCGTTCGGGTGAGTTCGACAGAGAGAGACTAACCGCTTACGCACGAGCACGACTGGTGAGGGGAGACACAGAGCGCCCTCCAGCCACCTCCCCGCGCGGGGCCGCTGCGAGACGACCCGGGCGCCCTGCGACCAAACTGGTCTATTACTACCCCGTGCCCAGTGTCGTGAGAGGGAGCTTTGTTGTATGTCTTTTAGGTTACTGGGAGAAAAAAGGACAGGGGTGTGTGTTCTCTAGGCCCCTAGGCCCTACGCGCGGCGTGAGAGCTTGGAAGCGAGCTTTGCACGGCGATCGAGCGAGGATGGCGCGGTTCACCCCCTTCCTTCACCGAAGCGATGGAGATAGATGCGTTCCGCGTGGTGTGACTCTCTCTCTCTCTCTCTCTCTCTCTCTCTCTCTCTCTCTCTCTCTCTCTCTCTCTCTCTCTCTCTCTCCCCTCTCTCTCGTTGTAAAGTTCTATTACTAAATTTCTATTACTATCTTTGAACAGTGCAACAACAGCCCGCCGCATCGTGCGTCCTTCAAACATAGTCTAGGTTGAGCCGAGGTGTTGAGGTCCAGGTCGCGTTGTGGCCATGTGCGAAGATTCGACCCCAGCCCGCACGGCTGGCCGCATATGGCACGGTTCCAGGGTATGGACATGCTCAGGCCTCGTCGCTCTCAGCGTCGTGTGGGCCTTGAGCTGTGCCGCTGCGGCAAGCGCGGCCGTCAAAGATCAGACGCCCACGCACCAGTTTGAGGTGCATCGGCAGCTGCTGGAGGCGCGGCCGTTGCCTGCGCCCCGTCGGTACCAGGGCTACAAATAGCATCTTTGTTGCCCATAGGAGCTTCAGCGAACACGTGATCACGTGCGCTTGAGGCGTGTCAACGGCACCGCAGGGCACCACGCAAAGCAACGCGGCAATAGCTCGCACCACGTGAGACGCGCCAACCACTCGCACCACGAGCTGCGCGCGTGGCTCAACTTGAGCGGCACAGAGAGGCGCGACGCAGAGGAGGGAACAGGGCTGCGTGGGGAGCTCGATAAGAACGTCGGCCGCAGGTCGCAAGCGATGCATCAGATGGTGGTGACAATACCGGAGGGCTATGGTCCGGGAGAGAAGGTGGTTGTCTCAGCTCCTGACGGGCGAAGCTTCGTGCAGGTTGCTAATGCTCCCACCCCCGCACACCCCTCTGTTTCCCGAATAGCCACCACCACGTACCGGAGTCAGTGATGGCTGCTAAGCATTTGGTGCAGGTGACTGTTCCTCCGGGCGCGCGTCCAGGCCAAAGAATCGCGGTTCGGATCGGCTCCAGCGGATTTAGCGGCGGCGGCTTCAGCGGCTCGCTCAGCGCGAGGCCCATCGCAAAGCTGCGGTCGCCTTCTCTGAAGAGAGGGATCGCCGGAACGGCCAAGCACGACGCAGCGATCGCATTCCCCTCGGCGCTGAACCAAGAACCCATGAAGTTCGAACTGAACGGTGACAGATGATCGTGCTTCGTGGGGCGGGGGAGCGGTCGTTATGCGCGTAACAGTGCTTCAGCCTTCACACAAAAACAGTGATACACAACCCCGTGTAGGTCTTAGGATGACACTCCATGCGCCTTGCGGGCAGACAGAGCCCTTAGCCACCCTTCTATATCTTGCGCGGTCAAAATCGGAAGGATTTGTTGAATTGAATCTCGCCCCAGGGTAGCCAGGCAACACACTTCTTCACAGAATGGTTGATAAGAACAAGAAACTCAGATCGCACGACAGTGAGGGCGCAGTACAACAGTCACCCTCAGCTAGCCTCACAGTTCACAATCACACCGGGGTCGTTGATCCCGCGATCATCATTCCGTCCGATCATCCTACGACGCGTGCGCACAATGCCGGACCCGCTAAACGCCTGTGGGGACCCAGAGATCTATTGTGATAGTTTCCGCATCGATCTCACCTCCGAGAGTTTTGGTCAATGCAAGTGCGGTTTCAAGAACGCGGACCACCCGGTGAAGATGAAAGACGTTGAAGTGGAGGCGCCAGCGCCAGCGCCAGCCCCAGCCCCTGCCGCAGATCAGATGGATTCGGCAGCTGCAGCCCAACCGCCGGCTGCGCCTCCTGCTGTCGCTACGCCAGCGGGCACTTCCAGCCAGCCTAACGGCTCCTTCCTGAGCAAGTGCTGTCCATGCCTCGGCGGAGGGTCGAGCAGTGTGCCAAAGCGAGTGTCTCGGCTGAGCGTTCCAAAAAAGCCGACCATCTGCGGCTCCCTCGTTTACGACGACTCTGCCCAGGGAACGCTTCAGCTGCACTACACACGTGATGCGCCCGTCGAGGGTGCTCTCGCATTCTTCGAGACGGAGGACGCGGTGCCTGAATTCAAGCTCAATAGCAATTGCGGCCGGTCGGACATCATAAAGGGAGTGGGTGGGCCGAACCCAAGGAAGTACTACGAGGGATGGAGCCAATTTGTCAAGCTAGCGCAAGGATGGACGGGAGACTTCACCCACCTGGCCAACAAGGACGCAAAGCCGGTCGCTCTCTATATCACCGACGAAAATATCAAGGTAACGCGCGTCAAGCTAGATGAGCCGATCGACCTGTCAGAGGTGGTGTGCGTCGCCATTGTCCCCAAGGACTGCTTAGCTTACTCTGGCGTCACGAAACTCGAGCTCGGCATGTTCAAGGTAAACGCAAAGAATGCGAACGGGGTGTCACTCGACATTGGGGCGGCGTCAAGCCCAACTAGGTCAGCGCCTCCAAGCCCAATCAAAGATGTGAAGCCATCCCCGAGTCCCGCACCAGCAGCCACGGAAGTCCCGGAGGAGGAATCAGCACCGGCAGCATGAAACAGGCATGATATGAAACAGGCACAAGCCTCTCTCCACACACCCAGTCACCACACGTCTGTTTCCCATCGTTTCCACCCCGTATTCCGCGTGAGATATAACGAGAGCAGAAATGGAAAGCTTTCAAGCAGCGCGGAAGGTGCCGCTGGCTTCCGCGGCAGCCATGCTTGCGGCCCGGGCAGCGGCGGCCTGGCCGGCAGTTCGGGCGCTGCGCCCGGTTTGCGGAGTGTCGCCGCAGACGCGCGAAGCCGAAAGATCCAGCCCGCCATCCGAGGGCTCAGGAAGGCGCCCCTTGCGCTCGGCCTCGGCGTGCGCGAGCGCCGCGAGAATGCCGGGGTGGTCGTCGAGGTAAGGCCCCTGGTGCGTGCGCTGCCGCAGGCTCCGGCTGGCGCTTGATGGGGCTTCCCTCGTCGCCAGATTGCACTTTGAGGGGGGCTGCGCGTGCAGGGTGGCGGCGCGCTTCCGGGCTGGCGCAGGCGCTGCCTGCCGCTTGCGCCGCTTGGCCGACGGCGAGGCAGCCTGCGGCGCGGAGAGGCGGGCCTGCAGCTGGGACGCGGTGGCCAGGATGCTGCAGCCCGCAGAGGGGCTTTGCAGGGGAGCGCGGCTTTGCCCACCTCTTCGTCCTCCTCTCCCGTCCCTTCGTCGCCGTCCGAGTCACTGCGCACGGCCCGGAAGTAGGAGAGCACGCGCTCGGGCACGTTCGCCGCCGGCTCCCAGCTGTTGTGCGACGGCGGGTAGCCCTACCGACGCGAGGGAGGCGCAGGTGGGGCAGGCTAGGGGGGCGAGGGCGAGGGCCGAATCCGCGCGCCTTCCAGCGGATCAGGTACTCGGTGACGCCGCCGTTGCGCCGCTTGCCGAGGACATCCTGAGGGAGCGGGCGAGTCGTGGCCTCATCTGGGCAGAGGGGGCACAGCCAGAGCCGCTCTCTTCTCTCTGGAGCGGTCCTGCACGTCGTAGACATCGCCCGCCGCCCCTGCCCGCTGCTTTGGCTGCTCTCCGCGCGACGTGGCGTGGAGGGAGAGGTCGTACCCGTCCTCCGCGTACATGGCGGTGAGCCGACGGGCGAGGTCCGCGTCCCCCGGCCGGTTTGCGAGCAGGTAGGCTGCCGTCACCTGCACGGTCCGTGGGCAGGCCGTGGGCAAGCCGTGGGTGCGGCATCGACCTCCGCCTCGCGGCTGCGTCCCGGCTGCATCTGGGAGGGTCTCGCCTGCTCGTCGGGGTGGTACTCCGCCTCCCTCCCCGCCGCCTCCTCCGCCGCAGGGTCCATGTCCGCGTACTCGGGCCGCAGCGAGTAGAAGAGCACGTGCCTTGTCTCGTCCCGGCCGAGCGTGCCAGGCCCGCGGTGGAGCAGCGTCGACAGCGCCAGGTTGCCGTCGCCCGCGTCGGGGTGCGGCTTGCCTACCCTCGGCCGATCTTGGCTGCCCTAGGCTCTTCTCTCTCTCTCTCTCCATGTCGAGGGCAGGCTCGCGGGGGGCGGCGCGCCGAGCGAGTGCCGGCACAGCTGCGGCGCGCCCTCCTCGAGCAGCTCGCCAAACGCGGCGCGGAGCGCGTCCCCGAACTCGGCGGGGCGGCTCTCGCGCCGGCGCGAGGCGTGGCGAGGCGGGATGCCTCCTGCGCCCCTCGCGCCGCCGCCGCCGCCGCCGCCGCCACAAGAGTCGCACCGGAAGCCGATGCGGAGGTGACGGCGCTCGCGGTACATCTTGTCGGTGAGCGGGACGGCGGCGTCACACGCGGTGCACTTGGCCGTCCATCCCGTGGGCCACGTCCTGCTGCTGTCGTAGGGAGCGCAGCGGGTCGGCGCCTGCCCCGGCCGCAGGTGGATGAGGCCAATGAGCTCGCGGTTGCACGTGTCGTCGGCGTGCGGGAGCTGCGGCTGCTGCCCAGGGTGTGTCGAGAGCACGGAGACGTACGGAATCGAGACGTACGGCGTGCTGAAGACCTCACGCGCCGCCTGCCGCACGGTGGGAGACGAGCACACGGCGTCGCGAACGCACTGCAGCAGCGAGCCTCCGATGCGCAGCTCCTTTGCGTTGCTGATGTCGTGGCCGCCGCCCGCCTGCGCGCGCGCTAGGAGTGCCGCTCGCAGCGATGGCTCGAGGAGGGTGGATGGCGTCTCAACAAAGCCGTGCCGCAGGATCTGCGATGCATCCTGGTTGCGCACCGCCGACCTGTCGCCGGAGGAAGCTCGTGCTTCTCCGCTGACGGCACCAGCTGCACTCTTGGCACCTCGTCGTCGCTGCTGGCGCGAGTCCAGCAGCGCCTGGCCGATGCGGGCCACGGAGTCGTCCTGGCGAGCGCGCTTCATCGATGTTCGGGTGGCACTGCCGACATACCGGGCTGGTTCCGGCTCCTAGCCAGATAGGGGATCGCTGCCTCCCACATAGGTAGGTAGGTTGGCCTTGTTTGAGAATTTCCTGAATAGGTAGGCGCCCCGTTTTCTTTTCATTTTTTCGCTTCGCTGCGCGGCCTGGGGATAGCTACTCGAGTAGGTAGGTAGGGCGTTTTGGCACGAGTCAGAGAGAGATTTTAGAAAACCAACAAGAAATCACGACCGTCACAGTGATTTGGGCTCGGCAGCTTGTCAGCCCTCAGCCGAAGCTGGGGCCGGTCCCGTAGCCGAGAGAGCCCGCGCCGATGAGTTCGACGCGGTCGGGGGGCCTTGCGGAGAGGCCAGCGAGGTGTCGAGTCAGTGTCAACAGACCCCCTATCTGGCTAGGAGCCGGAACCCAGGCGGGGGTGAAAAAACATAAGCGGGGTGCGCGCTGGGTGCGCGCTGTGCCGCTATGTTCGGCGTCGCCCATCTCTTCTTGAGAATACCTGCTTCATCGTACATCGACTGTCGTGTGGGGCAAGCTGGGACGCGAAGAAAGAATTCAAGTCGCAAACTCTCTCTCGCCACCACACTCTCGCTCCTTAAAATCCTGTGTGTGTGCGCCTTGCGAGGGGGTGGCGGCAACAAGCCTGCGGGGATGCTGCGTGCGCGGATGCAAATACGGGGAGAAATGGGGCCCGCCCGCGGGCGCCGGCCGCCGCGCCCGCGGGGACGTCCCGGGGAGACGGCCGAGAGCTCTCGCGAGCTTAGTGAGCGTGTGCGCGGCACGATTGCCCGCCTGTACTGGGTCTGGGAACTGGCGCGAGTCGGAAGGCTGCGACCGTCAAGTGTTCCCGACGAAAGCTGCCATATCGCTGGGGTGAACCGCCACAAACCACGGCCGGCCGGCCGGAGGCGACACCCGACACGTCACAAGTCATAACTACACAGCACACGAGACAAGGCGCGAGACAGTACGGAACGCCTTCGATTAAGCCGAGCAGCGCCGGTGCGGTGCGGTGCGGTGCGGTGCGGTGCGGTGCGGTGCGGTGCGGTGCGGTGCGGTGCGGTGCGGTGCGGTGCGGTGCGGTGCGGTGCGGTGCGGTGCGGTGCGGTGCGGTGCGGTGCGGTGTGTGTGTGTGTGTGTGTGTGTGTGTGTGTGTGTGTGTGTGTGTGTGTGTGTGTGTGTGTGTGTGTGTGTGTGTGTGTGTGTGTGTGTGTGTGTGTGTGTGTGTGTGTGTGTGTGCGCGCATGTCCCGCGCCGACGCGCGGAGCGACGCTAGGCACGCCCCCGCTTCGAACCGCGGACATTCGGCAGGCCCTTCTGCCGCTCTCTCTGCCCTTCGAAGAAGGCCTTGACCTTGGCGACCGTCAGGTTGGCGCTCTCGCCCCAATGCGCCTCGTGCGCCTCGGCCACCTTCAGCAAAGTCGCCTTGCAGCCTTTGCTCTCGCTGAGCTTGGAGATCTTGGTCTCCTCGGGCTCGTCCACCTTGTCGCCGAGCAGCGCGCCCATGACGGCCACGCAACACCTGGCGACCATGGGCGGCACATAGCCACCCTCCAGCGCCGCTACGGTGGGCACGTCCGGCAGCGCCGTGAGCATTGACTCGGTCATCGCGCCGAAGCTCTCCGGCGCCAGCTTCGCATGGAAGCCCTCGCCCTCGGCCGCGTCGAAGCCGGCCGAGATGAGCAGCAGCCCTGGTCGAAACGCCTGGAGAATAGGCAGTACCACGAGCTTGACGGCGACGGCGTAGTCCGCGTAGTGCGGCGGCCAATCCGCGGAGCCCTCCCACATTATGTTGACGTTGAAGCCTGCGCCCGCGCCCTCGCCGACCTCCTCGATGGCGCCCGTGCCCGGGTAGCGAAGGTCGGCGTGCAGCGAGATCACCAGGACGGAGGGGTCGGACTCGAAAATCTCCTGCGTGCCGTTGCCGTGGTGCACGTCGAAATCAACGATGGCGATGCGATCGACGCCATCCTGCTGCGCCGCTGCCGCCGCGACCGCGACTGAGTTGTAGTAGCAGCCGCCCTCTGCAAAATCACCCTCGCCGCCCTCGTCTGGCACGCCAGTGCGGCTCGCGTGGTGGCCCGGCGGCCGCGCCAGGACAAACGATCGGCGAGGGCCGTGATCGCCGAGCACGTGCTTCGTGGCGTCGATGACAGCGGCGGCGGCGACGCGAGCGGCCGACTCGGTGCCTTCTGTGAAGAAGGAGTTCTTGGATCTTGCTCTTGCTTTGCGCCGCCGCATTACGAGCCACCTGGTCGAGGTGCTTGCGCAAGTGCACGCGCTGCAGCTCCTCGTCGCTCGCCTCCCGGCCGCACTGCAGCAAATCGCAGCGTGTGGTGATGCCAGCTGCTTGCAGCGCGCTCATCGCGGTGGTCACACGGTCCGGATGCTCTGCCTGTCCGCGCCAGTTCGGCGGTGGCGTGTGCACAGGCGATGCGAAGTACGACATTGCGACTATGGGATTGCTCCCCATGGGATTGCTCCCCATGAGGATTGCCTCCCAGGAGAACCGGGCGTTCAGGCTGATCTGTGAATCCCCCTGTCTGCTATCTTGTGTGATGCTATCGTACGCCAGTGGGACACTGGCGGGGCTCTTTCGAGCCCGCGGTGCCGCTGCAGCGCCACATGTCCGCCGGCAGACGAGAACGGGACTCGGGCGCCTGGGGCGCGAGGGTCCGACACACGAGTTCCGCGCACGGACGGACGTAACGATCCGGCCATCGCGTCACGTTCCACACCTTACGGTGGGAGTTATTCTATGTCGGTTCCTCTCCTCGCGTTGTTGGATAACCTACGTAGCCGCTGCGCGGCTATCTCCGATTATCCATCGCGTCCGAGTCCCCGTTGTTCATGCTGATATAGATTGTCATTGAGATTGGTGCTAAAATCGACTCCTGGGTTGGCTGGCCCCGAGAGCTGCGTCTCGAGGTCCCGGTGCCGTTGCCAGACGACCCCGAGCGTCGGCGCCCAAATAAGGCCCATCGCGCCGATTGCCGGGGAAGTCGATCCCAGTGAGTCTCAAACGGCCCATCGACGAAGTTGGGGTCGTTGCCCGGTAGGAGGGTGGCGGCCGTACCTGGCTGCCCCGGGCTCGGTGGGGTTCGCCCCACCTTTGCTGGGATGCAAGGCCAGCTGCTCTGCAGTGTGTCATGGCTCGTGCCATATGTCACGGGCTCATGTGATTGTCGCGTGGCGAGTCTCACGACGTGGCGATTAGGTACGCTCACGTTGTCTCACGAGTGGCGATTAGGTACGCTCACATCGTCTCTCACAGCGTGGCGATTAGGTACGCTCACGTCGCGTCTCGTCGCGTGTGGCGAAACCGATTCGGTCCGCTCCGGCGTGTCTCGTTGCGGCGATTAGGTCCGCTCACGTCGTGTCACCTCACGAGTGGCGATTAGGTGCGCTCACACGTTGTCTCACGACGTGGCGATTAGGTACGCTCACACGTCGTCTCACGAGTGGCGATTGGTACGCTCACACGTTGTCTTTTCTGCGGGTCCCTCTCTGGGCCGCTCTTCTGCGGGTCCCTCTCTGGGCCGCTCTCCGCGCGCCACACACCACACATGTCACAAATCAATTTTTCAATGGAAAAGAAAGAGAGAGCGCTGGGAGAAAGAGAGAGTAGACTGAGGATGCAGGATGGCACGCGCACTCCACTCATCGATGCGGTGATCGATAATTCACGCACACCGTTAGCGGCTGCGCATATTTGACAGTTCTGTGTTGGCAGCGCCGCGCGCACCGCGGACCCAGCCGCGCCACGCCGCGCTCTACGCTGAGGGCATGATTGTCGCAATCCAGTCGGCACTCGCCGCGTCCGAGCCCGGACACAGCAGCCACGTGTCGGAAGCCTTGCCGTCCGGCACGACTCGGAACGCGGTCTCGTAGTCCTCGATCGGATCGTCGAGCACCGCGGCCTGCACGCGGTAGCCGAGCTGGAGCCGCCCCACCTCGGTCGTCATCGCCTAGAGAGGGCAACCGCGGCGACGCTCTCACCCTCCTGCAGAGGCGCGGGCCGGCAAGCGGAGGCAGCGCCACCTCGTCCGTATACTGCCGCAGCGTGAGCCCGCCACCGGAGCCGGGCTCCGAGAGGAGCGCAACATACGCCCACGCAAAGGTCTGCTCCTCGTCGGCGCCCGCGTCCTCGGCGCCCTCCGTCCCGTCCGCCCCGAGCGGCGGCGGGGAGGCCTCGACCGAGGCTCGCGACGGCTTGGTGGCCGGCTCGGCCTCCTCCTTCTTCTTGCGGAAGAAGGAGCGCGCAAAGGAGGGCGAGCTCTTGGAGATAGTCTCCGAGCGCGCGAGGTCGTCGTCGGTCAGCTCGGCGGCGCGGTGCGCCTCCCACTTGACCTCCATCCACGCCGAGCGAACCACCTTCGCCTCGCCACCGATGCTGCCCTGCGCCACCTGAAGGCGCATCGGGCGGAGCAGCGGGTCGAGGGCGGCGCGATGAGGCGGACGCGACCCGTCGCGGGCGGGCGGGGGGGGGGGGGGGGCTCGAGGGGCGCACCTTCGGTGGCCCGATCCAGAACTGCAGCAGCTTTGCCCAATCGTCGGCCACCTCCTTGTCGCCATGCCTAGAGAGTGGGCCCGCAGCCTCAGCGGGGCGGCGTGGCAGGCGGCGCGCGCCAGGCGTTCGCACGCACCCGAGCTCCATAAGGCCCGACTCGCGGTCGGGCGTGGAGAGCAGCACGCGGTGCTCGGTCTTGTGCGTCTTGCCGAGAGCGGTCTGGACTTTGGTCGCATCCTTGAGATGGATGACGGTGGGGCTCTTCTTGATGGCCGCGTCCTTCGAGTTGTTGAAGTAGGTGAGCTGCCTACGCGCGCGGAGGGGGGCGGGCGCGGTGGGGAGGCGGACGCGATCGCGCGAGAGAGTGGGAGGCGGGGCTGCCCTGTGCGCACGACGGTGCCCTCCTCCGGGCCGGCGTCCGTCATCACCTCGAGGACGAACCAGCGCTGCCCCCACGGCTTCGCCTTGCGCGTCTCGGCGCGCTTGTACAGGTAGCCCGCCTTGAGCTGCTCGGTCAGGGTCGCCACTGCCTCGCGGGTGCCTACAGGCCAACCCCACCCCGCCCGCGGTCAGCCGCGAGGGTGGTGGGCGGGAGAGCCGCTGCCTCGCTGGAGCGCGCCCGGCGCGGCAACCTCCGTCGGGATGCAGTTGACGTTGAGCGTGGAGAGGAGATGGCGCATCTCGCTCTGCCCCGTCGCGCGCATGCGGAGCAGCGTGCCGTCCGTCGTCTCGACGACGATGCCCCACTTGTAAAAGTCGGCGCCCTGCGCGCGCGTGGCCGTCTTCATCGCAGTGGACTGCAGCGACGCGGACGGCTCGCCGAGCGGACCCTTGGCGGCCGCCTGTCGAGCGAGGGGGGAAGGGGGCGAAGGGGTCGGTTGGAGGGCGCGCGCCGCGGCTGCGCGCCGCGGGGGCTGCGGCCGCGCTCGCCTTCTTCTGCTCCTCGGGGTAGATTTGCAGCGCAGACGACTTGAGGACAAACCAGTGGCGCGCCCACACCTCGCCCTCGGGCGTGTCGCGCGGCAGGTCGCACCAGCCCTGCGCGAGCACCGCGTCGATGGCGGGCTTGGCGCTCGCGTCGCTGGGCGCCGCAACCTTGAGCGAGGCGGCCCACTGCAGCATGCTCTCCTTGCTCTTGGTAGCGAGCAGCCACGTCTTGAAGGAGCACTTGATGCTGATCGTGTGCATCGACGCGTTGCGCGTCTCCTCCACGCAGTTCTCGACCGGGATGAAGCCGAGCGCCTATGTGCGGACGCATCACGCGTGTCGCTGACTCGCCCCCCTCGCCTCCTCGGGCCGGCAGGGACAGCCGCCGCGCCTGGCCGAGCACGGCGCGCTGCATGTCGGCGAAGTACATGAGGATCCCGTTGGAAAAGAGCACGAACCAGTAGTGCTTGAACTGCGTGCCGCTGCCGCTCTGCGCCGGCTCCTCCTTGAGCAGCCAGCCGTGCGCCACGTTGGCGACCTTCTCCTGCAGCATGATGACCTCCTGCAGCCGCAGCTGCCACGTCTCGAGCTCGAGCATCGTCTCGCACTTGATCTGGAAGTGCTTGTGTCCCGTCACGATCTCGAGCACCTTGTCACCGCCGCGCTCCTCGACCAGTTTCAGCGACTGCGCCAGCCGCGCGTGGATCTCGCCCGCGTAGACGGGCGGTGACAGCTTCTCGAACTCGATGTTGCGGTTCGAGAGCAGCCGGAAGGCGAACGGCTCCCACTCGCCGCTCGGCATGCGCATCCGGATCATCGACTCGAGCACGACAGAAACGGGGCGGCGGCAGATCGACAGGCGGATGTCCTTGGGCGCCTTCTGCACCATCCCCGTCACCTCCTCGATCGTGTTGCACGGGCAGCCGTCGACGCCCTTGATGACGTCGCCCTGCACGAGCGTGCCCTCGCGGTCGGCCGGGCCGCCCGTCGTGATGGCGCCCACCGTCACCTCGCCATCCCACAGGTCGACGGCGATCCCGAGCGTGCCCTTGCCCACGTCGCGGATGATCAGCACGTCAAAGTACTCCTCCTTCTTGACCGCGTGGTTGGAGGACGCCTTCTCGAGCGACATGGTGCCGTCGATGCCGCCGCCGGCCACCTTCTCCGCCTCCTTCTCCTTCTGCGCCTCGGTGAGCGCCTCGGTCAGGTTCGCGTTCGAGGCGGCGTCGAAGAACGAGGGACGCCGAGTGGTGCTCCCCGCGCGGCCGCGCGGCGACGCGAGGGTGGCCTCCACCATCGGCTGCGAGCCGAACACGTTCGAGTCGCTGCGCTTGCGGTCGAGCTTCTGCTTCGCCGCGTTGCGCGCCTCGTTCTCGGCCATCTCGGCCGCGACGCGCGCCTCGGCCTCCGCCATCTCGGCCGCGACCCGCGCCTCGGCCTCCGCCTTGGCCTTCGCAACCGCAGCCGCCACGGCCTTCTCGTCCGCCTTCTTCTTGTTGGCGGACGCCTCGGCCTCGGCCTTGCGGCGCGCCTCGGCCTCGGCCTCGCGCATCGCCTTCTCCTCCGCCTCCTTCTTGGTGCGCTCCGCCGCCTCGCGCTTGAGTCGCTCCTGCCGCTCCTTGGACCACTTCTGGTACTCGCGCCGCGCCTTGAGCGTGCGCATCCGGTGCTGCGCGAGGGCGGCGGCCGCCCTCTTCTCCTTGTACCGCTTGCGCAGGAACCAGCCGTAGACGGCGTTGCCGATGACCTTCTCGGCGCCCTTCTTGCGCTTGGACTCGGCGATCTTGGCGACGAGCAGCGGCACGACCACCGCCGTGTCCATCGAGGCGAGGTCTTCGAGGAAGACGCCGCAGCCAACCTTGAGGAAGAGCTTCGTCAGCCCGAGCGCAAAGTCGCCGGGGGCGACGTCGCACGCGATAGCGATCGCCTCGCAGAAGGCCGCCGGCTCGTCGCCGGTCGCGTCGAGCACCTCCTTGCCCATCAGCGGCGCGTAGCGCCCGTGGATCACCTGGAGGGCGCGGCGGAAGGAGGCTTGGTGCTTGGGAGGAGAGGGAGGGAGGGCGCGACGCGGGCTTGTGAGCGGCTCACCTCGTACGGGATGCGCGTCGGGTACGCCTCCGTCATGACCCGCACCGCCTCGACGACGCCCGAGCAGCGCAGCTGGTCGAGCACCATCGCCGGCTCGAACTCCTTCTTGACCTGCTTCGAGTTTGGCTTGATGCAGCGCACAAAGTGCGCCTTGGACGCCTTGAGCTCGTCGAGCAGCGAGTTGAGGTCGTTGACGAAGCGCTTGCCGACGCTGGAGAAGGAGGCCGACTTCTTGGCCTTGAGGGCGGCCTCCCAGCCGGGCGAGAAGAGCGACTTGAGCAGCGGCACCTCCGAGCCGGCCAGCTGCTCGAGCCAGTCCTCCTGCAGCGTGTCGTTGTTCTTCTCGAGCAACGACACCTCGGAAACCTTGGTCGCCTTGCCGATGACGGTGCTCGTCTCGTAGACGACGTCGCCCGCGTAGTGCCGCACGATGAAGCCCTCCCCGTCCCGCATCCGCTTGAGGCGCGTCGGCGCGAGGAAGCCGCCCTTCTTGTGCGTCTCGTTGACCTGCTCGCACAGCGCCTCCTCGCTCGCCTTTGGCGCCTTGCACTGCGAGTCGAGCAGCCGGAAGATGCCGTTGGGCGGCTTCTCCATCAGCTCGATGCACGGCGTGTTGTCCTGGTACTCGACCTCCTTCCACGGGACGCCCTCCTTGACGTGCAGCACCTCCTCCTCCTTGAAGACCTGCGTGAGGAAGAACTGCTGCAGCTTCTCGTTTGCGAAGTTGATGCAGAGCTGCTCGAACGAGTTGTGCGCAAAGTTCTCAAAGCCGAAGATGTCGAGGAGTCCGACGTACGGCAGCGACGGGGTCGACTCGTTGCCGGCGATGAAGGTGTTGACCTTCTCCACGATCCAGTCGAAGAGGTGCGTGTAGATGGACTTGACCACCGCGTCGCGCACGGCCCCCGCCTGCTTCGCCGAGTAGGCGATCGTGTAGATGGAGCGGCGGCCGTCGGGCTTCTCCTTGCCCTTCATCACCTTGCTCGTCAGGTTCTTGGAGAGGGCGCCGCACGCGAGCAGCTCCTCGGCCGCCTTGCAAAAGTCGCCCTTGCCGAGCTGCTCGTCGAAGACGGCCTTGTCGTTTGCGTCGTCGGTGAACTTGATGTTGCCAAGCAGCAGCAGCGCAGAGAGCACGCGGAAGAGCTCCGACTGCTCCTTCTTCGGGATGCCGAGCGTGTCCATCGCCTGGACCGTCTCCGCATAGTCCTTGGCGTCGCTCTTGCCCTTGAGCTCGATGCACTTGGACTGGTTGAGCATGTTCAGGTCCGTCGGCTTGAGGCTGGCCAGGAGCGAGCCCTGGAGCACACGCAGGGGTGTGGACGCGTCACGCACGGCCAGACCCGAGCACCCGCGAGCTCGTGTGGGCGCGCCGCCGCTGAGGGACGGGCGCGAGAGCGTCAGCACTAGGTGTGGAGTACGCGATGCGGCGCCTTGTCCTCGGCGGGGCCCGCGGCGCAGAGCTGGTAAAAGATGTGGTAGTTTCGCTCCGGGTCGGTGATGGCCACCGCTCGCGACTTTTCGAGCAGGTACGTCTTGATGTAGGCGCCCGCCACCGCGCCGCTCGGCTCAAAGTGGAGGCGCATCATCTTGCCGAAGCGGGACGAGTTGTTGTTGCGCACCTGCGCAGAGCGAAGGTGGTGAGGGGCGGCGACGGGAGGACGGTGGCGGCGAGGTGGCGGCAGCGAGATGGCGGCGGCGGCGGCGGCGGCGGCGGCGGCGGCGGCGAAGCGGTACGCGGTGGCGTTGCTCTCTGGCGCGCCGTCTTTGCGTTTCCGAAGGCCTCGAGGAGAGGGTTGGTGCCGAGGATGGCGTCGGCGAGCGTGTCGAGCTTCCCCTCCGCCTTCTTGCTCACCTGGCGACGGGGAGGGGGGGGAGAGGCGGGAGGTGGGTTGTGGAACCGACGCCGACGAGGTCGTGGTGGGCCGAAGCAGCGGTGGCAGAGCCAACGGGTGAAACAGCGAGCCGGGCGCCTCTCCTGGCCGTGAGTTGTACCGCTGCGGCTAAGACGGCTGCGGATGAGGCTGCTGCAGCTGGACTGCTGCTGCTGAGACTGGGCGGCGGAGGCTGCCGCGATGCGGCTGGCCCGCACCGACTCGGAGCGCCAAGCCAGGTAGCGCATGATGTGCTTGGTCGTCTCCGTCTTGCCGGCGCCGGACTCGCCTGCGTTGCGGGGCACGGCCCTCGGCCCTCCGCCCCAGGGCGGCACGCGCTCTCTCCCCTCCCTGACTCTCCCCTCCCTGGCCCGCTCGTCGCCACGCTCTCTGCTCCGCTCGAGGCAGGGTCGACGGCGCCCGCCCACCTCGCAGGGGCGCCCCACCCCCACACGCTCAGCCGTAAGCGCACCCGACATGATGATGGCCGCCGGCGTCTTGTTCCGCTTCACGTGCTTGTACGCCGCCTCGCCCATCGCATACACGTGAGGCTCGGCGCCGCGCGCGCCGACGTCCTTGTCCTTGTACTTTGCCATCGTCTCCTCGCTGCGGGGGCCGGGAGTGCGGGAGGGTGCGATGGTCTGGGCGCAAGAGTGATGGCGTGTGCGCCACGTGGTGCTCGCGGCGCGGCGCAGCTCGCATCTCCGGGCGCGGATCGTGGCACAATCCGGCAGCTGGCGGCGGGCCGGGCGTCTGCGCCGCTCCGCGCTGCATGCATCCCGATGCGGCGGGACGGCCGTGCGGAGATGCATGAACGCTCGTTTGCTGTGGCGGTGATGGGATGGCCCTCGCCTGTAGATGGATGATAGGTTGGCAAACGGATTGAGCGCGATCAGAATCTTGCCCGTGTAGGTGTAGATGTCATCCGAGGCGTAGCGAGCCCGCGAGTTCTCGAGGATGGAGGGCTCGTTGAGGTGGATTAGCCCACAGTGGTCGGGCGCGGTGCTCCCCGCCGGGTTGGCTGGAAATACGTCTGCGTTTGCAGCGTCAAACGCTCGCTCAGCGCCACTCGCGTCGGCGACAGTCACGCGTGCGCCATTCTGCTGCACATTTGTGACCTGCCCGAGCTCGAAGGGCTCTCCGCCCTTCTTGGCGCCGCGGAGCCACACCGGATCACCGATACGCATCTTCGTGGTGACCTCCATCGCCGCGAACACAAGCACGCGCGGCAGCCGAAAACAAGGATGGGCGGGGCGGCTCGCGGTCTAAAGGCGGGACGTCCAATGAGAACTCGGACACCGAAAAATTTCTTTTCCCCGCACTTTTCTTTTGCCTCTCACTCCCCCTATCGCTATCCCACCCACAAGACGAAGCACAGAGACAGTCGAGGAGAAAGGAGAGACAGTGACGATCGCATTGAGTAAGTAAGTAAGTAATGAGGTGAGACCTAAACATAGCGACACGCTACACGTCTCAACAACAAAAACAACACGTCTCTCTCCAGTGGCCCCTCAGTACTCACACGCGGCTCGCACGCGTAAGTAGAGGCAGAGAGCGGGCCGTCCCGTTTTGATCTCTCGGTCAGTGGGCGCCCGCCCGCCGCCTCTGAGGGGGTCGGGCCCCCTAGACTGAAAACAAAAACAAGCTCGAACACAGCCAAAATCAGCCCGCGAGAGAGGCACTGCGCGCCGCTGACCTCATGTGGGGATGTCTGCCGACACCAATACTGATCTAAAACCTGGAAACCCTTGTTCAAAGCCGACCCTAAGCGCCATCCTTCCTGCTCTCACCTGATGCTGCTTCCCCGCGCCGCCTCCTTGCCTCCTTGGCCCCCTTGGGCGTATTTTCTACTCCCAGTGGGGGCCTGGCCCCCCCCGGGCCCCCTCTTGTTTTCTGTTTTCTGTTTTTCAACACGCCCGCCCGCGCCCGCCACCCTGAGGCTGCTCGGCCTCCCACCTGACCGAGAGATCAAAGCGGGACGGCCCAGGGTGAGAGAGGTAGATTGAGTAATGATGCGTCCTTCTTGCGGCATACGAACCGAAGAGAGACCCTCAGCCAAGAGCCGCCGCGATAACTCGTTTCGGCCGAGCCTCTGACAGAGAGAGATTTTTGAAAACCAACAAGAAATCACGACTCTTCTGAGATCCTGAGAGAGGCTTATCTGCCCCTGTGGTCCGTGAGAAGAGGAGGCGAGGAGACGGGTTGGCGCGACGGTTTCATGATGTAAGGGCACCAAATTCGGCGCTCGTGATCTGTATTGCGCCCACTTCCGGCCGCTGATCTGTATTGCACCTATTTTGGCGCTCTGATCTCGAGTGCCACCCTTTGCAGCCCTGTGATCTTGACAGCACCCCTCTCATTCCTATGATCCTCAGCACGCCCCCTCAAGGTCTGCTGATCCCCACAGACCCTGCCGTGGGTGCTTGATCCTGAGGCGCGCCCCCGCCGGTGCTGTGATCCTGAGAGGGGTGTCTGTGATCCTGAGAGAGGCTTATCTGCAGGGAGGCAGCATATCAGGCACCAGTCTTCTGGAGAGTTCAACAGCTGCAGCCGCGATGGCCGATGGCAGAGTCGGCCACGGTTCGAGCGAGCAGCTTTTGGCTGCGGGATCGAATCGCGGAAGGCTCATGCCCTCGCGGAGCGACGCGGGTCGCGCGGCGCGCGCGTGTGCGAAATGCGACAACAGACGACAGACGACAGACGCCTGAGCGCTGAGCGACTGAATGGACCGTCGCCGCAATCGACACCGCCGCCATTTTGACGAGCAGCGCGAGCGGCTCGTCGGCGGCCAGCCGTCGCAGGCCGGGCCGAGCCCGGCCTCAACCGGCCGCGCCGCCGCAGCAGGCCCGGAGGCCCACATGGCGGCCGACCAGCTTGTACAGCTGATAAGGACTTAAGGAGGTCTCTCTCTCTCTGACATGCGTGGCGGGGGAGCGAGGAAGGAAGGCGAAAGGGGGAGGTAATGCGGACGCGTTCGAGAGATCCGCCGAGGGTCACCTCGTTCGTGGCGTGGCGGTGTAGCACCCTCGTCTGGGGTCGTCTCTCGTTTAAGTCGCCTGCGGCCTGGTCGTCGGATTAAGAGAGAGATTAATTCCTTCCGCTCTCTCTCTCGTTTTTGAAAGAGACGAAGAAAGTATTTAACAAAATCAACCGCTCTCTCTCACAGCAGACAGGCTCGACACAGGTGCGGACTGGCGCGTGCTAGCACCATCACAGGCAAAACCACCGAACTCCGAAAAGACGTGGAAAGATGAAAGTGTAAAATCTAAAAAGTCTAAAGAAAGCTCGACGCTCAACTCTCACAAGCCAAACGAGAGGGGATGGGGGAGGAGGAGACTCGAGGGTCCCCCGCACCTGGGCTCCACCACCTGCACGATCAGGAGAACCCACCCCCTGTGCCCCTGATCGTCCTTCCAAAATGGAGAGCTCTACCCACCGACGACATCATGCAAATATAGCCTTACGCAGTTGACAACGTTCTCATTACCGCATTAGCTCAGCTTCACGTCTCGCCACCAGCACTGAGCCTGGCCAGCGCCGCCCGCCGCGAGAAGGCCTTCTTTGGAGGGAGCACAAGCAGGGCAAAGTCGTCCCGCCTCTCGGCAGAGCCTGTTGCATCCACCTCCATCCCGGCCACACCCGCGCGCATCGCACTGCCCACCTCTGACCCGGCCTCGCGCGCCTCTGCCGCTTGCGCCTCCGCCGCCGCTAACGTCACCTCCCTCGCTGCTGCCGCCTCCCTTGCTGCTGCCGCCTCCCTCGCTGCCGCCGCCTCCCTTGCTGCCGCCGCCTCCCTTGCCGCCGCCGCCTCCCTCGCCGCCGCCGCCTCCCTCGCCGCCGCCGCCTCCCTCGCCGCTGCCGCCTCCCTTGCTGCCGCCGCCTCCCTCGCTGTCGCCGCCTCCCTCGCTGCCGCCGCCTCCCTTGCTGCCGCCGCCTCCCTTGCCGCCGCCGCCGCCTCCCTCGCTGCCGCCGCCTCCCTCGCTGCCGCCGCCTCTGCCGCCCTCCGCCTCTCCTTCTCCCGGTGCCAGCCTCCGTCCTGTGTCACGACCGCCTGAAGTGGCTGCTGCGTCTCGGTGCACTCCTCCGCAGCGCGAGCTGCGGGAGGCGCCGGCGGCCTGCGCCGCTTCGCGAGCGGCAGATCATCCTGCAGATCGTCCTCTCCGTCGTCGTCGCTGGTGCGGTCCCCCTCGCGCCAGTAGCCCCCCTCCGCCGGCTCCTCCGCCGCCGTGTCCGCCGTCCGCCCTTCCTCCTTCCTTCCCGCGTCTCGGCGCCAGCCCGGCCCGTGAGCCAGACCCGCCTCGGCCGCACGCTTCTCCGGCGCCCTTCGGCGCACCAGCGGCAGGTCGTCGTCGCTGTCGTCGTCGCTCTCCAGCGGGGCAGCAGCGCCGTCCATGCGCCCGGCCGCCCCCCCCGCCCTCGCAAGCGCGACGCCCTGGTCGACGGCGAGCAAGAAGGCGCGCCTGTTCACAGCCAGGCATGTGAAGAGACGCGGCTCGCAACCGGGGGCGGATCAGCAGCCAGGAGGATGCGCGCAGCAGCGGAGGAGGCACGTCGCACGCCAGGTCGGCGCCGATCCTCGCGTTGACCTCGAAGACGACGGGAGAGCCGTCGGGCCGCCGCTTGTAGTTGAGGTTGCACACGCCCGTGTAGCCGGCGAGCAGCTTAGCCAGCACGACCACCTGCTCGCGGCGTCACTCACTCATTAGACTCATGAGTTGACTCGCGGCCGCCTGCCGGGGCACGGCACTCGAGGCGGGGAGGAGCGGCACGCGCGGCGGGGAGAGAGGGGGAGGGGCGGGGAGAGAGGGGCGAAGGGAGAGAGGGGCGGAGGGAGGGGGGGGGGGGGGGGGGGGGAGGGGGGTCGCCTCCGCGTCGGAGCTCGACACGGGCTCGGAGGCGCGCTGCGCCACGTCCTCCCGCACCCGGGGCCACACGTACTCCGCCTCCTCGTACACATACACTGTCCGCACGCCCGTCACGACCTCGCCCTCCCGCAGCAGCAGGGAGAGGCTGACCTCCCGCCGGCCGCGCACCAGCTCCTGCAGCACCCAGCCGCCTCGCCCGCCGCCCTCCGCAATCAGCGCCTCCGCCTCCCTCTCGGACCGCACGATTGCGACGCCCTCACCGTGCTCTCCGCAGGCCGGCTTGAAGACGCTCGGGTAGGACGCGGCGGCGGCGGCGAAGTAGTGGCGCGGGAGCAGGTGGCCGAGCCGCAGCTCCGCCGCGTGCTTCTGCAGCAGCGCCTTGTTGTTCAGGCTCTCCACCAGCGCGGGGCTGCTGCTGAGCAGCGTCCAGCCGGCGGCCTCGAGCGCGCGGCGCTGTCGGGCGAGGCGCAGCGCCACCCGGTCCGTCGCGGGGAGGAGCCAGCGGCGAGCCGTGGACGGCGCGGCGGGAGGCGCGACGGGCGGGAGGGACTCGTCGTCGAGCAGGTTGACCAGATCGATCCTCGCGCCGGCCCGCCCCTCGAGGCTGTGCCAGTCGTTGCTGCCGACGAGGAAGAGCGACATCTCCGCCTGCCGACCCGGATCCCAGTCCTCCTCGGCGAGCCTCGCCGGCTCTGCCTGACGGCGCGTCGAGCGGCGGACCCAGTCCGCCGTGCACGACATATTCTGAGCGCGGCACTTGTCCACACTTCGTGCTCGGGCGACAAAAGAAACAGCCCGGGGGCGGGTGCGCTTCTGACTCCCCGGCCCTGGATGTGAGGTTACCGACTGCACTCCAAGTGCTCCAAGTTGGGAAAGTGAGCGCGCTTTGCTTTCTTTCTATACGAGGATCACGTAGAGAGTGTAATGCACGCCGAGGCGACTGTGGACTGACGCGGCGGTCCGCGGACTCCGAGACTCTCTCCAGACTCCTGACCCTCCCGTCGGTGGGCCCCCTCCCCGCCGACTCCCCCCCCCCCCCCCCCCCGCGCGCGTCGCTCACTCCTCCATCGGCGCCGGCCCGTCCTTGTCGTCCGGCTTCTCCTCCTCCGACCCTCCGGCGGCGTCGTCGGACGGCTTGGGCGTCGCCTCCTGTAGGGCGCGGAGAAAGGGCTCGACTCCGAGGCCGCCATAGTTTGGGTTGAGGCCCAGCTCCATCACAAGGCCCGCCGCGTCGCCCGTGTGGAGGGCCTCCGTCAGCCGCGCGGCGGCCTGGGAGATTTGCGGTGTGGCGAGCGTCTCTCGGACGCTCTCCGCCACCGCCCCCCCCTGTGGCAGGTGCTCGGCCAGCCGCCGCTCCATCTCCCCGTCCACGAGGGCTTGGGCCGCGTCTGGCGCGAGCACGGCGTTGAGGGAGAGCGGCTGCACCTGCGGCGGTGGCGCGATGTTGCCCAAGATGCTCGCAATCGAGTCCGCAGAAAAGGCGCCGCCGCCCGCCGCCGCCGCCGGCGCGGGCGCGGGCGCGGGCGCCGCCGGCGTGATGTTGCCGAGGATGTTTGCGATCGAGTCGGCCGAGAAGGCGGTGGCTGCGGCGGCGGGCGTCGCCGAGGACGCCTCCGGCGCCGCCGCGTCGGTAGTGGCTGGCGCAGGCGCCGGCGCAGGCGTCGAGGGCTCCGCGGCCGCGGGCTGAGCCGCCGCCGGTGCGGCGCCGCCGGAGAGCATCGCGAGGAGCTCCGAGTGCGTCATGCCTCCAAAGCCAACTGCGGGGAAGAGGGGGCGGGGGGCGGGGGGGGTTCAGGGGCGGGGCGGGCGGGGCGGGATAGGAGCGGGCGCGGCCAGGAGCGGGCGCGGCCAGGGGCAGGCGCGCGCGCGGCGCGCGCGGGTATTGCGCGGCGCCTGAGGGCGCAGCGGCAGGCGGCTGGCTCCCGTTCAGGATGCCGTTCGCCTTGTTCATCAGCTCGCTCTCCTTGGCGATGTCCTCCCAGTCGGTCCCCTTTTTGCGCGGTTCCTGCGACCAGAAGAGCGACTTTCGCCCCGTCGTGAACTCGAGGAGCATCGCGTAGCCCGTCTTGCACTGCGGCAGGTGCTTGAGCGTCGCGTCGCCCTGGAAGATGATCAGGTCGTCCTCGACCGTGTTGCTCGAGCGATCCTTCCATATCAGGTGCATCAGGTCGTCGTCAGACTTTTGCAGCAGCAGCAGCCCCTTGCGCGGGTCTGCCGTGACGGTCGTGCCGCTCTGGGTGAGCTTGCCCGCCTTCATCTGGAGAAGCACGTTGCTCGCGGCCGGCTGCGGCGCGCCAAAGATGGAGGAAGACATCGCGGCTATCTCAGACCCTGTTCTGGCGCGCTCTCAGCGCAGCACACACGTGGTGTCTGGCCCTTTTCTGTGATCGAGCCCTCTGTCTCGGCTTCCAGCCGCCTCTGTGCGGGTCGCGGAAAGAATTCGGCGTGGCACCCCGCCGCAATCGTCGCCGGCGCGCAACACGTTCCCGTCAGCAGGACTGTCCTCGCCGAATGCGTGCCGCCAAGGCGGCACGCACTCAGGGACAGTGCGGACGGCTCGAGGGGCGGATCCCGAGGAGGCAGAAAAGAAAGAAAACTCACAAGCCAAGGGAGGGATGGGAGGACGGCACGCCGCCACCACACAGGGATTTTAAGGAGAGGGGTGTGATGCGCTAGCCGTCGCCCACCCTTGGGCGTCCGCCTCTTCCTATCTCTCTTCGCAGTCTCGCGAGGAGGCACGACTGGCATCCGAGAGAGAGAGAGTTTGTTTGTTTTGGCATCCGTGGCGCGGGGCTCGTCTTCGGAAAGTCGGGCATGGCTCTACCCGCAACTTTCTCGCTAACACGCGCGCACCGCCGAGCCTACGATGGGCGCGCTGCGGCCGCACGTCTAACTTCGTCATAGTGAGTGCCACGACGTGCGGCCTGGATTTAGGTTTTAGCCCACGCGCCTCTGCTCGCAAACACTCACCCATTGAATTGTCACTGCCCGTGAGTGCGAGATAGGGCTAGCAGTAGGCAGCTAGCCTCTGACGAGGAGGGCGTCCGTAGACACCTCACATGACCCCACACACGGTCTCGCCCGTGCCTTGCGGCTGGCGGCGAGATTGCTAGAGGCGGAGCAAGCCTGCTCCAGCCTCACATGTTACTTCCTGTCGTCTGTTGTTTGTTGTGCCCTTGTTTGTTCTCTTGGCACCTTGGAGTGCTGGGGGGGGCGACAGGGAGGATGTGGCCTTGAGTTATGTGTACGCCAACTCAGGGTGTGTGGCAGCCAGCTGGCTGTGTGTCTTGTGAGCCTGTTTGTGTCTGTGTGTCGCTCGTGCGTGTCGTCATCATCTGTCTCGCGTCCACCCATACCGCGTTGGTGTCCAGTCCGAGCCTGGCTGTTCTTCACCTTTCTACCTAACCTAACCTAGACTGAGATGAGACCGCCAGTGGAGTTGCAGTTGGGAGTCCACCGTGCACCGCGCTGCGAGCCTGTCGTGTCCCTTGTCAGGAGCAGGAGAGCCCCACCTGTGCCCCTCGCCCTCGCCCTCGCCCTGATGCGGATCGTCCCTCCAAAATATCCCGGCTCGAGGCTCGTGCAGGTGGGGACCCTGTCCTCCTCCCCCCCATCCCTCGTTTGGGCTGCATGTTTTCTTTCTTTTCTGTTTTTCTTCCAATAGCCGGCTTTAATTCTCGGCAGAATGGGAGATGACAGATGTCGAACGACGAGGATATGAGACTCGCCCCCGGGGCCGCCGGCACTTTCGCGTGCGCGGAGAGCGCGACCGACGCGCCCGCGGCCCCTTTCGAGAGCACAGAGCAGCCCCCCCCCCCCCACCCTTTGGAGAGCAGCCCCCCCCCCCCCCTTATAGACATGCACATGACTCGACGGGCTGGAGCCCTCCCCGCACTCAACCCGTCAAGTGCGCCCGGCACCCCGTCGGCCCAAACGACGGGCGACGGCGGCGCTCGCGACGTCCGAGCGCTAGCATCGCGCGGCAGGATTGGGCCTCCTCAAGCCCCGCCGCCCTCCGTCCTCCCTAGGCGTGCAGCGGGTCGTGCACGCGCGACGGGCTCGGGGTCCGCTCGGGCGGCGCGGAGGCGGCGCGCTTGAAGGAGCCCTTGACAGACCGGGCCTGCGACACCCGGTGGGCGTGGGGCTCTCTGTGTCGGGGCTGTGGCGGCGCGGCCAGCCCCGCTCCCCTCTGCCCCTCAGCCCCGCGCGCCTTGATCGCGCAATAGTCGCGCAAGCCGACTCCGTTGAGCGCCGTGCGCAGCAGCGAGAGGCACACGACGGCGAGAGTCACGCCCGCGGTGAGCAGCCAAAAGAACGGGTAGCCGGCGACGAGCGCACCGCTCGCGAGCGCGCGCGCCGCCCGCGACCGCCCCTTCCTCGCGGCACCAGCCTCGCACGTCATGTACTCGCGCAGCAGCTCGTCCGTGGCGGTGGCCCAATCCTTCACCACCGGCGGCTCGCGCGCCCCGCCAGCCTGCAGCTGCCGGCCGATGGCGGCCGCCATGTCGCGCGCGTCGCCGGGCGACCACATGTCGCGCTGGCGGTCGAGCAAGCCGTCGTACGCCTCGGCGAAGCACCCCACGCGCGGCACGGCCACCGGGACGCCCGACGCGAGAGCCTCGTTGACGGTCTGGCCTACTCGCAGAGAGGCAGCCCGCACGTCGGGGGCGGCTGCGGGGCCCTGCGGGCGCGTCTCGGCTGCACGCGCCGAACGTCTCTGTCTGGCTCGGGCAGACGAAGACGTCGCAGACGGTGTAGACCTGAGGCGGACACAGTCCGAGGGGCGGGGGAGGCTCGCGGGAGGCGCGGCGGGGTCGGCCCGGGAGGCGCGGCGGGGTCGGCAGCCGCACCGCCGACAGCGCGGCGCCTCGCTGGTAGCCCCAGAAAGTGACGGGGAGGCCGGCCGCAGACGCGAGGTGCTCGAGCCGCGGGCGGGCGGGCCCGTCCCCGACGAGCCACAGCGCGCAGCCGGGCAGGAGGGGCAGCGCCTCGATCAGGTCCGCCACGCCCTTCTCGGGCGAGAGGCGGCCGACGCAGAGGAGGAGGTGCGAGCAGCCGCTCGCCTGCAGCGCCTCCTGCTTGCGCGCCTCCCACGCCTTGCCCTCGGGCGAGTGGCGCGCTTCTGGGTTGAAGGCCTGTTCATCAACAGCCCACTCGTGACCCATGGACCAATGCGTTGGCCGCGCCTCGACGCGTTCAAGGCCTCAGCCGAGAGACCGTTGCTGCAGATGCCCCACCGGTCGCCAAACGCGGCGCGGATCGCCGGCTCGGTGGAAGGCGTCGGGATGAGCAGCTTGTCGGCGAGGGCGCCGACCGGGCAGAAGACCGCTGTGCAGAGCCGCTCCGTGATCCAGTTGAGCCCGGCGGGGAATATGGACTCGTTGTACGCGCCGAGGTTGCAGTGCCTATGGTGAAGTCGGGATCGCAAGGTGTATGCCCGCATCAATGTAGGCAGGGGGGAATGGAGCTCTCGAGGTTGCCACGAGACGACCAGCCGCGGCGCGTCCGCGCCAAAGAGGTGCAGGAATCGGAAGGCGGCGAGGAGCCAGACTCCGGAGAGGTTGAGAGGCATTACGACGTGAACAACGTCCCAGCGCTGGCGGGCGAGCTCGACGAAGGCCAGCGGCCGCAACACCATCATCGAAGCGCTAAAGTTCCAAGGGTTTGCGAAGGCCCAGCAGCACTCAGACCCCGGGTGGCAGAGCGTGACTGTGCAGCCTCGCTCGCGAAGGCCGTCCGCATACTTCCCGACCCGGCGGGCGATGCCGTTGACCTGTGGGGGACAGCCGACGGACATGGGCATCGGGTGTGAAGCGCATTCGGCCTGCTGGGCTTTGCGGTACCTGCGGCGGCACGTTTTCGGACACGAGGAGGACGCGCATGCTGCTGAGCTGCAAACGGGTGCCACGATTGCCTCTCGCCGTCGGGCTTTGGCCGCCAGTGCATCGCGCGCCGAATTCTTTCCCTGGTCGGGTTCAATTGTATTCACAGAACGTTTGCTGTGATTCAAACTCGGCCGTCCTTCTGATCATCTTCGGTCGGCGACTCCCATGTCGGCCCACCCGTCGATCAAGGCGCCGTTTGAGGACGTGGGGTGGGCTGTCAAGGGCAGCGCCGAGGAGGAGGACGAGGCGGCCGCCGCAGCGATGGCAAAGGCGCTGGACCGCGCCCACAAGCTCCGCGCTTCCAGCGGCCGCGCGTCAAGCTCGGAGGGCGGGCACTCTCAGGGCTGCGCGAAGCAAACGCTGCTGAGCTCCTCGATCGACCTGCCCGATGGCACACGCGCTGAGGGCTTCTCCTGGGTTGTGGGCTTCACCGAGTGCTTGGAGGACCTCTACCGCTTCTTTGCCGCCGGCATAGGCATCCCCGAGCACGTCGCATCCGAGACTGCGTCGGTCCACTACGAGCAGCGCGCGTCCTCCTCGCACAGCGAGGGTGACAACCGGCGGCGAACGTCGGTGAAAGTCACGCCGCACGGGCGCTTCTTGACGGCCGACCCTGCGGAGCGGCGCCTCGCAACAACCACCGGGCTAAAGCAGGGGGCCAAGCTGGCGACAACGATGAACGGGCTCGACAACGACCTATGGAGTTGGGCCCACGAGATGGCCAACGGCGCGAACCACAACCCGCGCACCACGTTCGTGGGATGCCGCGATCCACCGGCCCCTCAGCCCTCGGACTAGACGGCCCCGAGCCACTGAGAAAGACGAGCGAGCGAGCGACCCCCCGCCCCATATGTACACAATCTCTGTATGCGCGCATTTTGCTTGCGCGTCGCGCGCGGCCACAAGCCGCGAGAGATCGAGGGGAGGCTTGGGTGTTAACTACAGAAATTTCGAGTTGAAGTTCACTTCTTTTTATGCATGTGGTCAACCCCGACCGTGTCCTCCGTCATGTGCCCGTGTGTTCGCTTCGCGCCGCGAGCGGCAGCAGCAACCTACTCAAAAACCAAAACCAAGAACAGTGTGGCCGCACGGGGCTACACGAGCCTACGACGCACACATACACGCGCACGACCACGACGAGACGACAGAGGGCGGCAGGGGATGGCGAGAGACACTTCTGTGGACAGGCCCGCTCGGTCGGGGGGGGGCCTTCTCGTGTAGCTTCTTGCGTGGCGAGGAGTGCCCGCACGTGCGTGTGAGGTGTGTGTGTGTGTGAGAGCGGTTGTGAAGGCTGAAGCGGCCGCTCTCTCGCCTCTCGGTGGAGGAAGTGGAGAGAAGTAGGTCTGGAGCCGTGGAGGCTAGCGATACACACAGCGTAGCTAGGTCAAGTTAGGGCCGAGGGTAAGGTTACTAGGATTGCGACGAACGAGCCCCCTCACACATGACAAACGAGCTACGGCGTGAGAGGACTCAGTGCGTGGTGCGGGTTTGGTGTGTGGTCGGGCCGGCCCCGCTCTCCTCTCAGAGTCAGCTGCCAGCCGCGGTCCCAAGGCCCACTGCGATGCAGCCGAAGAGGGCGGCGGCGGTGGCAGCGGCGATCAGGTTGTCTCGGGTGAGCACCGCAGTCGCTCTGCGGCGCAGGTCGGCCGCGTTCTGCCGGACGAGGCTCGCGGGGTCGGCGAAGATGGGCGAGATCTGCTCGAGAGTGAGCCCGCTCGTCTCTGGGACGAAGAGCGCGTAAAAGACGAAGGAGGCGGCGGCGACGGCGGCGTAGAGGTAGAAGGAGCCACTCCACTGCAGCCGCTCCGACATGGTGAGGAAGGAGGAGGCGACGAGGAAGGAGGTGAGCCGGTTGGCCATCGTGGCGATGCCCATCGCCTTGCCGCGCACCTTGTTTGGGAGGATCTCGGCGAGGACGAGCCAAGTGATCGGGCCGTACGAGAGGGCGTGGAAGGCCATGTACGCCGCGAGAGACACGCAGATCCCAGCTGTCGCGGGGCTCGGTCCGGCGACGCCTCCGGCGAGCTTGAGCTGCATCGAGAGGCCGAGGCCGAGCAGGGAGGCGGTGAGGCCGACAGCGCCGAGGAGCAGCAGCGGCCGCCGGCCGGCATGGTCGAGGTTGAGCAGCGAGTGCGTCTCGAAGAGCAGCTTGACGAGCCCCATCGCGACGGTGCCTCCGATGGCGGCCGACTTGGACTCGAAGCCAGCCTGCTGGAAGATCTTGGTCGAGTAGTAGATGATCGACCTGCGGCGGGGGCACGCCGAGGTCAGGGCGCGCACAGTGCAGCGCATTAGCCGCCCTCGAGCGGAGCAGGAGTGTGTGTCCCGCATCTACGAGGGCCGACTCGATCCCGACGGCGTGCTGCAGCACCGCAAGCACCTACAGGGAGGCTCCGAGGAGGTTCCGAGAAGGTTCGATGCCGCCTACGGCGTGCCGCAGCATCGCCATCACCGTGCCAACCACGACCGCGGTGGAGGTGGGCGGGCGCAGCAGGTCGAGCCACGTCCCCTCCTCCTCGGTCGCCATGTCGCGCACCATCTCGTCGAGCTGCGCGTCCGCCTCCGCCTCGGGCGCCGGGCGGAGGATGCGGCGCTGCACGGCGCGCGCCTTGTCAACCTTGCCTTTGCCGATCAGGAAGCGAGGCGACTCTGGCAGGAAGAGCATGCGCAGGGCGAGCAGGATGTCGGGTGCCGCGCCGAGGAAGATCATCCAGCGCCACTGGTTCGGCACGCCCGACAGGAGGTAGTTTAGCAGAAAGGCGAGCAGCACGCCTGGAACAGGCCGAGAGGTGAGTGTGCGATCGCGGCGGCGCAGCGTGAGGGGGAGAGGCGGAGACCGAAGGAGAGGGACACCTCGCCGAGGGTGACAAGGGCGCCGCGGAACTGCTTCGGAGCGACCTCCGCGATGAACATTGGCGAGATGAGCAGCCCCGCACCCACGCCAAAGCCCTGCAGCCAGCGGCAGCGCACGAGGTGCTCGTAAGAGCCGGCGAGGGCCATGAGCGTGGAGCCGACCGCAAAGGCGCACGAGGACATGAAAAGCGCGGGCTTGCGCCCGAAGGTGTCTGCCACCCAGCCAGACACCAGCGCGCCGGCGATGGCCGCCGAGTTCATCGCCGCGGCAAACCGCTCCGCCTGCGCCGACGAGAGCGAAAACTCCTCCTGGACAAAGAGGAGGATGCCGGAGACGCACCCGATGTCGTAGCCGAGGAGCAGCGAGTCCATCGCGGCGAACACGGCGCACGCGAGCACGAACGGAGGCGCGCCCGCAAACGAGAGCTTCTCGCGCAGCTTCGTGACCGTCTTGGGCACGGCCGGAGGCTTGGCGCTGACCGCCTTGGGCAAGGCGGGAGGCTTGGCACCGCCGCGCAGCCGCAGAAGATGCGGTGTCGATGCCGCTGGTCGCGTGACAGATGCGGCGGCCGCCGTGGCCACGCAGCAAAATAGAAGACGCTGCGCCATTTTTTGCGGCCACGCAGAATGCGCCATCGTTTTTCACAAAAAAGACGCTCCGCCTGTGTATGAGGGTCAGGGGAATCCTGCGGAGCCGCGCAGCGCCTAGATACATGTCCTGTGTGCTGTGTGGTGCACGTCCTACGAGGGCGGGGTGCGCTGACGCTGAGCGCTGTGCCTCGGGTTCGCGTGCGTCGCCCACTGCCACATCTCTCGACTCTCCGGCGCGGAGAGAGTTGTCTGCTCTGTTTATTAAAGAGAGAAAACGACTCCCGCCTCAAGCTTTGCGTGGTGTGTGCGCCAACGACCGCGGGCACCGACGTAGAGAAAACCACACAATGCATCGATTGGTGCGCTTGTTGGTGCGGCGCGCGTTCATGGGGAGATCGCCAGGGTGCCTGCTCCGAGGGCCCCAGTGCCGGTGCCAACCCCCGCAGCCGACACGCCTCCCATCAGCCATCTCGCCGCGTCTACGCGCGGCCGCCCGCTCGTCCGCCCCATGCGTCGGAGTCGACCCCGGCGGTCCCCGCCCCCCACCGCCTCCATAGCCCTCCCCCTCCCCCTCCTCCCCGCTGGGCAGCCTCACTTGCGGGGCCCAAACCCCATCGCGAGCTTGCCCTTGGTCCGGCCGGACTTGCGCTGCTTGTCCTCCTCGAAGTCCATCCGGTCGTCGAAGCCGCCGCCGCCCCCGCCGCCGCCCGGCTCGGAGTCGTCCTGCGCGCGCAGGTTCGCGCGCACGTTCTCGACGGGGGTGTTTAGCTCGGCGGCGGTGGCCGACGCGGCCTCGCAGCGAGCCTTGTACGCCTCGAGCTGGGGGCAGGGGCGGCGAGGGGGGTGAGGGGGCGGTGGGGGCGGGGGCGGTGGGGGCGGGGGCGGTGAGGGCGGGGGCGGCCTAGCCGGGCGGGGAGGGGAGGCGGGGCCGGGCTCGACGGGCGGCGGCGGCGCGGGGCTGGAGGGGTGGAGGTGGGCTGGGTGGCAGGGGTGGAGGTGGGCTGGGGTGGCACGTGAGCCTTGCTGCGGATCGACCCGAGCGCGTCGAGGGCGCCAGAGTGCCAGCGCGAGAGGAGCTCGCCCATCTGCGCAACCTATGGACAGCGAGCCGCACGCCCCCTCGTGACGGCGTGTGAGGCTGCGTGCGAGGCTGTCTGCTCGCGTGCGCCTCCGACGGGCGGAGGTCCCTGCCGAGAGAGTGTGATCTCGGGTGATCTCGGCTATATCTCGCGCCTCGGACGGGTGGAGGTCCCTGCCGAGAGAGTGGTGCACCTCGAAGACCCTCGCCTGCTGGTCGAGCTTTCCGGAGAGGAGCTCGCCTGCCGAGGAGCCGGTGCGGGAGGAGGCCGGCGGTGGAGGGGCGGGCCGAGGAGGAGGGCGGAGGAGGCGGTGGCGGGTCAGCGCGGCGCGTCGGACGAGCGGCCGTGAGCAGCCCCGGCACACCCCAGAGCCGCGCCGCGTTGCCCGCGAGCGGTTGTGCGCGGGGCGCCGCGCTGCCGCGCTGCGCCGGGGGGCGGGCCGCGTGGGGAAGGGAGGGCGGGGCGAGGAGGGAGGATCGGACCGTAGACGCACTCAATCAGCAAGTTCTCGAGCTCGCGCACCGAGCCAATCTCGAGCTCGGAGAGGAGGGTGTCGTATGGGAGCGACTTTGACGCCGCCGCAAGCGACACCACTGACAGCTTCTTCAGCTTGGTCGCCTTGCGCGGGGCGGCGAGGGCTTCGGTGAGGGCTTAGGTCGCCGCCCGCCCTTGCCGCGCGGCACACCTGCGCGGCGGAGAGCTGGCCGAGCTGCGCCGCGCGCGCCGTGTAGTCCTTCCACGTGCCGTACGCGAAGATCTTGAGGAGCTCGTACGCGGCGGCGTGCGCGGGAGGGCCGTCGGCGAGCGCCTGCACGTTTGGCATGTCGAGCAGCTCGCCAAACACGTACAGCGAGGGGTTGTCGAGCACCTGACCCACGAGCTGCACGCACGCGGCGCCTTTGGCGGACTTTGCGAGCGCGCACTCTGCGGTGAGCGGCGAGGCGCTGGTGTCGGCGGCGACCGACATGGGCGTGGCGCGGGAAGCAATGCAAGGCTGAAAAAGAATTTTTACACGCGCGACACAACACTGGGCACGGGACTGGCGCGCACTGGCGCACTGGCGAGGGTGAAAAGAATTTGAAACTCTCTCATTCACACTGTCGAGTCCCAGAAACCCGAGGAGTCACACAGTCCTGTCTGTGTGATGCACGCCCTGTGAGCGGGGCGGGGTGCGCACTGTGCCTCTGTGTTCGTGCGTCGCCCATCTCTCCTGGAGATGACTGCTCTATTTATTTATTTAGCACACTGGCACAACAAGGGCGCGGACTGGCGCGGACTGGCACTCACACCGGCTCACCACCGGAGCCGCCTAAGCGACTCCGTTAAGAACGGCAATGCACTCCGCACCATGCACAATGCCGCTCTCCCCGCAGCCGCACGCTAGCTCGTTCACCGTCTGCCACGCCACAGCGGTGTGGAGGACGACTGACATTTCAGGCCGTGCCAATTCTTGGCGGTGAAAAGAATTTTGACCGCGCGCACGACACTGGGCACGGGACGGTGAAAAGAATCTAAAATACAAGTTCACAGCAATGACCGCGCGCCGCTGAAAAGACTTTGACGCACCCTCGCACAAGACTAGGCACGGGACGGGCGCGCACTGGCACTAACACAGGTACACCGGGGAAAGGAATTACCTCGCGCCTGGTCCGTTCACAGTACCAAAGAGGCACAGTCGGGGGGTGAAAAAAAAGAACCGCCTTGGGAACCCGCTTGCTAAAGAACGCGAGGTACCATAACTCTTAAAAAGCAGTTGTTGCGCGGGTTCCGAACCCTTCCGCGGGTGGTTTATTCTTTATTTCTGCGGGTTCCACTCTCTGCCCACGGAGGTACGGCGATCGCTATAGGTATAGCACGGCGGCGTGAGCAGCGGGGGCCGGCGGCGGGCGGTCTTGGTGCAAGCGAGGGGGGCGGCAGGTGTGGCGGGTCTGGTGGTGGCGGCGGTACTAGTGCTGATCTCGCAGGGGGTGGGGTTGAGGTGTCCTCAAGCGGCCATCCGTATAGCGGACGTTCGATACTTGTCGCGCGTGAGCGGATGAGTTGGGTCCTTGGGTCGCGTCTGGCTGTCATCGATTTCTCGTGTTTTGCAGCGTTTGTATGTTTCGACGGAGAGAACCCTAAAGGTGCCCACGTACTGACAGGGTACACTACCGATGTGACACGAGTCTAGAGCGCCGGAACAGCACGATCAGACCCACGGTGGCCAGTTGCACTTGTCATCCCAGGCCTGCGTCTGGTCCTCAGCACTCGGTGCACAGCCGTTGCAGCCCCCCAAGGTGCACTTGTCATCCCAGGCCTGCGTCTTGTCCTCACAAAACGGCTTGCACACCGCTGGGGGCGACGGGGGGGAGGCGGCGGCGGGCACGCAGCGAGCCCCACGAGTAGGGCCACGCGCTCGTCTGAGCGTCGAAGCCGGCGTGGATGAGCGCCTTGTTGCAGTCGCTGAGGGAGGATGAGGCGTCGCCGACCGCCGACGTGTCCCACGAGCTGAGGTCCTTGTCGAAGGCGGAGGCGCCCTGGAACATGTAGCTCATGAAGACGACCGCCGACGTGTTCCACGAGGAGATGTCCTTTGTCGAAAGAGGAGGCGCCGTTGAAATGTGGTCCATGTAGCGGACAGTCGACGTGTCCCACGAGGAGATGTCCTTGTTGAAAGAGGAGGCGCCGCGGAACATGCGGCTCATGTCGACGACTGCAGGCGTGTCCCACGAGGAGATGTCTCTGTCGAAGGAGGAGGCGCCGCGGAACATGGTCCATGTCGCGGACCGATGACGTGTCCCACGACCCAATGTCGGGGTTGCCCATGTCCTTGCCGGTCGTGGAGCCGCCGCCGCCGTACAGCTCGCACCACGGGTCAGCGCTGAACAGACACTTCATGTCGGTGATACGGCTCACGTCCCAGCTCGAGATGTGGCCGTACGTCGCCTGGGCAGCCGCCTCGTCGCTCATGGGACACGTCTGCGGTTCTCGACATGAGCAGCATGTTCCGCTTCGCCTCCTCCTTCGACAAGGACGTCAGCTCGTGGGACGTGTCGGCGGTCCATGACATGTACGACATGTTCTACGACGCCACATCCCTCAGTGACTGCAACAAGGCGTTCGTCCACGCCAGCCTCGGACTACAACTCGTGGGGCTCGCTCACGTGCCTGCCGCCGCCCTCGCCGCCATCATCTCCACCGGGCACCTTCGAACAAGCCCGCCTCGTAAACCACAGGTCGACCGCGGTCTGCAGGTCGGGCTTGTTGGCAAACAAGGAGCTAGTGGTGGTGGTGGTGGTGGTGGCGTACACGCTGCAAGCCGACGTGGTGGTGGTGGTGGTGGTGGTGGTGGTGGTGGTGGTGGTGGTGGTGGTGGTGGTGGTGGTGGTGAATGGCTTGCCACACCGGGGACGTCGCGTGTACGCCGACGGCGAGCGCCAGCGACATCACTGCACGAATCTGCGATGTGTGCATAGCGATCGGCGTGCTGGTTTCCCGCGTAAAAGCTTTGCATGAGTAGCTAAACGTCGTACTCTTAGCTTGGAAGATTACGCCCCCAGCATATTTTGGACGCGCAAGGTGGGACGCAGCCACCCCCGCCTGATGGCATGCAGATGTCGGCACCGTGACGGCATGCGACGGGAAGGGAGAGTGTATGTAAAGAGTTTTGCGCGCGCGGACCTGGCTCCTGCGTCCAAAATATGCTGGGGGCAAAAAAAGACAAGGGAAGCCGCGAGGAAAGGCCCAGGCCGGGAGCGAGAGAGAGGAGGGACAGTTTGGGATGGCACAGCACGAGTACCTCGCACTTCTTTGGTCGGGACGGGGTGGCGCCTGCGATGCATCCCGCTAAGCCATCTGCAGGTCGAACCCGCTAAGCCACGAGCACAATGCCGGGGGTGTGGGGAGGAGAGAAAATTTGAGGTGGGGCTCCCGTTCACGCTCGTCCCTCGTGTCTGGCCTTTTCTCGGGTCGCGCCTGCGGCGCGCCGTGGTTGCTGTATTCCCCGCGCATGCAACACCGTGTACTCCAATACTCCGTGTCCTCTACGTGTAAGGCCTTCGTGCTTCGACCGTCGGTGTGCTGGACCGGGTCCTCATGGCTCATCGTCATGCCAGAGGCAGCGTGGCGAGGTTCCCACCAGACGGCGAGCATCACCAGCTGAATGAGCCCGCGCGGCGCAAGCCATTCGCTCCTGAAGTCCTGATCTGCCTCGGCCTTGCCGTTGCGCTCGTCTCGCCGGCGCCTGCCCTCCACATCGGCGCCGTAAGAGAGAGCGGTACATGCAAAATCTCCGTAGCGTTGCTGCGCTCATCGCCAACGAAAAATAACAAAACACCCAGCGGCAGCACGGCGCTTGCATCCGACATGCGGCGGGCTGATACACAGACCAGATCTTCGATCGTGTTTGTCGATCGACTTTGACCTTCGCGCTCCCGATGCCCGCCCCCGCGCCCCCGTTCGTCGAGCCGGCCACCGCGTACCCCGGCGACGACAACTACTCGTCCGTCAACCACGTCGCGGACGCGCTCGTCACGCCGGCGACCGCGGGGCACGACGCCGACTGCGACCCGTTTGAGGAGGAGTCTGTTCGGGCTGTGCCTGCGCCTGCCGTGGGGGAGGCACGCGTCGAGGACGACGGCGGCGAGGCGGGCGAGGCCGGCAAGAGCAGCACCGTCCTTGGCGACACGGCCAACATGTCGCGCAACAGCAGCGGCTTCTTCCAGGGCATCAAGTCGAGCAAGTACATGCGGAGCAGCAAGGAAAAGAAGCCCATCTCGGAGCTCGCGCCGCTCGAGTTCTCCGGCCGCTTCGCGGGCGGGCTCCGCGCCGACCTGCTGCGCCGCGTGCCGCTCTACGTGTCGGACTGGACCGAGGCCTTCACCGGCGGCAACTGCATGAAGACGACCGCCTCCATCTGCTTCCTCTTCTTCGCCTGCCTCTCGCCCGCCGTCACCTTCGGCGCCGCCTTCGCCGACGCGACCGACAACCAGCTCGGCGTCATCGAGACGATCATCTCGTCTGGCATGTCGGGCCTCATCTACTCCTTCCTCTCGGGCCAGCCCCTCTGCATCCTCGGCGCGACCGGCCCCGAGCTCGCCTTCACCGTCGTCTTTTACGAGATCTGCCAATCGGCGCGCGCTTCCCCCGCCCCCCTCTCCCTCCCCGCATCCCGGCCCGCCCGCCCCCTCCCCCTTTTCACCCCTCACCCCTCACCCCCTTAAACCCCTCACCCCCCCCCCCCCCGGCAGATGGAGGTCGACTTCCTGGCGGCGCGCGTCTGGCAAGCGCTGTGGTGCTCGCTCTTCACGATCCTCGTCGCGCTCTTCGACCTCTCGGCGTGCATGAAGGTGTGCACGCGCTTCACCGAGGAGATCTTCTCCTTCCTCATCTCGATCATCTTCATCGTCGGCGCCTTCACCACCCTCATCAAGCTCTACCTCGCCGACCCCGACGTCGAGGGCGACGACCCGGCGGCGCCGGCCAACCGCGCAAAGGCCTTCCTCGGCACGCTGCTCGGCCTCTTCACCTACTTCACCGCCATGTGGTGCCGCGCCTTCCCCAAGCGCAACGAGGCGACGCCGCTCGTCCGCAAGCTCGTCGCCAACTACGGCGTCACCCTCTCCATCCTCCTCTACTCGGGCATCAACTACGGCTTCCGCGACGTCGACGTGCCCTGCCTCGACATGCCGGACGAGATCGTGCCCACCGCGACGCTCAACGGGACCGGCGAGTCGCGCGGCTGGTTCGTCAACCCGTTCGGGGACGAGACCGCCTCCGGCTACGACACGCCCGGCGTCGGCTTCATCTTCTTTACCGCCGTGCCGGCGCTCGGCCTCGCCGTGCTCGGCTACCTCGACCAGAACCTGACGACGCTGCTCATCAACCGCAAGGACCACAACCTGAAGAAGGGCGGCGCGTACCACCTCGACCTCCTCGTGTGCGGCATCTTCATCTACCCCATCTGCGGCTTCTTCGGCCTCCCCTTCACGCACGCCGCGACCGTCCGCTCGATGTCGCACCTCATGTCGCTCATGACGCGCGAGGACTCCAAGAACGAGCACGGCCAGACGGTCTCCAAGGTGACCAACGTGGTCGAGCAGCGGGTGACGCACCTGGGCATCCACTGCCTCCTCCTCGCCGCGCTCGGCCTCTCCGCGGTGCTCACCAAGATCCCGAAGGTGGTCCTGGCGGGCGTCTTCCTCTACATGGGCGTCACGGCGCTGCCGGGCGTGCAGCTGTACGAGCGGCTCTGGCTGTGGCTCATCTGGGACACGAAGAAGTACCCGCAGTACGACTACGTGACCCAGGTGGCGCGCAAACCGCTCCACCTCTACACGCTCTTCCAGTTCTCCTGCCTCGCCGTCCTCTACGCCCTGACCAAGGTGCCAAACCCGTACATCTCGGTCATCTTCCCATTCTTCATCGCCTTCCTCCCCCTGATCCGCAAGCTGGTGCCAAAGTGCTTCCCCTCCGTCTGGAGCAAGGAGGACCTCAAGGCGCTCGACAAGTAGAGGCGAGGGGCTGTGCCGCATACCAGGCGTATGCTGGCGAGTCGCCTGCCCGCGCGGCGCAACGCGCGCGGCCGGGTCCCGGGACGCGGGAGAGGGGGTTTGCGCCTCTGAGCCGGCGCGACGCGTCTAGCGACGCGTACTCTCCTCGCGACGCTCTCTCGAATGTCGGTGACCAGGCTGAAGCAGGGGCTGTGTTCGGAACTTCCATGTGTGCGGTCGGTTCTCGTCTCGCTCTCGCGCGGCTGGGTGCCTGCGCGCGATTGCTAGAGATTCTAGATAACACTTTGTTTTTGTTTTTGCGGCTTTCAAATTTCACCCTGGACGCTCGATCGACACACATGTACTTGCGCCGCACTCCAGCTCTCGGCTCTCTCTCGTCTCGGCTCTCGCAGCACCCACAGCCAGTCAGCCACACCCCACACGCCACACCAAACACCACGAGATCGAGAACGCCCCCGGGCCCCCGCACCGCGCGGTGCCGTGAGTCACACGCACACAAATCTATGCACAAAGCACGAGTGCGTGCGGGAAAGGCCCGCTGAGCGCCAGCCGCCACGCCCGCCTAGTAGTACTACCGGGCCTACCCCACGCCGTCCGCCGCTCGTCTGGCGGGCTGCTAACTGTGCTAGCGGCAGCAGGCTGCTCGCCCTGTTGGCATGCCGACCGGCTCGTGCCTAGAATGCGGTGCCGCGGCGTGAGGGGCGGTGGCGGCCAGGGGAGACGCGTGCCCTCCGAGCCGCGCCCAAGGCTCGGGCCGAAGGCCGCGCCGACGACGACTGCGCTGGCGGTGCGTCCAGTCTGCGGGCGGCGGCGGGGGGGGGGGGGGGGGGGTTCGAACGCCTCCTCCTCGGCCGGGCGGCGGGTCCCGCGGGGCAGGAGGGGCGGCGGCTGGCCTTCTCCACCGCGTCGAGCATCTGCGTGATCGGCGGCGCCGAGAGGCCGCCTCCGCCGCCGCTCGAGCTCAGCACGGTGGCGGAGCCCGCCTCGAGGTCGACCGCGGCGGCGGTGACGCCGGCGACGCTGCGCAGCGCAACCTCGACCGCCACGACGCACGCCGCGCACGTCATCCCGCTCACGCGCAGCACCGAGAGCTGCTCGCAGGTCGGCGGGTTGGCGCTGTCCATCTCTGCAAGCCGCGGCGGCCGCGTCTTTGGAGGCTCGTGCAGGTGGCCGGCGAAGAGCGCGCCGAGCCCGAAGCCGAGGATGACGGCCGCGAAGATGTACACGTTGAAGCTCATCGCGAGCAGCATCAGCGCGTAAGACAGCCCCGTCGTCGCGACCGTGTGGGCGGCGCGCAGAAGGTTGCGGTGCGCGAGCCGGCGGCCACCGCGCGCGAGCCTCCGCTCGAGGTGGGGCAGCGCGCGGAGGGCAACCTCGAGCGCTGCCGCGGCTGCCATTGTGAGGGCGCACGCAAAGAAGAAGGCGGCGGGCGTCGCCGGCTTCCAGCTGCTGAAGAGGAACGGCACGCCGGACGTCGCGGCGCCAAAGGACATCACCATGGGCGCCATTGGTGGCATATGCATGGGAGGCATATGCATGGGCGGCATGTGCATGGGAGGCATGGGAGGAGGAGGCATACACTCTTGAGCGGCGGCCGATACCTAAGGTACCAGCGTGAAAAAGAATTTTCTCCCCCAAAGAAAAATAACGCACGGGCCCTCAGCGGAGCTGGGAAGAGGACCGCCGCAAGCGGCGTGGCGTGGAGCGGTTGTGCATCCCTCCGGGGGCCCCTCTGCGCCGGGGAGGCGTTGTTGGCGGCTAGGACGCAAGCGTCCGTCGCCCTTTTCAAACTCGGGGCCCACTCCGCTACGCTCCGACCCGAATTTGGAGGGCCTAAAAGTTTAAGGTGTTGCTGCGCAAAAGGGGTCGGACACCGGGCGCAGCTCATGCTAAGAGCTAGAAGAGGAGATAGAGAGAACAACCACCCTGTCCCGTTATTGCGTACACCAACACCACAAAACGCTCTCTCTCTCCTGTCCTCACTCAGGGGGGTCACAACTACCAAGTCCCTCGACTAGCTGCCACAGGGCGCAGCTGCCACAGGGCGCAGCTGGAGACGCTCCCCCTCAATCGGCATCCACCCCCACCCGCTCCAGCCCCACTTCTGCTGCCGAGAGAGCTGAATCGAAGCAAGCGAGCCATTGCATCTTGGCGTGCTCCTGGAGCGCGGCTTTCTGCGGCCACGAGCACGGCGGAGTCGGCGTCGTAGCGCGCATCGTTCCCGCTCATCGCCCATTCCTCCCACGTGACGTGTGTCGGCCGCGATTCGATGTCGCCACCTTCATCGCCAACGAGGACTCCCTCGACTGCAGGGGGGCTCCGGCGCGGGGAGGGACTCCGCCTGCTGCGCTGGCCGACTGCGCCCTCCTCCTCCATGGGCTCGATCCGATTCCGCAGCGGCGGTGCTGCGCGGGAGGCGGCCGCGGGCACGCTGGGCTCGATCAGGAGCTTTCCCTCAGGTAGCGCGAAAGCACGGATTTGGCGGACGTTCTGCTTTCAACTTTACGTCTTGGCACCAGCTGAAGGCTTGGGTCCCACATCGCCGGATTCGTGCACGGTATTCGGATTTTGCTATTTGCTCGTGTGGGGGTATATCGCAGATTTGTCAATGGTACCGCGTCTGCGACGCGGGCGCCTTGCGGGCAGAGCCCTTAGCCACCCTTTTATCTTGCGCGGTCAATATCCAACGTGTGTGCCAGGAAAAGAAAAATATCCGCCCGGCCTCCAAGTGCGACCGCGGTGGAGCACGAACGATGCTTCCACGCGCGTTTTTTGCTCTCGTACTATCTTGCTCGCACGGAGCTACGCTCCGGCTCCCGTCCTTCTCCGAGAGCCGCGCTGAGCGCGGCGGCCTCCGGCGCCAGCCGCACGAGGAGGCGGTGCACGCGGCTCCCCTCCGCCGACGGCGCCTCGCCGAGCACCGCGTGTCGGCGCAGCTCGCGCAGCACGAGCGGTCGCAGCCGCCCGCCCCGCTCCCACAGGCACAGCCACCGCCGCGCGTGGTCGCGCCACTCGGCGGCGCGCGCCTCGACTCGTTGGGCGAGCGTCGCGCCTCCCTCGGCCGGCCCGTCCAGGTAGCGGGGTCGCTTCCCCGCCGGCGGCGGCGGCGGCTCCGCAGAGCGGAGCAGCGACGCCGCTCGCCGCTGCAGGCTCGAGAGGCAGGCGGCGGCCAGCGGCGGGGGAACGGCCGACGGCGCGGTGCCGCCCTCTGCGGCCGCCTCAGCGTCCCTGGCGCACACCCAAGCGAGAAGCTTCGGGTGCAGCGCCTCGAGCGCGCCGGCCACGTGGGCGCTGGAGGCCGCGGCGCCGCGCAACGCGGTGAGCGCAATCGCCGCTACGAGGCTCGCCGCGGCCCCCGACCCGCCGCTAGCGCCGCCTCCGGCTCTCGCGGCGGCGCCCGCGCCGTCCAGCCCCGCGGCATGCAGCTCCCCGGAGGCGAGCCAGCAGCACGCCTGCAAGGAGGGGAGAAGGGTCCAGGCGAGGCTCGCGTGCGGCTCTCCCGAGCCCACAGCACGCCTCGAGGGCGAGCGGGTAGCACTCAAACAGGCGCGGCTGCCCGAAGAAGCCCTCCATCTCGTGGCGCGGGACTCGCTCCGCAAGCCTCGCCATCGCCATCGCAACCGCGCGCGCCGTCACCGCCTCGCCCGCCGGAAGCGGCCGGCCCTCGCTTCCCGCCGCGAGCGCAGCGACGGCGGCGGCGGCGGACCACTGCGGGTCGGCCTGCTGCGCAAGCGGCGCGAGGCGCGGCTCGAGGAGCGCCGCCTGCGCGAGCCGGAGCTGCGCCTGCCTCCGCACGGCCGGCAGCAGCGCGGCAACGGCGAGCTCCTCCGCCGCCTCCGCCGCCTCCGCCTCCTCTCTGCCGGGAGGGGGCGCGCCGAGAGCGCGCTGCAGCGCGGCCTGCGCGACGGCGTTGGGCGCGGTCGGGTTGAGCGCCAACGTGCGTAGCAAGAGGCCCCTCGCGCCGCCCGCGCCGTCACGCCCAGACAGCGCGCCGACCGTGAGCAGCCGCGAGGCTGGCGCAGCCGCGGCGGCCGTCGACGCCGATGCCTGCGAGGAGGGCCAGTGCTGCGCCTGCTGCGTGGCGAGCCAGCGGTCCACTGCCGCTGCCTCGCAGTCGTCGGCCAGCAGCGCGGCCGAGCCCTGCACGTAGTCAGCCCAGCCAAAGGCGCGGTCGACGGCCTCGCTGTTCCAATCTTGGCACTCGGTGCCCTCGGCGTGGCCCAACACGCCCGCAAACTCGCCAATCTGAGAGACAAACGCGTCGAGGTTGAGGCCGCCTTGCGACATTCAGCGGGTTGGCCCTGTTAGGGGAAACCTATTCGATCGAGTCTATGCCAACCTGCCTCAGCCGACAACTAATGAGTGTTCCTGCGCGGCAGCAAAAGAATTCTTCGTCCGCGGAACAAAATCTCTCTCAGGTGCGGACTGGCGCGTGCTAGCTAGCACTATCACAGGCAAAAGAATTTTCTGCGCTTTACTGTCCCTTTCAGGCGCTCACACTGGGATTAACACAATCAGAAGAAAGCTCCTTAACAGCTGGAAGAGAGAAAGAATCTTCTCTCTCTAACAGCTGTGAGAGTCGTGATTTCTTGTTGGTCTTCAAAAATATCTCTCTCACAATCAGCAGGGTTGGGGACATGCGGTGTTAGGGGAAGGACTCGTCACTTACTTTACAGGGAGGGAGGAAGGTTAGGCTGTACCCATGTTTCCTCGCTCACCCCGTCTCGTTTCCTTTCTGTGTTTCTCTACAGCACCCTCTCGTTTCCTCTCTAGTTTCCCGAGGAAACTCCGCGGAAATCATCAATTCACGGGCTCTGAGGCTGGTTTGGGCCCAAAATCAGCCAACTCTCGGCAAAATACCCCGGTATTTTGCGGGTATACCTGAAAAACCCCGTATACCTGGAAAATACCTGGTATTTTGCCGGTTTCCTCGGTTTCGCCTCAGATATTTTGCCGCAGACCAGCTCTCGGACTCAGGGAAACTCGAGAGTTGCCAGAATGGAGCACCAAACACCCTCTGGTTCCCTGGAAATTTCCGGAAACGAAAAGTGCTGGGGACCCTGTCGTTTCCTTTTTGGTTTCCGGAAACATGGGTACAGGCCAAGGGAAGGGTGCATAGACAGGGCGGGCCACCCTGAGACCCTTGTGCTCTGTGTGAAGCACTTGGTATGGAGCACTTGAAGCGCGCCTATTTTCTTCTAAAAAGGTCTTTGAAAGAAAAACTCTGCGACCTGTCTGCGAGTCGCCTTCTTGTTTCTTATCAACCTGCTGTGAATACCGCGTCTTGGGTCCGGGGTTGTGTGTGTTTTTCTGTGAATAACGGTGTTGCGCGGCGGCGATGCTGGCGGCCTCGCTGCTGGCGATGCCAGCCGCGCCACTGGCACGTCGGTCGCCACTGTCACCACGTCTCTCGCCGCGGTGGAGCTCTCTGCGACGAGGACGTGGCAATGCGCTGCTCTGCTCAAAGCGATGCTGGCTCTGCTGCCGACCCTGAGTGGGAGGCAGTGCTGGCGCAGCTGCTAGCAGAGGAAGCAGAGCTGCAGAGGAAGAGGAGCTCTGCTGCCGCTTCGAGCGCCGTGGCGACGACTCCGACGACGGGTGGGACAACTACAGTGAGGGGGAGGAGGATGCTGCTGTGCAGGGAGTGTCAGCAGTGAGACAGAGAATAGTGGGGGGCACAGCGCGCGTGTGTTACTTTTTTACGCGCGCTCACCCGGCTCGAGGCTCGTGCGTCGTATGTGGGCGGATGATGTGTCATCCAGTATGTTAAAATTTGTTATAGAAGTAGTCGAGCGCAGAAAAAACTTAGCCTTTGTTCAAAAACGTCGAGGGACGTCGAAACATCAGCAGAGCGCGCGCGAACGGACCGTATAGCACTATATCACAACACACACGAAGTCCGAGATGTGAGGAACATACGTAGGTAGTGTTAGCAAATACGGGGGCGGCATCACCAAATCTCTGCCTGTGTCCTCTGCCCTGCACAAAAATCATACTGCGTTGCCGGCACGGTGGCGTCGTTGCGCCGCGCTCTCGCTGCTGCCGTGCACCTCCTCGGGCGCGCTCCGCTGGGTCTGCGCGCGGCTTGCGCTCTGCCCGCGCTCAAACTTCGTCCGAATCAGGCCTGGCCGACGTACTTGATGGGCACGGCATCGTGCGGGCCCTTGAGGAGGATTTGGCCTACAGAGGGGGGGAGCAGCGCCTGCTCGCGCCGCGCGGGTCGGGGAGGGTGCCTGGTGAGGGGGCGGCGGCGCGTGCCTTCCCACTGCAGGAGTCCTCGCTTGCGGCCCGCCTGCGAGGGTGAGGGAGGAGTCTCGTCAGAGCTGGCAACGCGGCAGGGAGGAGCTCAGCCTCGCGCCTTGAGCGTGCCCACCAGCGACTCGAGCTGCTGCTCGAGCTCCTCGTCGTCCATCACCTGCTCACAGCGCACGGTGTCGAGAGGCGCCGCCCGGAGCTGCGGCCCTGGCTTCCTGCGCGTCCGTCACTTTGCCAAAGGTCGTGCTGATCGAGCCGTCCGCCTGGGGATGACAAGCTGCGACGCGTCTACGACGTGTCTCGGGCCGGTCTCCGACACGTCTCGGAGGGCGGTGTGCGCGTGCGCAGGCAGGGCCAGGTCGTGCGGCGCCTCGGCGGTGCCGAGTCGCGGGAAGGCGGCGAGCAGCAGCGCCAGATCCTTCTCCACCCCCTCCTGAGCCTCTGCCGTGCTGCTCCCGACCGAAGACCCGACCGCCGCTGCCGGCGGCGGTGGTGTCGCCGCGGCGGCCGGCGGCTTGCGTGCCGCGCCTCCGGCGGGCGACTTTTGCACCGGGACAAAGCTCGTGGGCGTCCCTCCGCCGGAGGGGAGGACTTTAGGGCCGCCACCAAACAGCGCCTTTGCCGCAGCGTGGTTGCCCGAGCCCTTGATCTCTGCGCGAGCCGCGGCGGCGTTTTTCTGCGCGGCGGTCATCTTCCAGTTTGGGACGACCTTGGCGCCGGTGCCCACCTCATCCGCCAGCTTGCCCTGCAGGCCCGCGAGGGCCTGCCCATGCTGGCTCGAGCCCTGCGATTTTGAGACGACACCGGCACTACCCTTGCGGTTCAGGTTTGCCATCGCCTGCTGCCGCGCCGACTGCAGAGCCTTTTCCCCTTCGGCCGCTTTTTGCTCGGAGCTCACGTGCCGTGCGTTGACTTGGATCTCATCCGACGAAGCACTGAGGGCAGCCATGGCGGCCGCGCGCTGGCTGCTCCCACTGCTCGGCGACTCCGCCATGTCAGCGCACAGCGAAATGCAGAGGAGCTGCAGAGGTGCACGCTAACAAACAGGCCCTCGCAAAGCGAGCGCTGATGTCGCCGCTTCTCGTCTCGAGAAAAAAGACACAGTTCGCGGCTCGAGAACACAACCTCTCTTTTTTTGTCTGCTTTCTCTCTTTCTTTTTACGCACAGGAGAGAGCAGACAGAGGGTGTGCGCCTCGCCCCCACTTGCCCTGACTGCACAGGATTGCGTGCCCCGAAGACGGCGACACATAGCGGGGGACACTGACTGCGCAAGGAGGGGGTGCGATGGCCCCTCCCTCGCCGCGCCGATCCTCACGCGGTCGCGGAGGGTAAAAACCCTGTGGGAGGACCGAGGGCGGAGGGGTGGGAGGAGCCCCTCTGGAGTGGGGGTAGGGAGGCCGCTCGGGGCGGGGGGTTCTAAGCGGCGATGTCGGCTGCCTCGTCGTGTTGCGTTGGTGTCTATTAGCTCCGAGTAGAGGGGGCGTTCCGCAGCTAGGGGAACCCCAAAGCGCAGAGCCAACCCTCGGAGACCGTGTTTACTTTACGGCCCTTTCCCTGCGAACGCGCACCCCCCCAGGGCTAGGGCTCTCTAGCCCGTAACCCGATGCCTGAGGGAGGGTGTAGAGGATGTAGAGTGTAGAGCGCTGTAGAGCTGTAGAGATGTAGAGCGCTCTGGAGCGCTGTAGAGCTGTAGAGCTCTACATCCGCCGCGTGACGAGGCGCCTGCGTTGTAGAGCGATGTAGAGCGCGATTTTGTTGTAGAGTTTGTTGTAGAGGCTCTACAGCCAAACCGCCGGGAAGGCAGTGACTCAAAGAGGTCGAGCCGCGCTAATGGGGTGTCTCCGAGCTTAGTGAAGCTCTGATGGACAGCCCTGACTATCCCTGACACACAGAGAGTCCCTCTGACGGCACACAACACCCTATAACTGCGTCATGACCAGCCTGCCATGTGTCGCCGGTGCCGCATTCGTCGCTGTGCTTCTTTAGCAGGCGGTGGACTGTCGGCTGCGAGGACGGTCGCATTTGCGCGAGGCGAGGCGAGCATTCAGACGCGTTGTATGCGCCATGACTCGCGCCAGCGCGTGCGGGAGCTCCTGGCTGAGCGTTGAGTCCAGGCGAGTTGCGCTGGCCACGATCGCTACGCCGAGCCGAGCTGACGCGCCGAGGCGCCGGCCAGTCGCAGCCGTGAGGCATGCCATAGCAGCAGAGGCACCTGCCACCCATTGGGCGGGTAGACAGAAGGCCAGGGCCGCACTGGCAAGTGCAACGCGCCTCATGTCGGAGAGCGACCGTGCCTCGTTCGCCGCTTATGATGTAGAGTTTGTTGTAGAGATTTCACGTTGTAGAGCGCCTCTACATCGCTCTACAACGCAGGCGCCTCGTCACGCGGCGGATGTAGAGCTCTACAGCTCTACAGCGCTCCAGAGCGCTCTACATCTCTACAGCTCTACAGCGCTCTACACTCTACATCCTCTACACCCTCCCTCAGCCCGATGCCAATCATCCGGCCCGCTGGGTGTGCTTCTTAGCCCCCCGGCCCTGGATGTGCGGTTAATGACTGCACTCCAAGTGCTCCAAGGTCCGCTCGAGTGTCGAGAACACAACGCACTCTCTCACATGACAAGCGATCCCACGACAGCGATTCGAAGTCGCCGCCGAGCTCGCAGATGTCAGTCACGGACGTGTCGTTGAGGTGCCGCGTCACCACGGGCTTTTCCTTGTCCCCGAGGATGATGCTGCCAACCGAGCGTGCCCGGATGGCATTCTGGGCGGCCCTTGCACCCCGTTGTGCTTGGAGGTGCGGTCGCCCTTGTTGGAGTTGGCGAGGGAGTCGCCCTTGCGCTCTCCCACCGTGACGTGCTTGCCCGCGGCGGCCTGCTCGACGAGAGTGGGCTCAATCACCGACAAGTAGAGCCGGAGAGGTGCTCTGCTGCGTGAAGAGGTCGCCAATAGGCGGGATGCGCTGCGCCGACGGCAGCATGGACGGACAGAAGCGGCCAAGCTCGTACGTGTGGCAGAGGCCAAACTCCTTGTCTTGTGCACGCACCGCGTGGATGCGCGCGACATCGCCACGCCGTTGGCTGATGTCATTGTAGAAAAAAGATAGAAGCGGTCGTCTCATGTCCGTGTCGGGTGCCTACTAGCTCCGAGTAGAGGGGGCGTTCTGCTGCTAGGAGAAACCCGGAGCGCGGAGCCAACCCTCGGAGACCCGTGTTTACTTCATGGCCCTTTCCCTGCGAACGCGCACCCCCAGGGCTAGCTAGGGCTCTCTTGCACCCGCAAGGCGCCGCAACCCGTCCCCGAGCATCTGGCCCGCTGGGTGCGCTTTTTAGCTCCCCGGCCCTGGATGTGAGGCTGCCAACTGCACTCCAAGTGCTCCAAGGATCGACCGGGGGTACCGGGGCGCCGGCGGGACGCGCTGCTGGGAGATCGATCGGCTGCGAGGCAACCCTCCCTCCCTCCCTGGCAGCCTTGCACTCAAGCGCCACAACCCCGGCATCGGCAATGCGCGGAGCGCGCCAGGGAGTGTTTGGTGGCGTCTGTAGGGAGTGTGCTCCGGGGGGCGGCATCCCACCCTGCTACACGGTATCCCGCCGGGCCCGTGGCGGCCAGTGCCCTCCGACCTCCGTGGCGCTGGCGGCGCCGACACCTATCTCGATAGCATGGCGGAAGTGGACAGGGCCACCTTGCCCCCTTCCTGACATGCATGCGCCTTCCCGCACGAGGATAGGACCACCACGGACCTCAGTAGTGGTAAGTTTGTTGGGTGTTGATGTCATACTCCGCGGTGCCCGCCCTCCTTCCCTCAATGTCCACACGGGACACCGCACATGACAGGCTCGCAGAGTCTGCGGCCATGGCCCGGCTCGAACCTCGATCTCGAGGTGGACGGGCACCTCGGAACAAGCTCGAACCTCGATCTCGAGGTGGACGGGCACCTCGGAACTAGATAGTCCGACACAAAACACACACACCCGTCATCGCAGACGTCCACGCCACGAATGGCCCGCAACCATCCACGTCACACACGCGGCACGATCTGGCTTGAGCTTCTGTGGGAGTTCAATGCTGCACGACCTCCTTGTTGACCGTGTCCAGCTTGAGCGCCATGGCAGCATTCGAGTCCTCCAGGCGCTTGATGCGGTCTAGCGTGGTGGCGCCGAGGTACAACACGCCTCCGAAGACCACGCCTCGGAAGGCTGCCCTCGCGAGTAGGACGCGGCGAAAAGTGTTGCCATCGACGCACATCATCTTCCTCGCGCCCTCGGCACTCGCCCCTGTCGTGGTTGCCATTGTCATGTCGTCGTGTCGAGAGATCGTCTAGAGCGTCGTCTAGCTAGATAGAGGTGTAAGGGCCTCGTGCGTCCCACAACTCTGACTCGTAGTGTCCCCTCCCACCACCGCCCCGGGTTTTCTCAGTGAGCCACTTGAGCACTTGATAGGGTCGATTCCGCATGGTACGGGACCCAGGTACTTTTAGCTTACTGGGAGAGAAGGGAGAGGGGGTTGTGTTCTCTAGCTAGGCCCCTAAGCGCTAAGGGCCCTACGCGGCGCGAGAGCTCGGAAGCGAGTCTCTCTCTCAGTGTATGTAGCTCTTACTTACGTACATTCCCGGAGGAGGACTGCTGACGGGGTTTGCGATGAGAAGCGATCCGAACGTGGCATTCAGGTGATTAGATCACTACCGCCGAACGAAACGCAAGAGCACTGACTGCGACGCATCGGCTCATGCTGGCATCCACCTCGCGGGCCGATCTTCTGGCCCAGCGAGGATGCTGCGGCGCACTCGCGGGCCGATCTTCTGGCCCAGCGAGGCCGCTGCGGGACACACCGGCGGCTGACCGGCGGCTCGGTTCGCTCCTCAACGCAAACTCGGTCGAGCAAGAAGTCAGGTGTGCGGATGAGAAGCGATCAGAACGTGGCATTCGGGTGATTAGATCACTACCGCCGAAACGCAAGAGCACTGCGACTCATCGGGCTCATGCTAGCATCCACCTCGCGGGCGGGCCGATGTTCTGGCCCAGGGAGGCTGCCGCGGAGCACTCGCGGGCCGATTTGTTTTACAGAAGGAAAAGAGAAAAATCGGGAAAACACTTTCGCCCCGCGACTCTACGCTGCTCCTCCCGTTCTGTTCCCAGAGGAGCAGCTGTGAAACTGCTCCGAAAGTGGAGCAGAATTCGAGCAGTCACGCTGGCCGCCGCGCGTCTCGCGCAGGCTCGCGACAACGCGCTGCGGCTGATGGCAAGCAGCCGGTTGGCGTATCTCCTCCTCCTCCTCCTCCTCGAGCGAAGCGCAGCGCAAAGCGTGTCAACTCTCCAACCAGGCGCTCACGCGCTTCCCGCCACCACGCCCGGCAATCTATTCGTCGTTACGCGGGTGTCAAGCGACGCAGCGAGGCAGCCAGCAGCACGGTCCTACGACGGTCACGATTGGGAGTCAGCGGTTCCGCTGCTCCTAACGGTGACTTGCGAGTCCGGTGACTGCGCTGTGCAGATCCCAAGCCACTCTGACGGAGGCTACTATGAACTGGAACGCTTCACCGCGGACGGAGCACCCTCTGCCGAGGAGACAGCGGCTCGACTCCTCATGCAAGCCGCCTTTGGACCCGACCGCACATCGGTGGCTTCTCTCGCTGCCGACCTCAGCACCGACGCGGCCGCCGCTGTGGAGGGCTGGGTGCACGCGCAGATGGCGCTACCAGCGACGCTGTTACGCTCCTACTTTCGGTCGAAAGCGAATCCTCGGCTCCACTCGCCGCTGGCCACGGGCGGCGTGCGGCGTGCATGCGACGCCTCCTCGCGCTGGCACCGGTACGCCTTCAGCAAGGAGGACGTGGGCAAGGCGCTCTCGGTCTCGGAAGAGAATGGCGTCTACTCGTGGCGAGTCAACAGCGAGATCCGCGTTGAGCTCGACTCGCCATCGCTCGCGGCAGGCGAGTACACGCTGTGCGCAGTCAGCGAGTCAGTCGATGGCATGCTCCTCGTTGGGGCGCCTAACGACGCTTGCACTGACCTGACCTCCCTAACCAACCCCACCATTGTCTTTCGCTCGCAAGCGGCAATCGACGCCCTCTTTCTGCTCCCCGCATCGTCTGCTACCCTCACTCCCATCGCGGGCGTCGCCGACGCAGCTGTCCTCGATGCTCTCGTCGGCGAGCCGACGCTGCCGCCTTGCACGGAATCTATCCTCCGAACTGAGGGGGGCGAGTTCTGGCGGTTTGATGGCCGCCTCCACCTCGAGCAGAATACGCTCGATAGCCCCGCTGCGGGCGCAGAGTCGGAGCTAACCTACAAGTCGGGCTGCCCCAACGTCGCAAAGACCTTTTTGACGCGCGGAAAGTGCAAGCTGCAAGAGACGTGCGCCCCGCTCGTGTTCGGTAGTCAGCTGCTCCAGCTCGATGCGGCGACGCTGCGCGCCTTCTACACGCTCAGCAGCAAGTACGTCTACGTCGTCGAGGGGCTTCGCCTCGAGACGCCGTACGACGAGTCGCCCTGCTCCGCCGCAACCACGCGGTGGGAATTTGCTGACGGGCCGTGCGACGCTGACTCGCCGCTCGACCCGGCGACGCGGGACACGATCGTCGACGCCATCGCGGGCAGCAGCGACACGACCAACCCGTATGTCCGCGATGTGACCATCGACAGCAGCCGCGTGTGCCTCCCGGAAGACACCGTCGGCGCCTCGCTCACCGTCGACAATGACTGCTGGACGCACGTGCACCCGGACCACTTGGACGTGCGCGACTTTTCGTACTGGGCGCGAGGCACTTGTGCCTCCCTCCTGCATCCCGTATGTCGGTGACATGTCCACGGCGTGTCCACAGGCGAGCAACCATGAGGGCAACAAAGAGGCTGCAAAGGGAGGACGGCCCAACCCTATCGTCAGCCCCGCTGAGGGCGGCGACTTCACGATCCGCTACCCTCACCACCATCTCATGACGCAGTGGAACAAAAACGAGCAGTACATGGGACGGCTCGGCCGGCTTGGAGACGCTGTCGGCTTCGCGTCGCTACCCACGAGCGTCCAGACGGTTGAGATGGCGAACCTGGCGGGCGCCCTTTCGGACGAGCGCGGGCTCGGCGCGGCGGAGGCGTGCGGCTCACCGGGCGAGACAAACAATGACCCATCCAAGGCGAACCACTTTGGGCTCTACATGACCGAGTACGAGAATGGCTTCTCGGAGCTGTACGACCCCTCGTGGACGGGGGCCGCCAAAGGGAACGTCTGGATCACTGTGGTCACCAGGCAGTCTGCGACGAGGAGGGCGGGCCGACCCGCGCCCCGAGAGATTCGGAGGGACTGTCCCGTGATAGGTCGAGCGACCAGCTGCGGCAGCGGGTAGCGTGGTCGCTCTCTCAGACCTTGGTGATGAGCCACGAGGGCGTGGACACCCACCGCAAGACGGAGCTGTACCTGACCTACTACGACATTCTGGTGCGACACGCGTTCGGAAGCTACAAAGAGCTGCTCCGCGAGGTGTCGTACAGCCCGGTGATGGCCAAGTGAGACGGTGCTCTGACGCTGTTTGTGCCGCGAAGCCGCGAGTGATGCGTCTGCCTACGCGTTGTCCATAGGTACCTCACCTTCCTCGAGAACAAGGGCCTCGTCGCCGGCGGTACCTACCCCGACGAGAATTACGCGCGCGAAATCATGCAGCTCTTCACAGTCGGCCTGCACCAGCTCAACCGCGACGGCACGCTCGCACTCGACGAGGGCGGCGCCGCCGTGACAACCTACAGCAACGACGATATTATGGACTTCTCGCGCGCCTGGACCGGCTTTGCACAGCAGGCGCCGCGGGGCAACATCGAGAACTACGCGGGCGACGGCGACAAGAATATGATCGATCCGTGCAAGCTGCAGCCCGACTGGCGCGACGCCTTCCCCAAAATGGACCTCTTCGGCGGCTACATCGGCGATGGCCACCCGCTCTGCGCCGACCTGCCGCCGCGCTCCTTCCTCCGGCTGGGCGCTACCTACCGGCTGCTCGGCCACTCGGACACGCCAGTCTGGACGGCAAAGGCGTCTGGCCCCTTCACGCCCGCGCTGGGCTCGCCGCTCCGCGATTTCCTCGACGCGGCCCAGAGCGGCGACGTCGTCCTGACTAGTAGCCTGCCGTGCCACGGCGACGAGTGCCGCCTCCAGAGCGTCGATGTCGTCGAGGTGCCGCGCGCAAGCGGGGGGAGCCTCTACTTCGAGTTCATCCGCCCGCCGTGCGTCGAGTTCGCTTTTTACAATGCGCCGCAGCGAGTGCGGGAGAATCGCGGGAACCAGGACACCGTCCGCTGTGCCGACCCAACGACCCTCGGAGGCGGCACCGCGTGCTGCTCCGGCGACGGTACCACCGCCACGCCACAGTGCAGCTACATTGGCGAGACGGTGACCTTTGACGAGGCGAGGCGCCAGTGCGCCTCGCTCGCGGAGCCCGGCTCGCACCAGGCGCTCTGCGACTGGTACTCGAATCCGATCGTCGTAAAACTCGAGTGCGGCTACACGTGGACCAACGCGGCCTGCGACCGGCTGCAGGTTCAAGTGCACCCGACGGGCTGGGTGAGCATCGTCCACTCGGATACGACGGACCTACATTTCCAGCGGGACAATCGGAACCTCTTCCGCGTGCGCTGGAGCGGTGGCAGCCACCCGACGCCGGACACAGGCTGCGCGTCCTGCGACGTCCATGGCGACAGCTGCGTCTGCGAAGTGCAAGTGCAGGAGGTGCCGGTCTTCACGGACGGCGGCGCGATGCCAGCGAGCGCGGCGGCCCTCCGGCAGATGTTGCCGATTGGGAGCGCCGCGCCAGACGCCTTCGACCCGGGCACGTACCAGCTGTGCAGCCTCGCCTGGTGCGACGCGGTGGAAGCAGAGGTCTATCTCAGGCCCGGAGAGACGCGTCCGGCGCTCGACACGATCTTCAAGGTCGCGAGTAACTCGAGCATCGACGGCTTCGTGCACCTCCTCAACCGGGTGTCGACTGTCCGGGTCGGCGGCGATGGCGACTTCAGCTTCCGGAACACGCCGCATTTCGTCTCGTTCATCCCGACGCTGCGCGCCGCCCGCGACGCGGAGCACGAGACCGAGGCCGTCCTCGACCACCTCGTCACGCACCCAAACACGGCTCCCTTCCTCGCCCACCGGCTCATCCAGCGGCTGGTGACCTCGAACCCCTCGCCGCGGTACGTCAAGGCAGCAGCCGACGCCTTTGCGAGCGGCGCGCACACGGGCGGCCTCATCTTCTCGGGCAAGTACGGCGACCTCGGCGCGATGGTCGCGGCCATCCTCCTTGACCAGGAGGCGAGGTCGCCCACGCTCGAGCTCGACCCGACCCACGGGCTGATGCGAGAGCCCGTGCTCAAGGTGATGCACGTCCTCCGCGCGATGGAGTACACGTCGGTCGACGACCGCCACGTCGAGCTCTCGAGCATGCAGAGCCGGATCGGGCAGTTCGTCTTTGAGTCGCCGTCTGTCTTCAACTTCTACCTGCCCGAGTACACCCCTCCCGGGCCCGTCATGGAGGCTGGCCTCGTCGCGCCCGAGGCGCAGATCTGCACCACGCCCAACCTCATCTCCTTTCTGAACGGGATGGTCTCACTTGTGATGGACGGCCTCACGAGCTGCTGGAAGGGCTTTGGGTGGGGCAACACCGGCTGCGGGGGCCTGTGGCAGAACCTCGCCCGCCGGCGCGCCGACGCCGACGGGAGGCTCGCCTTTGCTCCAGTGGACCAGTCGCCGGCCGGCGCGGTCGCCGCGCTCGACCTGTACCTGACGGGCGGCCGGCTGCAGGAGAGGACGAGGGGCCTCGTCGTGTCGCGCTTCGAGGAGGAGCTCCTCACCAAGAACTTCTCGGAGGCGTTCCGCATCGCCCAGCTCCTCGTCCTCTCGGCGGCAGAGTTCCACACCACAAACGCCGCCGCGATGAGCGACGAGTACCGGCCGCAGCCGCAGAGGGCCGAGCCCGCGGGCCGGCCATACAAGGCCATCGTCGCGCTCTTCCTCCACGGAGGTGCCGCCTCGCACGCCCTGCCCATACCACCACCTCTGTGACGCGTCCAGTGCCGTGCCCGGGCAGGTGCCGACTCGTACAACATCCTCGTGCCGCACTCGGGCTGCAAGGACGCGGACGGTGCCTCGCTCGACCTGTACGCGGAGTACGCCGCCGTGCGCGGCGAGGGCCTCGCCATCCCGCGCGACGACCTCCTGCCAATCACAGACACGCTCCAAGCCCCGGGCCAGGCCTGCTCGACCTTTGGCCTCCACCCGCGGCTCACCGAGGTCCAGACTCTCTTCGGTGAGGGCGCCGCGGCCCTCTTCGCCAACGTCGGAGCGCTCGCGGAGCCGATCACCAAGGCCGAGTTCAAGGCAAAGACGAAGCCGCTGCCGCTGAGCCTGTTTGCGCACAACGCGCAGCAGATCGCGGCGGCGAACCTCCACGCCGACTCCCTCACCGCCAAGGGCGTGATGGGGCGGCTGGCGCACGCGCTCGCGTCGCAGGACCCGCCATACCGAGTCGGGTCCTACTCGATCGACGGCAACCAGAAGATTCTGCAGGGCGACGGGGAGCCCGCGAGGATCATTAACCGCAAATCTGGCATCGACCAGTTCACCTACTACTCCACCCTGGGCGAGACGCTCGCAAACTTGTCGGCGACGCGCGCTCGCTCCGTGTTTGCAGAGACGTACGGCAGCAGCCTCGGCGAGGCCTTTGAGCAGAGCGAGGGCCTCGGCGCCACCCTCGAAAGCGCGCAAGTGTCAGACGAGTACGCCGCGGCCAACGCGGCGTACGACCCCAACTCGCAGCTCTGCCAGCAGTTCGAGCAGGTCACCTGTAGATGCCCTTGCAGATCGATTTCCAGATACGTCCACCTTCCCTTCACTTTCCCTTCCCTTAGGTCGCCAAGCTCATCGGCCTGCGGAGCAACCCGCTAGAGGCGGAGCGTGACGTCTTCTACGTGCAGCACAGCGGCTTTGACACGCACTCCGACGCCGGTGGTATCCTCGACGAGAAGATGGAGGAGTTCAACGCCTGCGTCGGCGCCTTTGTGGCCGAGATGAAGCGCACCGGCACATGGGAGCAGGTCACAGTTGTGACTCTCTCCGATTTCGGCCGCACGCTCACATGGAACGGCCGAGGAACGGACCATGCATGGGCGGGCCACCAGATGGCTCTGGGCGGAGCCCTCAAGAGCGGCCAGGCTTCTGCGCGTGCCCCGCGGGAGTTTGGGAGTGGAACCTTCGCGAAACCCTCCCGGAACCTTCCCTAGGTCTTCGGCGAGTACCCACGCGACCTCCGCGAGACCGACGCAAACCCGCTCAACATCGGGCGAGGCCAGCCCGCCTAGATGCAGATTTGACTACCTTGTCTCCACTTGGGGCCCGGAGTGACTCTGCCTTCACCGCTGTACAGGCCGGCTGATCCCCACCATGCCATGGGAGGGCATCTGGCATGCCCTCGCACAATGGTTCGGGGTTAGCGACGCCGACACCATGAAGACCATCCTGCCCAACCTCCACCGCTTCGACCCGGTCGCCAACCACATCATCACCGCGGAGCAGCTCTTCGAAGCCGCGCCGCCAAGCCCGCCGGTGCCGCCGCCAAGCCCGTCGCCCCCACCAGCGCCGCCCGCACCCCCGTTGTCACCGCCGACGATGCCGCCGCCGCCCAAGTCGCCGCCACAGCCAAACATGCCACCTCCGCCATCCCACTGCCGTGGGCCCATCATGAAGTCGTGGGAGGGGATGAACACGTGGTGGTCTGACCGCGACGCGCGCGAGAGCGACTGCAGCTTTCTTTGCGTCGGCAACCACAACGACGGCACCCGGCGCAACCCTGGCTGCCAGTGCTTCCAATTCTCCACCGCAAACGGCGGCTCGTGCGTCATCTACCACCAGGCCCCCTCGTCTCCACCGTCGTTGCCCGCGCCGCCGCTGTCGCCTCCCCCGCCGCCGTGCGTGACGATCGTGGCGCCTCCTGTGCGTGACCAGTGGGGCACCGACCACAACCAAGCAAATCTCTCCGGCAAAGGCGACTGGTCACGGTCCGACATCCAGGCCTACACGGGCTACGACGCGGCGCAGTTCCGCGTCGTCTCGATCAGGTACTGCGCCTCGATCACCTTTAGCGCCGGCATCGGCAAGCTGCGCCTCAAGGTGAAGGCGGAGGGCCTAGCTGACGCCAGCGTGGACGGCCAATGGCTCGTGAGGTCGCCGCGGCGCGGTGGCAGCGCCACGACGCTGACGGACGCGTGCTGGGAGGCGGGCGCGACAGCACTGATGCCCGAGACGGCGGACGGCGCGCCCTTCACAGGCACGTGGCGCGCGGACGGCGACCTGAGTGCCTTCATCGATGCGGGACTCGGCACGGATCTCCACCCGACGGTGTCTCTCTCGGTCAACACGGACAGCGACGACGATGTCAGCGACTCCGCCTTTGGCATGATCGACAGCTTCTCCGCAACCTTCTGCTACGCTCCGCACCCGCCGCCATCGCCGCCGCCCCCGTCGTCGCCCCTTCCACCGAGCCCGCCACCGCCTGCGCCCCCGCCGCCGTCGCCGCAGCCGTCGCTGCCGCCTCGGACGCCGCCACCGTCGCTCCCGCCGTTGCCGCCCCCCCCGCTTTACCCTCCTGAGATTCCTGAAGGAGAGCCCCAGGCGCCACCACCACGACCGTCGGCGCCCCCGCCGAGCGCACCCCCGTCGCCGTCGCCACCGCCGCCATCCGCACCACCAGCGAGGCCGCCGCCCTCGCGGCCGCCATCGTCACCGCCATCGCCGTTCCCGTCGCCACCGCCGTCCCAGCCGCCGTCGTCGCCGCCGCGGTCGCCGCCGTCGCCACCGCCGTCGCCGCCGCCGTCGCCATTGCTGCCGCCTTCGCCGCCGCTCGCCCCTGGCTCCATCACGGACCCCGCCGAGTGCGCCGACGGCACGTGCTGCGTCGTGCTGTACCATGGTGCCAAGGGTGAGCAGTGCAAAAGCGTGGCCATCTGGGACCTGGGCGGCTGGGTGCACCCCGGGGGCAGCATTGTGACGGCCTCCAGCCTCTGTGGCCTCGTCCGGTACAACTGGCGCGCGCACACAAACAGCCATGTCGGTGAGGATGCGGAGAGCGGCCAAACGCTCAGCGGCGGCGGCGAACGAGTCGGGACGTATACCCACCCAGGCTGCTCCTCGCTCTCACCCTCGCCGCCGCCGCCATTCTCCCCGCCGCCGCCGCCCTCGAAGCCGCCACCGCCATTCTCGCCGCCGCCGCCACCCTCGCCGTCGCCGTCGCCCCCTCCCTACCCTCCGGGCACGACCGTCTTTGACGACGTTGTCACCTTCAACGTCACCTTCGCGGCGGACTGCGCCAGCTTCAACGAGACCGCGTTGCAGCGGCGCCTCGCCTACCTCTTGGACGTGGAGCCAGCCCGCGTCTTCCTCTCCGTCGCGTGCGGCTCTGTGCTCGTCTCTGTGCAGATCGTCGCGCCAAACCGGCCAGCGGCCGAGGCCCTCGTGCAGACCCTCTCCGCCGAGGTGCTCTCGAGCGAGCAGGCCGCCTCGGACGCGCTCGGGGAGGAGGTGATTCATGTCGGCCTCGTTGAGCTGGGCGCGCCGCTCGTGGTGCCGCCCCCCGAAGGAGCGCCCCCCGAAGGAGCGCCGCCCGACCCCGGAGGCGGGGGGGCCCCGGCCGGGTCACGCACGATGCTCATCGCCGTCATCGCCACGCTCGCGCCGCTGGCGTGCTGCGTGGCGGCGGCGGCGGCGTTCTTTGTGCTACGCGGGCAGAGGGTGCGCGTCGGGCGCGGGTCAATGGTGCACCTGACGAGGACGAGTGCTCTCACACCCGTGAAGTTCGGAGGGTCGGAGAGGAGCGGTCGGAGCGGCGGCAAGTCAGAGCGGAGCGGCCGCAGGTCGTCAATGCTCGACGAGGCGACGGCCGCGCCCGCCCCCCCTGGCACGAGCCCATCCCTGTGGCGAGTGCCCCGCCGCCCAGAGAAGGGTCGCGAGGACGAGCCGCACCCGAGCTTCACCCCGAGCTCACTAAGCCAATACATCTGACGGCCGGGCGCGGGGGCCGCCGGCCCTTGGCCTGTCGCGTACGCATGCATGCAGGGGGAAGGGACCTCGGAGTGAGAGCTGTCGCACTAGGCTACCGTGTTGATTAGATGAGCTTGCACATACAGGCTAGTTCCTTTGTCGAGTACGGGTCAGTACGGGTCAGTACGCTGTTTTTGGCGGAAGGACTTCATCTGTCTTCGAGTTAAAAAAGAGTTCTGAAAACTCCCTACGCCGGGCAACCTTCGTTCCAAGCCGCGCCGCACGCGGAGAGGCACGCCCGATTGGGCTGCTGCAGGCCGGGGGCCGCGGACGTCGGGTTGCCTGGAGGCCGCCGCCGGAGAGGCTACATCATGCAGGACCGCCCTCGCGATAGCGCAACTAAGCGAAAGCCCACTTCTCACACGCCTATGGGTACCCTGGTGGGCGGGGCCTCTGCTGGCGCCAGAACTCGCCCTCTGCGCTCTTGCCGCCACTCCGCGCCATGTACGCCCGCGGAAGACCCACGCCGCCCGCGGCCCCCGCCCCTGCCCCCGCCCCCCCCCCCCCCCCCGGGGGGGGAAGGCCCGGCCGTCGGAGCGCCGTGCATGGCGGCGCCGCTCCGTGGTTTTGCCCTACGCTTCCGACCGCCACTATTGTGCACGCCACCATCAGGACGTCCTTCACCGTGAATGCAATCCTGGAGGAGACGTCCAAGCGCGACAAGGACTACCGCTACATGGCCACCTCGGACCTGCTGTCTGAGCTGCAGAAGGAGAGTTTCAAGCCCGACACCGACGGCGAGAAGAAGATCTGCAAGGCGATCCTCAAGCTCCTGAACGACCAGAGCTCAGACGTTCAGGGTTCGCCGTCCGCACGCTGCACCGCCAGCCTCCCTCGCGACCCGACGTGGTCGCCCCGCGACGGCCGCTCGCGCGCGCGCGCCACCGCCCTATCGCGCCGCCACCCGCGCCGCCCCGCAAGACGCTCACCTCCCCGCAAGACGTTCACCTGGCGGCGGCTCTGTCCTTGCGTTGCAGGCCTCGCCGTCAAGTGCCTGCCGCCTCTCGTGCGCAAGGTGCACGACGCACAGGTGGACGCGATCATCACCGAGCTCTGCAAGTTCGTGCTCGAGGGCAAGGAGGAGCAGCGCGACATCTGCGCCATCGCCCTCAAGACAGTCGTCGTCGAGATGCCCTCCTCGATGGGCGGCGCCGCCGCGAGGCAGTTGGTGCGCTCCCGCCCCTTCCGGCACTGCTCGCGGCGCCACGGCGGGCGGCAGACCGTGCGCCCACGCACAGCGGTGGCCCGCGTCGCGCCCGCCGCCACCGACCGATTGGGCGCCCGTCGTCCCTCCGCCGAGCGCGCCACTGCGCCGCCGCGCCACCGCAGGTGCCTCGGCTCGTCTCTGGCGTGCTCAAGGACAAGCTCGAGGTGAAGCTCGAGAGCATGGACATCCTGAACGACGTCCTCCGCCGCTTCGGCTCCCTCCTCAAGCCGGAGCTCTCGGCGCAGTGCAACGACGCGCTTTTTGCGCAGCTGGCCTCCACGCGCGCGGCGACGCGCAAGCGGGCGATCTCGTGCATCGCGGCGCTGTCGGCGGCGCTGTCGGACAAGCTGCTCAGCCAGCTGGTCGGCTCGATCGTCGAGCGCATGAAGATGCCTGCCGTCGACCTCGACCTCGGCCGCACCTACATCCAGACGCTGTCCGCCATCTCGCGCTCGGGCGGCTACCGGCTCGGCCGGCAGCTCGAGCTGGTGATGCCGCTCGTGCTGCAGCAGTGCGAGCCGGGCTCGTCCGCCCCGGGTGCCTCGGACCCCGAGATGATCGAGTCGTGCCTGCAGGCCTTCGAGTCGTTCGTGTCTCGCTGCCCGGCCGAGGTTGGCGCGTATGAGGAGCCGATCGCAAAGGCGTCGCTGCACTACCTGCGCTTCGACCCAAACTACGCGGACGACGACGAGATGGAGGAGGACGACAACGACGAGGAGGAGGAGGAGATGGAGGACGACGAGGACGACGAGAACTACTCGGACGACGACGACGTCTCGTGGAAGGTTCGCCGCGCCGCGGCCAAGGTCCTCTCTGCGGCGCTCGTTTCGCGGCCAGACAAGCTGGCTGCGATGGTGCCGCGCGTGGCGCCGACGCTCATCTCGCGCTTCCGCGAGCGCGAGGAGAACGTCAAGATGGACGTGTTCGCCACCTTCAACGTCTTGCTCGAGCAGGTGGGCATCGCCAACCGCGCCGCCTCCGAGGCGGCCGCCGCCGACGCCATGGTTGTGGACGGCGAGGGAGGCGGCGCGGTCTCGCCCGCGGCCACGGCGCTGCTGGCCGAGCTGCCGCGGCTGATCAAAGCGCTGTCGCGGCAGCTCCAGGAGAAGGCCGTGCGCACGCGCACCGCCGCCTTCAACTGCCTCCGCCAGCTCGCCTCCTCCCTGCCCGGCTGCCTCGGAGAGCACGCGAGCTCGCTCGTGCCCGGCGTCGTGCGCGCGCTCAAGGACGCCTCCGCCAACCCGCTGCGGATCGAGGCGCTCGCGTTCCTGCAGCTCGCGCTGTCGACGCACCCGCCGGCGGTCTTCCAGCCGCACGCGGCGACCCTCGTCCCCACCGTCCTCTCGCTCGTCGAAGACCGCTACTACAAGATCACCGCCGAGGCCCTCTCCGCGTGACGCCCGAGGTTGCCCGAGGTTGCCCGAGGTTTTACCCGCGATTGCCCGAGTAGGCCCTCCGCGTGTCGGCGGAGCTCGCTCGCGTGCTGCGACCGTCGCCGCCCGACCCGCCCACCTTCGACTTCGCCGCGCTGGTCGCGCCGCTCTTCACCTGCGTCTCGGCGCGGCTGGTGGCGCAAGACCAGGACCAGGAGGTCAAGGAGCGCGCCATCGAGTGCGTCGGCGCCGTCGTCTGCCGCCTGGGCGACCTGCACGCCGAGGTGCGGCCCCGCCGCCCGCCCTCCCCGGTCCCAACGGCGCCGCCTCACTCGCCTCCGGTGTGAGCAGGCGCTGCCGGCGCTGCTTCCCGTGCTGCTCGAGCGGATGCGCAACGAGATGACTCGCATCGCAGCCGTCAAGACTTTCGCGCTGCTCGCCGCCGCCAAGGTCGACGCCCAGCTCGCTTCGCCGCTCGCCGGCACCGGCGGCAGCGTGCTGCAGGCCGTCGTGGGCGAGCTGGCCAACTTCCTGCGCAAGTCGGACAAGCCGCTGCGGCAAGCCGCCCTCTCGGCGCTCGACACCATCGTCACTTGCCACGCGGCGGCGCTCGCCCCCGCAGACTATGACGGCGCGCCGGAGCGGAGTGGGCGCCGTGCACAGGGCGGGTGTCGCGGACTCGCCTTCGACGCGCTCGCCCTTTAGGCGTGCTGGAGCAGATGCCGCCCCTGCTCTCCGACGCGGACTTGCACGTCGCCCACCTTGCCCTCGGCGTGGCGCGTTCCCTGGTGCTGCAGGCGGCCGACGCCACGGTGCCCAAGCTCGCGCCGGCCATCGTGCCGCGCACGCTCTCGCTGCTGCAGTCGCCGTTGCTGCAGGGGTACGCGCTCAAGTCGGCGTTCGACTTTTTGGCCGCGCTGGTGGCACACGGCGCCAAGCCGCTCGACTTCTCCTCCCTCACCAAGCGCATCCTCGCGCTCGCCGACTCCGACGGCACCGCGGCGTCGCGCCACTCGCTCGGCGTCCTCTCGCAGGCCATCGCCGCGTGCGCGACCGAGGCGAAGGCGCCGTTGCGCGCGTCGACCGTCGACGCATTCGTCAAGCAGCTCGGCGCGCCGTCCGAGTCGCCGCACAAGCGCGTGCTCGCCCTCATCTGCCTGGGCGAGATTGGGGCCAAGAACGACCTCTCGGCGCACAAGGGGCTGCTGCCCGCGGTGATGGCCGCGTTTGACGTCAACGAGGAGGAGTACAAGGCGGCGGCCTCGTACGCGCTGGGGCACGTGGCTGCGGGCAACCTCTCCTTCTACCTGCCGCACCTGCTCAAGGAGGTGGAGGCGGGCAAGCACGAGGCGCGGCAGCGGCGCTTGCAACCCCGCGCCCCCTCCCGCATCCCTGTCGCGGTCGCAGTCACCACAAGCACACGCGCGGCTGAGACGCGCCGCCGCTCCGCCGCTCCGCAGTACCTGATGCTGTCCGCGCTCAATGAGCTCGCCAAGTCGGGCGGCGCTTCCCTCGCCGCCGTCGTGCCGCAGCTCCTGCCCACCCTCTTCACCTTTGCGGAGCGCGACGAGGAGGGCGTGCGCAACGTGGTCGCCGAGTGCATCGGCCGGCTCGCCGCCGCCGCGCCGGCGCCCGCCCTACGCTGCCCTCTCTCTCTCATGAGGCGCGTCCACGACACGTCCACGGCTCTGCCCCGCAGGGTCCCGTCCTGCCAGAGCTCGAGTCGCGCCTCTCGCACGCCTCGCCAAACGTGCGGTCGGTGGTTGTGCACGCGCTGCGCTTCACCCTCACCGAGGAGGCGCGCCGTGCAGTCCCCCCCTCCACGCTCCACAAGTTCCTCGGCGCGCTCGGCGACGAGGACCTCAAGGCGCGGGCCTTTGCGGCGAGGGCGTTCGCCCAACCTCTCCCTGAGCCTGCTCGGAGCTTTGCTAGGTGCGGCGCGGCGCGCTGCTGACGCTCAACTGCATCGCGCACAGCCGGCCCGCCACGCTGCGCGACCCGATCAGCGGCGGCGAGCTGCTGCCGCTCCTGTACGGCGAGACGGCCAAGCGGCCCGAGCTCGTGCACCAGGTCGACCTCGGCCCGTTCAAGCACTTTGTGGACGACGGCCTCGAGCTGCGCAAGGCACAGCACACACGCACGCGCACGGAAGCACGCACGCAGCCCATCCGCTTTCGGCCGGGCCTTGCCCTCCGCGGCTGCGTGTGGGGCTGCTGCCTGAGGGCGTGAAGGCGAGGGGCACGACAGCTCAGCCCCCTCACCCGGCGGCCGCGCCTTGTTGCCCAGGCCGCGTTCGAGTGCATGGACACCCTCCTCTCCAAGCCTGTCGTCCGGGAGCGGCTCGAGCTCTCTCCCTTCGTCGCGCGGCTCGCCGAGGGCCTCGCGGACGATGCGGACATCAAGATGCGCTGCCACGCCATGCTCGTCGCCCTGTCCGCGCTGCCAGCTGGCCAGCCCGTGCTCACCGGCGCACTCGACACGCTCCTCGAGCCGCTGCGCAAGACGCTCATCGCGCAGCTCAAGGACAACGCGGTGCCGCAGCAGGTGGAGCGGCACGACGACCTCGTCCGCTCCGCGATGCGCGCCGTGCGCGCGCTCGAGCGGCTGCCCGAGGCGGAGACGGTGCCCAAGCTTGGCGAGCTCGTGCGCAACACGCTCAAGGCGGGCCGCCTCGCCGACAAGTACGCCGCGGTCTGCGCCGAGGAGGAGGCGAAGCCGGCCGACGGCGAATGATGACGCGGGCCTCTCCGCGCAAGAAGAGGTTCTGCGAGCCTCCGGCGCGGCCCTCGAAGCCTCCCGTACGTACTCTCTGTCCAGGTGCCTCGTTCTCCGTGGGCGGTGGCTTTGGGAAGGCCAGGGAAAATTGTGGGCGCACGGCGCACGGCGGTCACGTGTGTAACACGTACTATAGCCGCGTAAAAGCTGGTTTCAATATGCAAAAGTGAGGGGAACAAAGGCGTATGGTCGCGTGCGTTTTTCGATTTCGTCACCAAGTTGTGGGGGGATCCCTGGTGTGGACGATTTTTTTCGCGGTATCCGCGGCGGGATATGGCGGGATATGGCGGGATACCGGGAGATACCGGGAGATACCAGGAGATACACGTGGATATGATGAGATACGGAGCCCCCACACGATGTGTTCACGACAACGTCCGTGAAGCTAATCGGACGCGACGGGCGAAACTTCGCGCTTCGACCGGCCGTGATCTGCCGTGCGGCTAAGCGCTCGATTCCCATGATTGGCGAGAGCTCGTCATCATCGATGAAGCACCGCAAGGACAGCCTTGATCGCCGACCAGGAGGATGGTCACCTGCAGCCGGCGGCCTCAGTCGGTCGGGGGGGAGCGGGGGGCCAGGCTGGGCCGCTCGCGGGCGCACAGGAATCCGGCGCTCGCGAGGGAGGCGCTCGATGCTCGCGCTCTGCGGCCGGAGCGCGGAGAGGCCGGGCTGCTCGGCGTGAGGCGGGCAGGATATGGCGGGATATGGCGGGATATGGCGGGATATGGCGGGATATGGCGGGATATGGTCAGATATGGTCAGATATGGTCAGATATGGAGAGATACATCAAGCTACCGCAAAAAAATCATCCGCACTAGGGCTGGGGGGGCAGCGTGCCCAGTCCCCAGTCCCGTCTGTGCCTCTGTCAGTCCGGCACAGTGCATACAGCAACAGGATACGTAGGTGCGCCGGAGCGCGGAGGGCCGGCGGGAGGGGTGTCGGGGAGATGCGGAACGCCGAAACACCTATCAACTTTTAAATGTGTGACCCAGTAGAAAGGCGGTAAAGGAAGTTGTGTGACCTAGTAGAAAGGCGGTAAAGGTCACGCATTGAGCGAGCCGATGGCGAGAGGAAGGCGATGGCGAAACACTCGGGAGCGGCCGCGAGCAAGCAGCTGAGCCGTCCGTCGCCGGAGGAGGATGCGGTGTGCTCCGGCTGTCCCTCGTCGGTGAAGGGATCAGGCGCGTGGCGAGCAGGGCCATGTCCCCGCTCTCGCCCGGCAAGGCACTCGTTTCCAGTACTGCTGGATGTTACTCAGCCATCTGCAATATAATCATACCGTTGAGCCGCGCTTTGTCAAAATAGTTGCGGGAGAGGGGGCTCGTCATCGCGCCGTGCGAGGCGGCGCGGCCGACGAGTGCGAAGGCGCACGCGAAGCGGAGCAGGCCGGTCATCGCAGAGGTGGATCGTCGATCGCACGCCGATCGGGCGGACGGTTTGTAGGGAAGCGGTCATCCGCAACCGGCCCCAGAACTGGCCGTGACTCCATCACCACCAATCTCCGCTCCTCCATTGTCAGCCGTGCGAGGTGACCGCCCGCAGTGCATTGGCCTCGCACAGGGGACGATGGGCCCAAGGCGCGATCTGGAGTGCAGCATCGCCGAGGCTGCCGCACCGAGGGGGTCGTCGGCCGACGCGATGCTCTCGAGATCGGCGGGGCGCAGCATATACACACACGAACGTGTCGCAGCACGCACCGGCCGACCTAGACCGACCGATCGATGGCTGCCTGCGAGAACTCGCGGCGGGCGCTGGCGAGGACCACTCCGCTTGATTTCTTTCTTGCACGGGAAAGTGGTTACACACCCTTCGGAGTCGCTCCTCATTGCAAACCCCGTCAGCAGCTCACCTTCGGGTAAAATAGAACGCATACGGAACGAGGGTTGGGAAAAGAACAGGGTGCTCACCTGCACGAGCAGGATCTTGGAAGCAGCGGGGAGCCCCCAGCGACAGCATAAAGAAAGAAAGAAAGAAAACAGACAACCCAAGGGAGGGATGGGAGGACGGCACGCCGCCACCACACAGGGATTTTAAGGAGAGGTGTGTGGTGCGCTAGCGACAGCATATCCGCGGCCAAAGAGAGACCCTGCATTTTTTTCGGCGAGTGCAAGTCACCGACGAGGAACGAACGCGACTTGCAATGAAATCGACTCTGAGTGACTACTCCACTGCCTTCCTAAACGTCGCGGAACCGTTCCTCACGTACCACGCCGTCAACGCGGACAAGAGTCTTTCGCGCACGGAGCTCTCGCGAGGGGACTTTTGGCTCGCCGCGAGGCGGGCGGCGGCGCGGCTGCGTGCTGCGGGCGTGGGCGAGGGTGATGCCGTGCTCCACTTCTTCTCTTCCAATACGGTTGGCGACGTGGTCTACCGTCTGGCGGCCGTCATGGTGCGGTGCGTGCCCGCGACGGTCAACTGGCAGGCCGACACGCCTGAGCGAGTGCTGCACAAGGCGTGACGGCTGCCTCCAATCCACACGCACGCACGCGCGCGCGCGCGCGCGCGCACACACACACACACACACACACACACACACACACACACACACACATGCGCGCGCGGCCCGTGACACGTGACATCGCTCCCGCCCTCTCTCTTTCTCGAAAGGCGCGCGTGACCACCGCCCGCGCCGTGCTGGTCGATGCCGAGACGCCGGCAGACGGCGCAGCGCAGCTGCGGCAGGCCCTTCCCGGGCTGGCGGTGCTGGACGCGAGCCTCGCTCTGCTGGCCGAGGCCCGAAGCCGCTCGGGAGAGGCCGGTCTCTCTGTGAACACGTCCCGGACACGTCCCTCGCCACGCCTACCAGGTCGAGCCCCTCGCGGAGAGCTTGTTCGCCGCCGGAGGGGTCCCGTCCGACACGCGGATGGTCATCTTTACGAGCGGCACCACCGGCACGCGCACCGTGGCGCCGGCTGCTGTGCTCGGCGAAGTGCTGCTCTCCTCACCCTCCGTCCGAGTCCCGCAGGCGCGCCCAAGGGAGTGAAGCTGCTCTACTCGGCGTACGCCTGCTCGCGCAGCACCTTCGAGGCTTTCCTCGGCCCTTCGGAGCCCGCGGCGCCCCTCGTCTGCGTCGTCGTCAACCCGCTGCACCCGCCGGTAGATGCGGGAGCCACACACACACACGCTTGTCCTCACCCGACTGCGATCGTGCCAAGACTATCTCGGTCGCCCCCATGCTCACGCGCTCGCGCCCGCGCGGCAGGCACCACACCAACTCGACCGCCATCTGCGATTGGGCAATGCGCCGGCCGGGCGCGCGCCTCCACCTGCTGCAGCGCTACACCACGCCCTACTGGACCGTGCTGGCGCGCGCGTCGGCCGGCTTCGCGGCCGACGGCGACGCGGGCGGCGGCGGCGGCGAGGGCGGCGAGGCCGCGTGGGCTGGGGCGGTCGAGGCGCGCGCGTCGTCGGGTGCTGTCGTCGTCGCTCCGCTCGTCTCTCGGCACATCGATTTTCTCGAGTCGATGGCGGCGGCGGGCACGCTGCCGCTGCCGCAGGCGCAGCTGCGGCTCGCTCTCTCTCGCGTCGTGCTGCTGCTCGGCTCGGCGCCGGTCGGACCGACGACCGTCGAGCGGCTACAGCGACTGGCGGGCACGCTGCCGACGGTGCGGTTCGGGTCGACGGAGACGTGCCTCCAGGCGAAGGGCGCCTCGGCTCTTACCTCGGCCCGATCTCGGAGAGATCTCAGGAGATTTGCCTCCAGGTGATGGGCACGTCGCCGGCGCTGGCCGAGGAGGCGCCGATCACACTGCCCTGCACTTCTCCCACTCTTCCACAGTGCGTGTGGAGGCAGGACCACTTCACACCGCCCCGCTCCTCTCCCGCAGGCGCGGCTCGACGCCTTCCGTGCAGGCTGGAGCCACACGTACTGCGGCGCCGAGGCGGCCGGCCACGACGTTGGCCGCACCTCGGCTAACCTCCGCCAGATTCCGGCTGACTCTGCGTCAGGCGGCCGGCTACTTCATCGGGAGGCCGCACCCGCCGTACACGGAGGTGAAGGTGGTTCGCTCTGTGGACGAGGGCGAGGCGAGATCTAGCGGCGAGCGTGATTGCAGAGAGATGCGGCGGAGATGCGGCGGAGATGCGGCGGAGGTGTGGCGGAGATGTGGCGGAGGTGCGGCTGAGGTGCGGCGAGAGCAGATCGGTCGGTTGTGAGCAGCGCCTCGTCAGGCGTAGCGCCGTGGATCAGGCGGGCTATTTTGAGGAGTGCGCCGAGGGCGAGCCGGGGCAGCTGGTGACGCGCGGAGAGAACGTGATGGCGGGGTATGTGGGCGACGCCGCGGCGACGGCGAAGGCGCTTCGCGACGACGGCTGGTACCTGAACTTGGGGGACGTTGGCTTCTGGCTCGGCTCGGCGAGTGATGGCGGCCGCGACTTCTATTGGCGCGCGCGCGACTCGGCGCTGCTCATCAAGGGCGGCGCAAACTACTCGTTCGAGCAGATCAATTCTGAGCTCTCCGCTTTCCTCGCCGCGCACTACGGCCTCGGCGACGGCTCGCTCGCCGTGGCGGTGCTTGCGCCCCCCCCCCCCCCCTCCCCGCTGCCCGGCCCGTGAGGGGCACGCCTCCTCACTCGCGCCGTGCCGCAGGTGGTCGGCCTCCGCCTCGCCTCCGAGCACGAGGACGAGTGCTGCGCCACCGTCGAGCTCGCGCAGGAGGCGGAGCACAAGCGCGGCGAGATGGAGCGCACCCTGCTCGCCGCCTGCGCAAAGGGCGTCTCAAAGGGGTCCAAGCCCGACCGGGTGCGCTTCGCGCCCATCCCGCGCAACTTCAAGGGCGCCATCCAGCTGCCCGCGCTGCGGGAGGAGTGGAAGCGCGAGCTCGCCGCCGGCTCCAAGTGAAAAGAGGCCGTCGTCGTGTGAGTCAGCCTGTAGTCGTCAGTCGTGTGAACAGAGGAGAGAGGAACAGGGATGTAGCTACCGAGGTGAGGTTGTGCCAGGAATTTTGTTTTTTTCTGTCCTGAGTTTTTCCCCCTACGCGGCAACGCGATGGCGGCAAGGCCTCCTGCGTGCCCGCCCTCGACACGCCGATGACCAACCGGCGTCGGACCGCGGTGAGACCGCGCCGCCCTCCACGCCCGCCCGCGCCCGCGCAGCGTGAACACATACGCGCGTCCCTCTCCGCACGGAAACATACGCGCCAGCCGCGCAGCAGCCTCACATGCAGCGCGCATTGGCATGCTCGCACCCTGGGCCGCCGACGGCCCGGTCGAGCGGGCTGCGCAGCCGCCGCACACCATCAGGCAGGCGCACGACCACCCGCAGCACGCCGCAGCCCACCGCGCAGCCCTGCCAGCCAAAGCTGCGCCTCCCAGCTGCACAAACAGGCGCACAACAGAGTACAGCACACAGCACACACCGGCGGCGCGCGCGCAGCACACGCAGACGCGCACGCGCATCCAACACGCACACGCGCACAGCACGCGCGCGTCACACGCCAGCGCAGCGCTGCACACAGAGCACACTGGCCCACAGCAGCAGCAGCAGTCTGCCACAATCCACACCTCACACACGCGCGCGCACGCACACTCCCCACTGCCGGCGCACGCATTGGGCGTCGCCGAGAGGAACCAAAGGACACCGGAGCGGTCTCCCCAAGGCATCGAGCTGTCTCCCTCCAGGCACCTCCAGGCATCAAGCTGGCTCCCTCCAGGCATCAAGCTGGCTCCCTGCAGGCATCAAGATGCTCCCTCCAGGCATTTGGCTGACTCCCCCCAGGCATGAGCTGCATCTCACGATATCTCATCCATCTCGCCCAATCTCGCCCAATCTCGCCCAATCTCGCCCAATCTCGCCCCATCTCGCCCCATCTCGCCCCATCTCGCCCCATCTCGCCCCATCTCGCCTCATCTCGCCTCACCTCGCCTCACCTCGCCTCACCTCGCCTCACCCTCCTCACCTAGGCTACTCGACCGCGGTGGCCGAGATCGACCCGAGATCGACCCGAGATCGACCCGAGATCGACCCGAGATCGACCCAACGCGAGGCCCCTCTGGGGGGGAGATTGACTCAACAAGGCCCCAAAGCCCCCTCTCTGGGGGACCCCTCCCCCCCCACCCCGAGTGTCCGTGTCCTTCGCGAGTCACCGATGGGGAGCGGGGGGGGGGGGTGCGACAAACGAACAGGGGAGGCTGGGGAGGGGGGGGTCCACTCTGAAGACTGCCGACCGCGGAGGGGTTTTCTCCCACAGGGTTTTACCCTTTTACCCTCCGTGTGAGGATCGGCGCGGCGAGGGGGTAGGTTCGAATTCGCCGCGCAACATTTCACCCCCACAGGACCCCGCCCTCCCCCCCTCATGGTCCCACCACCTAGAACCCCAATCTTAGGCTTCGCACCCCCTCCTTGCGCAGTGTCCCCCACTATGTGTCGCCGTTATCGGGGCACGCTATCCTGTGCAGTCAGGGCAAGTGGGGGCGAGGCGCAGTCCCGCTGGTCTGATACTGGTGTGGTTCTGTCCCTAGTCTCGGAGGGGGGCTTGAAGGTAAGAATATTTTATTTTTATTTTTTTCTCTCCTGAGATATTTGCTGCGGCGACCACGCTGTGTTTCGCTCGCTGTGTTCGCTCTTGCTCCAACGCGACAGCAAGCACGATCCCAGACACGGCTAAGAGGTCTGAGAACCACCTGTGCTCCGACGAGGTTCTCAATGGACTGCTGTAATGAGGCTCAACAGTCCTTCCTCCTCAGCTTCCTCTGCTTCGTCGCTACAACCTTCTTACTGTGGCGAACGCCGATCTTCAAGCCGCTCAAGCTCTTCGCCGTGTTTCTGCACGAATTCTCGCACGCGACGGCGGCCACGCTCTGCTGCCAACGGGTGACGGGCATCGAGGTAGCCTGGAACGAAGGCGGCCTCTGCACGTACTCCGTGTCGTCTACGCAGCGACGAGTGTACTTTATCAAGTGCATGGTGCTCCCGGCGGGGTATCTCGGTTCAACGCTGTGGGGCTGCGGGCTTGTCCTCGCCACCGCTTGGCCTACGGGCGCCAAGGTCTGCGGATGCGTGGTGGTGGTCGCGCTGGTTATCGCGCTCTTCTTTGCGGTCTGCGGCGTTGCTAAGGGCCTGAGCGAGCGCTGTCTCCTCATCGGCCTCGCTACCATTTTCGGAGTCGTCGTCGGCGCGCTCACTGTCCTCGACTTCACCCTAGACACGACAGAGACCTCCTACGCACTGGAGACGGCTTTGCTGTTCATCGGCGCCGTCAACATGACCTTCGCCACGTACGACATCTATGACGATACCGTGCGGCGCAAGGACGAGCGATCCGATGCGTACAAGTATGCCGAGCTGGTCCCGTGCTGCTTTGCACGCTGCGTCGGCTGCACCTGGTTCCTCCTCGCCTCCGCCGCGTGCGTCGGCTCGGCCTTCGGCCACGTGTACCTGGTCGGCGACGGCTCGGTCGCGGGGAGCAAGGACGGCGGCTCCGCATGCGACCTCGGCGACACGGACTGCCTCGACTGGTACGAATGGCTCCCCGGGCCCATCGCCCTGGCCTTTGGCGTCGGGTCGCACGCCCTCTGCTGCGCCCTGAAGCGGGCACACATCATCGATCGGGAGCCCGGCCTGAGCATCTGACAGAGGGCGCCCCCTGGGGTGTCGACGGGCCCCGGGGGCGACGGGGGTGCTCTCCGGCCGCGGCGGCCGAAAACGGGGGTCTATATTACGGTCTATTAATTAAGTGATCCACTTGATCCAAGGGTGCCATTGTGCTCTACTACAAAAGTTGTGTAAGATGCCCAAGTCTCAGACACTGAATCCAGCGGAGCTGAGTTCTGTCTTCTGACGGTGTGTGAACACGAGCAACCGGAGTGACGACCGGGACCGGGCCGCACGCCGGGAGTGCCCCGACTAGCAGTGACGGGCGCGGACGAGCGAATGAGAGGTCGCTGTCTGTGGGAGATGTGTTATTAGAGACTAGGACTGCCTATTCAGCAAAAAGACCAAAAAATTCAGCAAAAAAGTTTCATTGGGTTATGACAGAAGAAAAAGAAATTCTACCCGGGAGAGAGAGCGTGACAAATCGGGCACGACGTCTCGACCAGCGGCGCACGACCAGGCGCCGAGCAGCCCTCAAAGCGCAAGGCATGCCGGAGCCGCCATCCGCCCACTGCGGGCTGGCACTCTCCGCCGACGGCGAAGACGGCTACCGACGAGCGTGGACAAATGCAGTGCGGCGGCGCCACACAAAAGTTCGATGAGAGCACGCCTGTCGGCCATGCGGCACCTCTCGGCAGCATCTCGAATAGGTACGTGGAGATCTCGAGGCAGGCCGAGGCGGCGGCGGCGGCCGCCGCCGCTGTGTCAAAGGCGCGAGCCAAACGCAAGCTCCAGCGGGAGGGCTCCAGCGGCGGGCTGCCGTTCTGACAGAGTCCTGTGGTTCGTCTCGCGGCGCGCCGAACCGAACGAGCTCTCGAGGGAGCTCTCCAGCATTTTAGGTGATAGCCCCTCTTTTCCTTCCCGGCGTCAGTTCGCAGGGATTGCGGCCGTACCGCATTTTTGCCTGACCGCGCCCAATACATGTCGCAGACTCCAGTTGCACGGTATCTGGTGACATCTTCAGCACATTTACCGGCGCGATTGTAAACCCCGCGCGGCGTGTAACTTGGATTGTCGGCGGTTTTCACATTTATATTGTGAATCGGGCTCACTCGAGCTCGAGCAGGTGGGTGGCCGGTGCGCTAAATATACGCTCCGTCGCCTTCGCATGCCGAAATGCGCAGCGCGCGACGTCCGGCGACATCGAGGTTACATAAGGTCCCTGGGTCCCCGCGCATCTGCTGCGCGGCCCTTCGACGGTGAGACGCACAATCATGGATGGGCCCTCTTTGCACATAAGAAAAAGGATGTGAGCAATGGTGGTGTTACGTGTTGAAACCACACTTGTAAAATGTAGGGAGGGGTGGCCCCGCCAAAATGAAGCATGATGGCGGTCCGGTCCGTATAGGGCTAGTCCACCTGACCCTCTGTGTGCCAAAACTCTGTGTGTGCCGAATCAAGACGGGCCCCCGGCCGCGGGAACGTGCGGGACCTCTAGCGCCGGGACCCTCTCTGAGGTCAAAGACACAACCAACATCAGCCCACAAGCGGGGCGGGGCCCAGAGGCGGCACCGAGTGACCGAGAGTCGGAGTCAAACCCTCTGTGCCGCCAAGCCAGGGGCCTGGCCCGTTCTAAGAGGAGGGGCTAAGGCCTCAGGGTGGGAACAACTCCCGAATACAGGCGGGCAGCGGCCGGCTTTCTTTTCTCATCCCCGCCTCTCTTTGAAGCCAACGGTGTTGAGCCGCCCGCTGAACCTGGCTGCGGGCCCGTCGCGCCGCGCCCACAGCCACGCACAGCTTCACAGTCTTTCCTACCTCGCCCTGCGCCGCGCACCTCCCGACACGCGTGGTGCACTCGCGCGTGCGGGCACGGCGCTCGCGGCCCTTGCGCTCGTGACATCACCCGCCCTCTGCGCAGACGAGCAGCTCTGCGTGCATCATGAACGACGCCAGCGCATCGTTCCGGCTGTGGAAGGCGCCATAGCCACGCTCTGCCCAAAACCTGCCGAGTGCAGCCGGCGCCCGCGCAGCGGGGGCGCACTGGTGTGCGAGGCCGGCGGCCGCAGTCGCATCAGCGAGCCGGCGGCTCTGCGATACCTCTCCCGCCACCTCGTCCTTCAGCCGCCGCCGCCGGCGCGCTCATTCGCCCGCTCTCCTCCCGTCCGCGCCACGCAGAGGGGTCAGAAGCTCGGCGAGGGGACCTTTGGCGAGGTGTACATAGCGACGCACGAGCGGACCGGCGAGACGGCCGCGCTCAAAAAGATCAAGCTCGAGTGCGAGGACGAGGGCGTGCCGGGCACCACGCTGCGCGAGGTCTCCCTGCTCAAGGAGCTGCAGCACCCGAATGTCGTCCAGTGAGCGCCGCCCGCGATGTCCTCTCTGCGCTCTCTCCTCTGCACGTCATGGGCCCGCCCCGCAGTCTGCAGCGGCAGTCCCTCGGCCTGACGCACACACCCCGCGCGCGCAGGCTCAAGGACGTGTTCTACATGCCCAACGACAACAAGCTGTACCTATGCTTCGAGTACTGCGACTACGACCTCAAAAAGTACATGAAGTCGCTGCAGTACAGGTTGAGCGCCGCCTGCATCAAGGCTCGCTCGCGCCTGCGCCCGGCCAGCGCCACAGTGCTGCAGTGGCGGAGGCCGCACTCAACCCCCCCCCCCCCCCCCCGGCCGGGGGGAGTCGTTCACGTACCAAAAGATCCCCGGGCTCAAATGGTGCCACTCGCACCGGATCTTCCACCGCGACCTCAAGCCGCAGAACGTGCTCGTCGACCCGAAGCGCGGCACGCTCAAGCTGGCAGGTGGACACGTCCGAGACACCTCCGAGAGCCTGCCACGGCCATCTCAACGCCAGTCGTCACTCCCGCGTGCCGGGTGGCCACCAGAGCCTCGCTTCGCACCGTCCACACGCCCTGGCTGTCGCTTCTCCCCTCTCCCCACCACGCCCCTCCCCGGCCAGTCTGACGCTGCCCACCTGCCGCGCCCCTTTCCAGACTTTGGGCTCGCGCGCGCCTTCACCGTGCCGCTGCGCACGTACACGCACGAGGTGGTGACGCTCTGGTACCGCGCGCCGGAGATCCTGCTCGGCGCCAAGCAGTACTCGTGCCCCGTCGACATCTGGCGCGCAGCGCCCTCGGCTGTCGCGCGGCTGCTCTCAGGGACTCTGCCCGAACCCTCTCGGAACCGTCCTGCAGGTCCGTCGGCACCATCATCCCGGAGATGGTGACGGGCCACCCGCTCCTGCCCGGCGACTCGGAGATCGACGAGCTCTTCAAGATCTTCCGGCGCGGGACACCCTTTGCCCTCGCCGCCTCCCGCCTGCCCCCCTCGCGCCCGTCGCCCGCCGCACCTGCTCTCCTCCAACGAGTCGCCTGCTCTCCTCGGACGAGATGTGACTCGCGTGCGCCGTCCCGCCCCGCAGGCTGCTCGGCACCCCGACCGAGAACATGTGGCAGGGCGTCTCTCAGCTCCCCGACTTCAAGTCCAACTTCCCGAAGTGGAGCCCAAAGACGATGCGCGAGGCGCGCTGCCACCCGCCACCTCGGCCACACACGCCAGCCATCCCTGCAGTCCTGCCACCGCCGCCGCTGCCCATCGCCTGCCCATCGCCTGTCCGCGCCGTCGCCGAGAGTGACTGAGAGCGACCACCCGGCGACCGCCCAATCCCGGCTGATCTCGACTGATCTCGCGCAACAGGCGATGCCGCACCCGGACCGGCTCGACGACAACGGCGCAGCGGCACCTCCTCGCGCGCGAGGCGGCTAGCACTCTCTTCACACCTCCACACCTGTGAACAGGCGTCGACCTGGTCGCGCAGATGCTCGCCTATACGCCCAACGAGCGCATCGTCGCCAAGGACGCGCTCAACCACCCCTACTTCGCGGACCTCAACAAGGAGACCGTCGGCACGATCCCGCTCCCGTTGTAGCGGCCCTCGCCGCCGCTCGCCGCTCGCCGCTCGTCTTGGAGACGCGGCCGTGCGCGGCGCGCGAAACCCGTACGACTGAGCTCGGCCCTTGCCGAGCGCCGCAATAGCTGCGGCACGAGACAACAACCGAACGCGTGCCCTCGACTCTCGTAATTACAATCTCGTGTATCTGTCGCGCCCCCGCATCCCTCGAGCGGGCCAGAGAACAAATGTGTCTGCATATACACTGCAGTGTCGTGTAAGCATCCGTATTGTGGTGCATCCCCGTTGCATTGAGCATGTAATCATACAGTCTACTCAGTCTACATACACCGCACATTGCTCTCCCCGGACCCCGCACAGACCACAGTGCAGGGTCCGCTCACGAGTCAGCAGACAGCACCCCCGCGGTACCGCACGTGTTTTGCGACATCGAGTCCGACCGACATCCCTCAAGCCTCATCCGTGCGACATGCACATGCGACATGGCACGCGATGCGAGGGTAAATAAGCCAAAAGCAAAACTGATGGGGCGGTGATGCTGCGTGGGACATTGCTCATTGGGCTGTCTGTATCGGTGTCGCCATGATTGTCTGTCGGGTGGCACCGGAACTGGGTCGCGCACCCGTCCTCTATTGACCCGCGAAACCAGTCAGCAGTCTCGCGAGTAGACTATAGACTTGTTGCACATGTACATGTTGTTGTTGTATTTCCCGCGCTGGGGGACGTCGGTGCCCCGTACCGTGGTAATGACTCACTCGCCCGGCTGCGACTCCGTCGGCGGCCCCTGAGACCACGCCGCCTGACTCCCTGCCGGCGTCTCAGGCACCCGGAATGTCGCGCCGGCGGCGGGTGGGAGCGTCGCCGCCGGCCCCACACTCCCGTCTCGCGTCCCCATCTGGCGGCACTGTCCGCGCCGGTAGGCCTGAGAGTGATGGATCGCAAACGGCGCCTCCGCCGGCAGGTAGAGGCCGGGCTCCGGCTGCGAGGAGGGCGCCTCGGACGCCCCGTGCTGCCCTCTCGCCGCCGCCGCGCCGCCCGCAGAGTCGCACACAGCCTGAGAGTCTGGCGAAGACGTGCTCTGCGAGGCGGCCGGAGAGAAGAGAGGCCGCGGTGGAGGCGGCGGCCCCGCTGCCGCCGCCGTCGCTGCAGCCGCTGCCACCGCTGCCACAGTGGCGGCTGCCTCGGGCAAGGCCGTCGGCGCAAGCCACGACAATCCCACGCCGGACGTGCCCGCGCCGCCGGCCGCCGGCCGCGACGAGCATGCGAACTCGAGGTGCTCGTCGAGGAAACTGACGGGGATCTGCTGCCCGCAGCCGGGGCACTCGGCATACGTCGCTCGCGGCACACTCGGCGCCGCCCGCTTGCCTCCTGTGGCGTGCGGCCGGCGGCCGGAGGGCTGGCTCGGCCGCTTGTTCTTTGCGCTCGCCGTGCTGTGTGACGGGCCGGCGCCGCGCGGGCGCGAGGACGAGGGCGGTCCGCAGCGGCTGAAGTAGGAGCGGATGCCTGCGAGTTGAAGACGAGAGGGGGGGGGGCGGGGGGACGGGGGGGCGGGGGTTTGAAGATTTGAGTACGCCGGGACACGGACCCCGCGTCTAGGAGCGGGTTGCCGGTGCTCTGCTCCGAAGAGGAGGGGAGCGGCAGCTGCGACGGGCTCGGCTGTTCGCAAGGCTCTGTCGCCGGTGGCGGCAGCGGAAGCAGCGGCGGCGGCGGCGAAGCGCGCAGCGGCTCCGGCTGCTCCAACCCTGCGGCCTGGTCCATCAGCACATCGAGCGCAGCGGTGGCGTCGCCGCCGCACGCCGCCTGGGAGCGTGTCATGGACGTGTCGCGGGCGTGTCGCGGGCGAGGTGTGGGCGTGTCGCGGGCGTGTCGCAAGCGCGGCGTGGGCGTGGCGGTCAAGAGAGCGCCACCGGAGGGGCGCGGGCGGTGTGCTACGCACGCCGGCGAGCAGGCGTCTCGAAAGGGGTCTCAGAAGCGTCTCGGGAGTGCCGCGTGCCATGGCTGCGGCGACTTTGTCAGGCTCGAAGCCCATCGCCAAAATCTCGTCTGCGCACAGGCCGCGACCAACCTGAGGAATTTGGGAGGAGGGAGCAGGATGGGAGAGGCAGAGATATGGGACGAGCGTGCACGCGCCGGTAGCGACGAGGGGTGTCTGCAAGCGTCTCGCAGGCGTCTCGCAGGCGTCTCGCAGGCGTCTCGGAGGGAGGAGTCTCACCTCGCCCGACCCCTCCTCCTTCTCCTCGTCCGTCTGCGTGCGCGCGCGGGGCGTGCTGCCGCGCGCAGCGGCCACCGCCGGCGAGCCGCTCGCCGATGGCGTCGATCCGTCGCACAGGGAGCGGCCTGCCGCCGCCGCCGGTTTTGCCGCCACGTCATTTGGTGGCCCCGCCGCCGTCGCCACCGCCGCCCTTCCCGCCGCCGCCTCTCTAGCCGCCTCTCCCGGCACCGGCCCTGTCGCCGTACCCGCCGTATTCGCCTTACCCGCGGCAGCAATCGATCTGGCCGCCGCCGCCGCCGCCTTCACCGCCCCCTCCTCCTCCGCCTCCGCCTCTGTCTCATCATTGGCCGCCGTCTCCGCCTCCGCCTCCTCAGCCCTCTCCGCCTCCAGCCGCCCTGTCGGCCCGCCCGCGCCCGCAGTGCGGCCGCTCGTCGCTGCCTCACCGCCGCAACTCGGCGGCACCGGGATACACGTCCACGCGCTGCCCCCACCCAGGTCAGCGCCCACGCCAGGCGCCGCTGCCGCCGCCTTTGCCCCGGCGGCAGTGGCTGCGAGGGAGAGTACCACCTGCGCCTCGCCGCTCTCGCCGGCGAAGAGGCGGCCGCGCAGCTCGTGCTCGCCCTCGAGCGCCAGCTCGAGGCGCGAGATCTCCTGCGGCGGCCCCACCAACGTCTGCACCTCTGACAGCAGCAGGCGCGGTGCGCCAACGCACGCGCCTGGCTTTAGCATGCGGCCCTCGAGCTGTGTCGCGCCGACACCGGGCCGTACCCCCACCGCCTCGAGCAGCGGGCCGCTCCTGCGCGAGACGAGCAGCATGAACTCGAGACCGCCCACGTTGCCGGCCCAACGACTGCCCGCATCCAACGGGCCGCTGCCGCCGCCGGGTGAGGGGCGACGCACAATCGAGAGCGCGAGCCGGGTAAGCGTCTCACGGAGCTGGTGCTCGCGCCGCTCCTCGTCGGCCAGCCACGCGAGAGCGCGCTTTGCGGCCGACTCGGCGGGTGAGGGGCCGAGAATGGTTGAGAGCGGAGCACCTCCGAGCGGGTGCCTGATGCTTGCTCACGCGGGAGGAGAATTCTACCACGCGAACACAAGCCCTTCTCGGGTCCGAGGGCAGCCTCAACTGGAGTAGGGAAATTTGGATTTTGGTCAAACGCCTGCTGGGGGCAGCTTCGCGGAAGTATTCCGGAAGCCACCTCTCTAACACAGCAGACTGGCACGGACTAGCACCACAAAAGGCACAGCAGACAACGGCCCCTTATGGGCCGTCGAAGAGGCCGTCATACTCCTCCGGCCTCGCCCCCCCTTCCCAACCCTCCCCTGGCTCAGGCTCCTCATCCTCGCGGCGCGCAGTGCGCACCCCGCCCCGCGAAGACGAGCCCTTCCGCCGGCGTGCCTCCCGGGACTGCCGCCCGCGGCCGCCGCCCTCGGGAGGAGAAATGCCGGGAAATTGCGCGGCGCAAGGCGAGGTCCCACTAAGCCGTCTCTCTCTCATCAGACAGGCTCGACACCGAGGCGCGGGGACTGTGGCACGTGCTGGTACTAACACAGGCATGGGGGGGCGGAGAGCCTGCCCGCGAGCCGCCGCGTGTGTACGTGCGGATGATTCCAATGAATGTTGCGCATGTGCAGCGGTAACGCGTGTACAAACAAAGACAAACAATGTGGGGACAAGTGCCCTCTTTCAGTCTTCGTCGTCATCAGCAGCCTCCGCGTAGGATGCCTTCGCGTTGCCGCGACGCGCGCGGCCCGGATTCGGGTGGTCCACATTGATGGGCTTTGCGAAGACCTGGCATCGGCATTGTCATCGTCCTTGGCGAGAAAGGCGTCAATCGTGCGCTTCTTGCCGGCCATGTTGGGGGCAGCGGTCGGAGGCGGCGACGGTGCGATCGATGTGGCCTTGCCTTGAGCTGGCGCCGAAGGCAGCGACGATGACGACGCCGATGCCGCTGGCACCGCCGGACTTGCGGTGTCGGAGGAGGAGCACGACGCCGCGAACGATGTCGACGAGGGTAACGCGCTACTTGGCTGTGCCCGTGACTTGCCGACGCATGCCTCCTTGAGCCGCGTGCGCAGGTCCTCCTTCTTGCCAACACGCTCCTTGCCAGGGACGCCGAGCCGCGAGAGCTGGTGCTGGATCTCGTCGTACTTGAGCTCATCGATCGAGAGCGACCCCGCCTCGAACATCTTCACCCGCTCGGCCTTGAGGGCGGCGGCCACCTCCGCCTTCGCCTTGGCCGCGGCCGCCTCCTTCTCAATCTTGGCCCGGAGGACGGCGCGCTCGGCCTCCTGCTGCGCCCGCCGCTCATCGTCGGCCGCCTTTTGCTTCTCCATCGCCGCCACCTCCGCCGCCACGTCGTAGCCGGCCTTGAGGATGCGCTCGATGCAGCCGGCCTTTGACTTCTCGTACGGCGGCTTCTGTCGGCCGCCCTCGCAGCGGATGAGGATGGCTTGCAGCTGGTCGAGGCCCTTGTTCAGGAGGCGCTCTGGTGGCACAACGGCGTACTGCGCACGATCGCGCGCGGCCTGCGCCGCGACGCGCTCCTGCTCCTCCTTCTCCGCGCGCTCCGTGGCTGCCACACCCGACAGCTCCTTGCCCTCTGGCACGTGGTTGTCGAAGTGCTGCTGGCCGTGCTTGGCGATCGCTGCATCCTTCAGGTCCAGGACGTAGTACATCGTGAGAGTCCCACCCTTGCCTCCCGGTCGCCGGTACCCTTGGATGCGACCGATATCGGTGGTGGTGCAAAGCGCTCCTTGGCGTACGTCGTCGACATCATGATCTCCTCCCGACGCGGACCTTGTCTGTCCGCCTCGGTGAGATACCGCCAGTTTGTCGAAGCGGAGCCGCCGCCATGGAAGTTGTTGCCGCGGCCGCCGTAGCCAGAGCTGCGTCCGTAGCCTCCCCAGCCCATCAGATTTGCGCGCGAGTCGCTGGGTTGTGTGGCGCTGCCCCTGGCGGTTCCCGGCCGAGGAGAAAGAAAGAAACCGGATGTCAGGCTACTAACCGCACTCCAAGTGCTCCAAGAAATTGCACGTATAGTTCCGAGTAGAGGGGGCGGTCTGCTGCTAGGGGAAACCCGGAGCGCGGAGCTAACCCTCGGAGACCCGTGTTTACTTTAAGGCCCTTTCCCTGCGAACGCGCACCCCCGGGGCTAGGCCTAGGCTAGGGCTCTCTTGCCCGCAACCCGACACCGATCATCCGGCCCGCACATCCAGGGCCGGGGGTGCGCATCCAGGGCCACGGCCCGCGGGTGCGCTTCTTAGCTCCCCGGCCCTGGATCCTGGATGTGCGGTTGCTAACTGCACTCCAAGTGCTCCAAGGATACAAGTGCGGCGTGCCGTCCTCCCATCCGCCATCCCTCCTCTGCGCTCTGGGTTGTCTGTTTTCTTTCTTTCTTTTACGCCGCCACCACACAGGGATTTTAAACCCCCACGCGCCACGGCTGTTCGACCGGTTATTTGTTATTCTTTTTGCCCTTTGCGAAAACGAACGAAGAGCGAACGCACCCCTCCCCTGCAGGCTCAGGGCTCTCTTGGCCGATCCCGATCGCCCCGCCGGCCGCTGGGTGCTTCTTCTTTCTTAGCTCCCCGGCCCTGGATGTGAGGCTGTGACCGCACTCCAAAGAAAGTGCTCCGAGTTCGTGTGTGTGCCCGCGCCCGCCCGACTCACAACTACGAACTAGTCACACCTAGTCCATGTCGCCGCAGCGCGCGGCTGGAAGCAGAAGCCCGGGCGAGTCGCAGGTGGAGGGGGGACGGGAGGGGATCGGCGAGAGGGCCACGGAAGTGGTGCCTCCGGCGCAGGGCGCGCGCCCTTGCGCCGCTGCGTGGTGGGTCGGCAGTTGGGCCGGCGGCTGAGGCGGAGGCGGCTGAGGCGCCGCCTCCGCCTTCGGCGACGCTAGGGGCGATGACACGGCCAGATCGCGCGCCGTCGAGGTGATGGCGCGCTCGACGGCGCGTGGAGGGAGGGCGAAGCCGCTCCTCCCGACGGCGATCCGCAGCTGCAGCTCGCGCTCCGCCTCGTCGGCTGCGCGCTCGCTCGAGTCGCCGAGCCAGCCGCCCTCTCCGGACGCGGGCTCCGAGGAGCGGGAGGAGCAGCTGCCGTGGCGTCCGCTCCTGCCGCGGCGCTGTCCGTCGAGCCCCGCGCCGCCGCACCTCGCCTCGGCGGCGGCGGCGCGGATCAGGTCCCACGCCCGCGGCTCGTACCCGCTGCTCGAGCCGAGCGAGCGAGCGTCGTGCTTGGGCGCCGCGTCGGCATCTGCGCCGCCGTGTCGCGCACGCGCCGCCGGCGCCGCCTCCTCGCCCGCCCCGTGAGCGCCTGCTGCCGCCTCGTGCTCGCCGCGCGGGCCGAATCCGAGCCGGACCGCTGCCAACGCCGCCAGCCAAGGCCCGCGCTTGCTGGAGCTGTCTCCGTCTCCGACCAGGCCCGGCACGTCGGCCAGGTGGAGGGTGACCGTCTTGGAGCCGCTCTTGTCTGTAGGCCGGCCGTACGTCTGCGACTTGCGCAGCGGCGAGAGCCGGGGGCCATGCCCGACTGCTCGCGCACTCCCCTACGGTCCATGGAACATCGCTCCGTTTGTCCTGGTACCGAGTGCTATAGGTCAAAGCGCAAAAGGTCTGCACCGGGGCTCCGCCGACGTCCACGCGCGAAAACTCGGAAGAGGAGGTCGAGTCGAGCGAACCGCGCCGCGAGCCTGGATTCGAGCCTGGGGGCGACGTGCACCACTCTGCGCGGATGCCTGTCCGCGACGGCCGCCGCTTCTTCTTGGGAGTGCCGGCCGTCACAAACATCTGCGCCTCGATCGCGTGCGTGCAGGCTGCCTCGGCGGCAGGCTCGGGCAGCGTGGAGTCCCGCCGCCAGCGTAGAGTCTCGCCGCCTGCGATGGAGCGGGCGAGCTGCGCCTCGGCCTGTGCCGTCGCCGATGTCATTAGCGATCGACGTGCCACTGCGCGCCGAGCGTGCCACGCGCCAAGGGCGCACGAGCAGACCGCGACGATGACGAGCATGGAAGCTGCGGCGAGCGTGGCGCCAGACGCTCGCGAGTCGGCGAGCAGCGAGGTCAGCCAACTCTCACCTGCCATTTTTGCTGCACTGCACAGGAACCGACAGAGGACACGCCGTCGAAAAGAAAGGGAAGACCAAGTTGGTTGTCAGTTTTCTTTCTTTACGGCACTGCCGCGCACTGGCACTAACACAGGTACACCACGAGAAAACAATTTCATTTACGACCAAACTCCAAGTGCTCCAAAACTCCCTCTCACAAACAACACTACAACAAAACTCTGTGTCTCTCCAACACTAGGCTGTGGACTAGGCACGGGACTGGCGCGCACTGGCACTAATAGTGCCACTAACACAGGTGCACCAAAGCGCGGGCTGTCCGACCGCTCCTCCAACGACTCCTCCTCCGACCAAGAATCATGCGGCTCCGGCTCTACTAGCGAGGCGAATGACACTTTCGACACCCTCCGACGACTTTCTCGGCTACGGTTCCGAGAGCGGCCGCACACTGCTCGGTACCCCCCCTGCACACCTAAGCCCATGGCCGACCCCCCCCCCAGCAGCAGCGCTCTGCCTGTGGGGGGTGCTGGCATCTCTGTACAGACAGCAGCTGTATCTAAGTAGCATGCGTTCGAGTTGCGAGAATTTATGGTCGGCATCAAAATCAGTGGTCTCACCGGCGGGGCCTCCTACTGCCAGCCGGGCGGTGCGGGGCACGCCAGCCTCTCTTCTACGCCTCTCGTGCCTCGCGGCGCCTCTGCCCGCCATTGCGCGGGCGACGCGTCGCGGCAGACCTGACAGTTTTGCCGCGACGGGCGCACGCGCGTTTTCGAAAAAAGAAAAGGCAGCGGGGATGACAGCTCAGTCGATCGATTTGCGACAAGCGAGCGATCCGAGGATCGAGCGGGTGGGCGATAGGCTAGGGAGATCAGCGCTGATCGATCAACGTCAGCGAGACGCCCGAGTGAGTGGCTCACTATACGCGCCTATGTGTGGTAGTACAAGATAGACTCACCATGGTCACAAGTCTTTAGTAAAACGCCAGCACTCGACACGACGAAGGTGTATTGGGCTCGAAGGCGCGGTGAACACAACCGCCTCGAGCGTACCGCTCAAACACGAGCCGAGGGGGCGGGAGGGGGGGGGCGAAGAGGCGGGAGAGCTGGGTCCAGTGCGCTGCCTCTGCTGCTGGGGGGGTCGGGACCCCCCCCCCCAGCAGCAGCGCTCTGCTGCTGGGGGGGGGGTTATACACCCCCCCAGTAGCAAAACGGATGGGCTTAGAAATACAATTCGGGGACCGAGGAATTTCCCGTCTCTCCGAGATTCCGAATCCGGGTCCGGCTGGTAGTTGACAAGCTGCCAAGCCCAAGTCACTGTGAGTGCTAGATTTCTTGTTGGCTTCTAAAAATCTCTCTCTCCCAGTGCGTGAGAAAAGAATTGTTAGGTTAAAAAGAGAATTTACACATGAAAGAAGTCGTGCGCACGGCTTGTCGGTGCATCACGATCAGAATCTCTCTCTCTCTCTCTCTCTCTCTCTCTCTCTCTCTCTCTCTCTCTCTCTCTCTCTCTCTCTCTCTCTCTCTCTCTCTCTCTCTCCTGACCTCTCTCTCTCTCGCTCGCTTCGCTCGCTTCCACCCATCCAAGAACCCTCTCTTCGTTTACACAAACAAAGGCTTGATTGAGTCAGTCTCGATCGATGCCATGAAAGGGTGTATATCTGTACCAGAGAATTTATCAATACCAATTGTTTGTTTGTTATGTGTGTGTGTTCGTAAGAGCCACACACACATACACACACTGTGACTGACTGGCTGGAGAAAGGAGAAAGAGAGAGAGGGAGGGAGAGAGAGAGAGAGAGAGAGAGAGAGAGAGAGAGAGAGAGAGAGAGAGAGAGAGAGAGAGAGAGAGAGAGAGAGAGAGAGAGAGAGAGAGAGAGCTGTGCGCCGAGGATGCCTCTCTCGATTGAGCTTCTCGTCGCATCTTTGCAGATTTTGGCCAAACATCGTACGTCCGACGTCCGTCAGAAACCGTGGAGAGATATGCGCGGCGAGCTGACGCTCGAATTTCTGGCCGCGCACGAGCTGCTGCCCACTGACGCGCAGGTGTCTCGCCCCGGCGGAAGCTTCGTCTTCCACGAATGGGAGCAGGCACGCGACCGCAAGGAGCGCCACGAGCGCTGCCGTGCGGGCGGCTTCAGGGTGCTCGATCGCGTCACACCCGATCTTCTGCTCAACTGCACCGACGCGGCCCCCTGCCTGGCCACGGACCTGATCACCGACTGGCGCGCGCTGCGGGACTGGACCACTGCATTCTTCCGCGCCGAGCTCGCGCCGCTGCTTGAGGAGAGAGACGTTCACGAGTGGAACTTTTCGAGGCCGACCGCCTTCGCTAAGCCGGCGGCCGGCACACGCGGCGTGGGCAGATACTTTGATGACTGGAACGCACTCACCTACGTCGGGGTTCACCCTCGCTGGCTGAGCCTGCAGCGGGAGAATGCGCTCTACTTTAGCGCGTGCACGACGCTTGACCACCCTCTCGGGCCAAAGTGCCCCAGCTGGTGGCCTGCGAAGAGGGAGAGCCTCCCCACCCCGCGGCTGCTATCGGCGGGGCCGCGTGAGCTCTCCCGGCACCTGTCCTTCCAGGCCTATGGCACGAGCCACGGCTTTCACAAACACTGCGCTGCGTGGCACGGGCTCTTCGCCGGCCGAAAGTCGTGGTACATGCTGCCGCGCGAGGTGCACTTGTTCGACGAGAGCGGCGCGGAGCGCGGCTCGTACGACTTTCCGTTCGACGAGAACCCGGAGCTGCAGCGCGCCAACAGCGTCTGCGGCTTCAAGCCGAGCGTGGACATCGACGTTAGGCGCGAGCTGCACACGTGCGTCCAGGCGGCAGGCGAGGTCGTCGTCGTGCCGAACAAGTGGTGGCACTCCACGTGTGCGCTGGAGCCATACACGGCCGGGAGTGGGGGCCTAATCGATGTCTGCTGAGCGCCCGTCGGGATGTATTTATATCCGGATATCTATAGATACTTATTACATTGCTCTTTTTTGGAGGCGTGTGTGTGTACTGGTTTTGGTGGGGGGGGGTCACATACTCTCTCCTCTCCGAGACTCACAGCAGATGGCCCACACACAGCGCAAGCGCATGCCTTGGGGCTAGGCACCAAAACATAGCCGGAGTGTCTCACCGACTCAACGCTTGGGATGGAGGTCCTCCATTGTGCGGGGAGATTCGCTGAGCTTGCCGGTGAGGGGTCGGTTGACAGACGCCGGCTGGCGCTCTCCCTCAGCGCATAGCCGCCGCGACGTCCGATCCCACTTGCATGAAGCGAGCTACACACATCTCGCGGCATAGCTTCATGTCGTTCCGCGGGTTGCCCCAGCCCGCCGGCTGCCCGCACGGGCCGAGCGACACTTGCTTCACGTGAGTGAGTACACCAACATTCAAGGCCTTGAGGTACGCCTGGTTGACTCCCACGAAACCGCCCCAACCGTGCTCGGCGCCCCAGCTGTTGCAGTTCTCTAAGATTACGATACTGTTGGGCGAGGCGAGCCGGGCCAAGTTCAGGATGTCGGCGGTGACATCCACCTCAGCGCGAGAGCCGTCGATAAAGGCAAAGTCGCAGTACGCGCCTTGCACCCGGTCTGCGAGGCTGGGAAGCGTAGCGGTCGATCGACCCCACGTCACCGTGTGGCGCCCTGGCCACGCCGATTCAATCAACGTTGCAGCCGGCTGGCTGTAGGGGTGCTCGCCGATGTCGAAGGCGTGCACCTGAGCATGCGGCGCTGCACACAACCACGCCAGGGAGCTGACGCCAGCGTTGAATCCAATCTCACAGACACGGCTGCAGCTACCCGGCTCGCACTCCGCGGCAGCGATTGCCATCTCCTCCACGAACTCAACAAGATTTGTGCCCGGCTCAACCTCCATGCAAGGGTGGGGCTTTCCCTTGCGCGTGCAGTTGCGCCACCGGTCGTGCTGGACGCTTCGCAGCATCGAAGAGCCGCGCTCAGGAATCTGCACACCGGTCTCCGCGAGAGCGTCGTAGTGCGAGGAGAGCTTTGCCGTGCAGTCGCGTGAGGTCGACCCGCCGACGGGCACGCTCGTTTTGGCGCCCATGTATATTTGGATTGGCCTCCAATATTGGGTGTTTGCAAGAGGACGCACGGACTTAGCATTTCCATATGCTGGCCGCGCTGCTAGCCGGCGTGGTGTTCATTGCACTGTCTTCGGCCCCGAGCACGAGACGCGCATTGCAGTCCATTCCGACCACGCCAACGCGAGCGCCATGGACTCGGCACGTCCGCGACGCCTCCGCGTCGCCCAACATGCACGTCGGAGCCTACGCACTGGCGAATTCGCTCACCTTCAACACGACGTACGCAAGTTATCCAGGGAAGACGCTCGAGTTTTTTGAAGCCTCGTTCCCCGTACGGACACGCTTCTCCCAAGTGTCGTACCGCGAGAGCGAGCCCGTTTCCTTCCCGGCGGACCATACCGCAGTCGCCATCGTCGGGTACGAGTTTGGGCAGTATGCGACCGGTCCGGATGGGCGCGAGGAGTGGGTGCCTCAGGAAGAGGCGTACAATCACCACTATCTGGGCCTAGTGGTTGGCGAGGAGGAACACGGCTGGGAGCACAGCCTTCCGGCCTCGATCCAGTCCCTAGATATGGCCAACGGCGGCGAGTCTCCGTTTACCTTCCACGGCTACCCGCACGGGTACGCGCAGGTGGTCACGCGGCCGCGCCGTGTGGTGGCGCAGCTCATGCAGATTGACACGCGGCCGCGAGCGGGCGAGTGGACCGGACTACCACCCGCCAACCAGCTGGTCGAGTGTCCGTGCACCAACCGGGTGACGCAGCTGTCGACGAGGCAGCTGCTTTACGTGCACGACGACAACACGTCCACGACTGCGAACGTGTCACCGGAGCTGGAGCTGGACGGGAGTGGCACCATAACCTCCATTCAGGGCTTCAAGGCCCCGCACCAGTGCCCGTCCGAGACTTGCGTCGGCGGCATGGGCTGCTGCAGGGACGGGTGGCTTCTGGCGGGCGCCGAGCACGCCATCCCTGAGGATTTTTGGGAGTATTACGTCCGCTTCCGGATCTACTTCCAGCCCTTCTCGCCCGATAGCAATGCGGGCATACAGCCAAGCCATAAACGGCTAGTCCGGCTGGTGCACACCCCCGAGCTCAAGGGCTTCAATGTGCGCGAGGTCGACCCGGCGCTGGACCCGATCGTGCGGCGCGAGACGCAGTGGACAGTCGAGAGCATGCTCCGGAGGGAGAGGGTGGACGCGGCGGACTACGAGTGGACGGGCGGGACTCCTCCCCGCACCAGGGTCGTGGGAGTGCGCCTCATCTACGCAAATGCGCACTGCCATCTTGGAGGGTGCATCTCCTCAACGCTCATCGACGCTGGCTCTGGCGCTGTGCTTTGCAGGCAAGTGCCGGTGTACGCTCCGTCTGGCTACATCCACTCCATCCCGCCGTGTCTGTGGGGCGCCGGGGTGCCGGGCCTGCAGTCACCAGCCGAACTGGCTCTCAATGCGACGCTGCGCGCCTCGTGGCTTGTGAACGCCTCGCGTCCCCATTTCGGCGAGATGCATCACTGGAGGATGCGCGCAGAGCTCATCTTTGGCCCGCATGACACTTGACAGCGTTTACGTACAAAGTTGAATTACTTTAAATACGGGCGGCGGGGATCCAGAACAAGTGAGGGCTGCCGAGTTCGGCGGCAGTACACGCTCTCCTGGCCCCCCCGTCCTCCCTGCTTCCAAGAAAGAGAGTCACTCCCGACAACCCCGACGCCTACAGCGCGCGCCCTCCGAGCTCCGTGCCGCGGCGGCGCACCAAAAACCAGTCCGGACTGTCACAATCCCGAGTGGGCCGCTGATGCGTTGAGCAGTCGACGCCGCACTCGCCACGGCTCCTTTGAAGTTGAGGCCGCATTGCCGGTGGGTGTGGTGGCGACGCTGCCTGCCCTTCCGACGCGAGACCCGGCGCCGCTCGGGCCAGTCTCCGCGGCGGCCGTCGCGGCGTTGGCCGCCGCGTTCGTCGCGGCGGACAGCGTGATGGCGGCGGCAGCGGGCGGCGGCGGAGGCCACAGAGCTGCTGCTGCTGCGGCGGCGGTCTGTCCGCCTTGCACGGCGGTGGCTCCGACCGGCCTGAAGCGGGGCCAAAGGCCGGCTCAGAGCGAAGGGGAATGGGGGTGGGGGACTCCTCGGCGGGTCGAAAGGTTGGTGTGGAGCTCACCGAGTGTTTGGCGAGCGAAGCAGCTGTGCGGTGGCGAGCAGCGCGCAGACGACGAAGACGACGACGAGCCAAGTGGGGGTGCAGGCGAGCCGCCGCAACAGGGCCCGCTGCTTCTTCGCGCCCGCTCCGTCCCCGAGGAAGCCCATCTCTACGCATACCGCACTCGCCCACGCGGCGGGCCTCGGCTCGGTTGGCCTGCGCGGCGACAGCTCCGGGTCGAGAAGCACCTGGTGGGGAGGGGGCGGTGGGGTGCGGTGGGGTGCGGTGGGGTGCGGTGGGGTGCGGTGCGGTGCGGTGCGGTGCGGTGCGGTGCGGGAAGGGGGGGAGGGGGGGGGGGGGAGAGGCTCACGAGGAGGACGGTGATGTTGTCGGTCGAGCCGCGCCGCAAGCTCTCGTCGACGAGACACTCGCAGATCTGGAGGGGGAGGGAGGGCGGTGGGGGGGGGGAGGCGGGGCGGTGGCGGCCACCGCCGCGGCGCAAGGCCCCTCGGTGCCCCGTCCGCGTGCTCCAGCTCCGAGGTGTCTGGCGGGCGGTGTGCTGCGCAGTGCTCGTGGCGGTGTCGGGCGCGCCTGCGCCAGCCCCTGCCGCCTCTCCTCGCGCTCCGCTGGCGAGTCTGGGCGCGGGGAGGAGGAGCGCTCGAGCGAGCCGAAGCAAAAGGCGACCGCCTCCGACGAGGCCATCACGTCCCACACCCCGTCGCACGCAAGCAGCAGGAATGCGTCCGAGGGGCCGCGCACGACCGTCTGCACGTCCGCGAGCGAAGAGACTGGCTGGTGCGGCGCGGGGAGGGAGGCGGTCTTGTGGCGGAAGTCGCCGAGCGCGCGCGAGAGCGCGAGGTCTCCGTTGACGCGCCCCTCGATCACCGCCGCGCCCGCTCGCACGATCCGTGACCGCTCGCCTTCGTCAGTGGGCTTGTGGTCCCACGACAGCGGCAGCGCGCCGCCGCCGCGGCAGAGCACGGCGCGCGAGTCTCCGAGGTTGGCGACGGTGACGCTGGTCGCGGTGACGAGGCCGACGCACGCCGTCGTGCCGCACGACCACGCCCGCGCCTCCCTCCGCAGGTCGGCGTCCATCCCCAGCAGCACCTGGAGCAGGAGCGGGCGAGTCACGGGGGACGGCGCCGCAGCGTGGCCACGTCTGCGTAGGTGCTCGTGTGCAGTGGCCGTGCGGGCTGTGCAGCGTTCCCAAGCGCAACGTGGCAGGATCCAGGCGACTGCAGAGGGCTGCGCTCCGCATCTACAGGCGGCGCCTCTGCTAGAGGCGGCGTCCTCTCGCTGCCGCTCCCGCTGCCGTGCTCAAAGGAGAGGCCGGCGGCGGCAGCGGCCATGGCTGCGCGCAGCCGGCGCGGGAGCTCCCGGGCGGCCCACCGCGAGCAGTAGTCGCCGCCGTGCCCGTCAAACACTGCAAAGACAAACGTGCCGCCCGACGGGTCAAGGCACTCGGCGACGGTGTCGTCCTCCATGGTCGGCCGCCACCCTTGCATGCCCGAGTGGGCCCAGGCCATGACGACGCGGCGACGCTCCTCGGAGGTGTGCCATGCAGCCTCCGTCTGCTTGGTGGCCTCTAGTCTGCGCGGGAGTGCTGGCATGACTTCGACACGAAGAGCCTCCGCAGGAAAACAAATCCCTCGGCGCCCCAGGGCTAGGGCACTCTAGCCCGTAACCCGATGCCGATCATCCGGCCCCGCGGCCCGCTGGGTGCGCTTTTCTCCACTCCCCGGCCCTTGCTCAAAATGCATGTGTGCCTCCGCTCCAGGTGTGTGGCAGTTCGATGGATGGATCCAGCCCAGCGACCTCTACGCACAGCAAAACTACGAGCATGGTAACGGGGCTCGTTACGGGCCCTCGAGCTCGTAGGACCGACCTCGTAGGACCTACGAGCTCGAAGCTGGTAAACCAGCCTTGTAACGAGCCTGGATACGACCCGGCGCAGCAAAATGGGGTTTTAAGATACGCGACAGCCTCTTCGAACCCATTCAAAGCAACAAAACACACAACGCCGAGATGAGCCGAGAGCCGAGATGAGCCGAGATGAGCCGAGATGAGCTGAGATGAGCCGAGATGAGTCGAGATGCGTTGTGTGCGCCAACCTGCTGAGCCGTTTTGCTGCTGGCTTACGAGGTGCTCGTAACACGGCTCGTAATTGGGCAGGCGCAGCAGCGTACTTTTGATTCGTGTTCGTTGTGTGTTTTGTTGCTTTGAATGGGTTTGAAGAGGCTGTCGCGTATCTTAAAACCCCATTTTGCTGCGCCGGGTCGTATCCAGGCTCGTTACAAGGCTGGTTTACCAGCTTCGAGCTCGTAGGTCCTACGAGGTCGGTCCTACGAGCTCGAGGGCCCGTAACGAGCCCCGTTACCATGCTCGTAGTTTTGCTGTGCGTGACGATTGAGGACTGCTCTTCCGGAAGCAAGAGAGAAGAACTCTGTCACGCCGAGCACTAGATAGGGTCGATTCCGCGTGGTGGTACGGGACCCCTCGATCGTCTCGCCCTCCCCTCACTGGAGGACAAGCTGCGATCCCACGACAGCGATTGTGGGGACTACATGAACATGATCCGTACGTGAAGGGTGGAGGGGCCCGCCCGCACAGAGCTAGGCGGCGTGGGCGCCCCCCACTGGGGCCAAGGATAAGTGGACGTCTGCCGCTTGCTTGTTCTTGACGTCGTTGACCCATTTGGCACGCCCAGCCAGGGGATTTGACCCAGTCGGCACGCGTATTGCGCGCCTGCTTGTTGATGTTCTCGGCGTCGCCCGCCACCGCCGCCATGGAGATCCTGCTGCGTGTGGTGGACGACAAAGGAGGAGGCGCTCGCCGACGCCGCCCCGTACGTACACCGTCCGGTCCGTATTGGTGCCCCGCGCTTCCTTGCCGAAGAGCCGAACACGTGGAGGAACTGTGCTTGGTGGGCGGCGCAATCCCACCCAAAGTTTCCACGGAGCACCAGCTTTCTTGACCCACTTCGCGTCGTAGTACTGCGCCTAATTAACTGCGCCCCCACATTCCAAGCAAGAAGAAAGTCGGGTTTTCTCTTAGCCACCCGGCCCTGGACGTGGACCTGTGCGGTTGCTGACTCTCGTGAAACTGCACTCCAAGTGCTCCAAGTCCGCAAGTGCGGCCGCGATTTCTTTCCGTTCATTCTGTTTACTTTTACAAATGCTGGGTGCTGGGCGCTTGGCGTGAAATGACGTAGGATAGCTTGCCGAACGAAGGCGTCTCAAAAGACAAAACAGAGAAAAGGGCGACATGCGCGTCACGACGACAAAACGAGACACACACACAAAAAAAGAGTCGTTTCGGAACGCGCAAAATTCAAGTCGTCGGATCGCCTGTGGTCCCGTCGCTCCCACCGGCGCGCACAGCTCGCGTCGCGCCCTCATCTGCATCCCCTGCGGCACCACCATCCTCTCCGTCGCCCTGCTGCAGGCGACGGCCGGCGCCCGCGCCCGCGTCGCCCGCGCCCTCCTCCGCGCCATTGTCGCCGCCTGCGCCCACCTCTTCTCTTCCCGGTGCCGGCTCTCCGAAGCTGGGGCCACGCTCTGCTGCGCCGTCGTCCATCGCGGGCGGCTTGGCCGCAAGCAGAGCCGAGCTGGTTCGGCGTCGAGGCATCTGCGCCCGTGGGGAGGGAGGCTCGGGCTTGGCACTCCTTCGTCCGACTATTCTTTATTGCGGGGGCCGCGCGCCTGCGGCAGGTGCGGCAAGTGCAGGTGCGGCAGGTGGACGTGCGGATGAGGCAGCCAGTAGCTGAGCACGACGAAGTTGACCGTGAGGAACACGACTCCAACCTGCCGCCGGGTAGGGACGGACTCGGGCGTGAGAGAGGCCCAGGGCACGGTGGCGCCGAGGAGTGGTAGCGCCACCGCCGCAGTCAGGCGCTCGATCGTCCAGAACTCCGAGTCAAAGATGCTACTCGACCCATGCACGCGCCGCACGCGGCGGACGGCCGGGCCGCCTCGGCCAGCCCGAGTCGGCGGGCTCGAGCCGATGCAGAGCGTCACCGAGGGCGGCCGCTTGGGATCACTTGGATGGTCGCTCGAGAGCCGCTTCGGGTCGCTCACCGCGCCGTACTCGTCCCGCAGCATGGGACGGCGCGGGAGCGAACCCTGTAGCGAACAAGCGCAGAGTGTGAGGCCCTTCGGACGCTGCACTTAGCGAACAGCGCAGAGTGTGAGGCCCTTCGGACGCTGCACTTAGCTACAGAAAAAGAAACTGGTTTTAAGTAAAAGAAGTTCACAAACAGGCCAAAGGATGTCCGTTTTCTTTCTTTCTTTCTTTTGCAAACAGCCAAAAACGTGTGAGCGGACTCTCGAGTCACCGTTGCCCAGACTGGCGCTTGGACGGGGGTGGCGCGCGCACTGGCTCACGCTGCTGCGGGCGTGAGGAGCAGGAAGGCCGAGTCGAGGGGCGCGACCTCGACGGTGAGCGTCGCGCCCTTGGTGTGGCCCGCCTCCTGCCTCGCCCACAAGTCGCGCACCTATGGGACACGTCCGTGGCGTGTCACGGACGCCTCCGCCCGGCCTCGCGCCTCCCGCCCGCGGGCAGCGCACGCTCGCGGAGGTCGCGGCGAGGCCGAGCGCCTCGAAGCCGACAGACACGCGGGCAGCGTTGCCCGACGCGGCCGGGTTGACGACGTACACCGCCACCGTGCCCTTCGGCTGCGGCTTCGCCCACACCTGCACCTTTGCCTTGGCCGCAGACGGCAGCGCCGCCTCGCCAGCTGGCCTCCCCTCGCCGGCCGAAGCCTCGCCGGCCGAGAAGGCGCGGCGGCGGACGGCGGGCGCCGGTGCAGCGGGCGGTGCGGCGGGCGGGTCGAACTGCGCGACGAGGCGGCCGGGGTGTCCCGCCCACTGCTGGTTGACTGCGATGGCCTCCGGGTTGGTGACGATCGGGACGACAGAAGCGAGGTTCGCGGTGTCGGTCAGGTCGAGGCCGAGCACGAGCGGCGCAGAGACGACGCACCACGCGCCAAAGTGGGCCCGCTGCCACGCGAAGCTCGCACCCTGCACGCGCCCGACCTCGAGCCTGCGCGCGAGAGAGGCGCGTCTCATCCACGCCACACAGCCACCCGCCTCGCGTCTCACGCTCTCCGTCGAGATCACGAGCAGACGAGCAGCAGGGGCTGCGCGTGCGTGCGCACATGTCGGGGTAGGCCCAGCAGGAGGGCCGCGAGAGGGGCGCGCTCGCGTCGAGGAAGCGGACCTGCGGGCCAAAGGGGGCGACTCGGAGGCAGAGAGCCAGCTCAGGGTCCGGCGGAGTGATGGCTCGGTTTGGGGCGCAGGGGTCGGGGCCAGGCCGGGGCTGCGGACCGTGGTCTGGAGGTTGGCGAACCAAGACATGGGCCCCGCGTTGATGTCGCCGCTCGTGCGGAAGTGGTTGAAGGGGCACCACCCCTCCGTCGGACACGAGGCGCCTAGGGTGCAGGGCTGGGGCTTGGGTGAGCCTCTCCTCTCTCGGGGACGAGGCGCCGGGGAGGCGTGTGTGGATGGGCGGTGGAGACGGAGGCCGCGGCGCGGCGTGCGAGGCGGGGCGTGTGTGTGTGTGTGTGGTGGTGGTGGGTGGGGGGGGGGGGGAGCGCCGTCCGGGTTGTGGAACTTGCGGTCGGCGCCGCACACGCCCCAGTGGCAGTTTTCAATCTCGTACGTCTTGTTTGTGGCGGCCATTAGCTGCGCGTAGTAGGTCATGTTTGTCGCGGCGCCGCAGCCGTCGATTTTGACCGCGTCGAAGCCAAACTCGGCCAGACGCTGCACGTCGCCGCGGTAGTTTGGGAGCCGCTCCTTCGCCTCTCCGCACGCGCAGCCGTTCAGGTACCAGCCCATCTTGACGCCCTTGGAATGGCCATACGCGACCAGCCTCTTCATGTCGGGGAACCGCTCGACGTTGATGAGAGGGAAGCCCGCCTCGTCGTGCTGCCGCATGCCGCCGGCCGGATCCGTGCCGCTGCAGTTCTCCCTGCAAAAAAAGCAGGGCGATGAGCGGCGGGCCGTCTGGGCGAGGCGGGAGGCGGGTGCGCCCTTGGGTGGGACGGTGTGTGTGACCTCGTGGGACCATGATGTACGGCGCTCACCATCCCTCGTCGATGCCCACCCTGACATAGCCGGCGTCGGCCAGCGACACCTTGGGTTCGTTCCAAACGCGGGCTGTGATGGCATCGACCGCCGCCTCGAATGTCTTCTCATCAATCCGGTTCCCAAAGGCATTCCAACTTCGCCAGCCCATCGGCGGCTTCGTGGCCTCCTTGTTCCACCCGGGAGGGTAGAGCTTGGAAGTGCCCTGCGCGATTGCACCTCCGCAGAGGAACGTAGCTGCAATCAGAAGGCTGCGCATGATGGTGAGCTGTTGGAGCTCGCCAACTCCTAGTGCTTGGCCCGGGCGCTGTCGGAGCGCCTTGGCGCTGGACAAAAAGAAAGAAAGTGACCTGCCAAGCGAGAGATGGGACAGCTCCCGTTTTTTTTCTTCTTTTCTCTATTTGCATTCGGAGGCTTTGGGCGCGTCTACCGCTGCGATAAAAAGAAAGAAAGAAATCGACCTCCCAAGGGAGGGATGGGAGGACGGCACGCCACCACGCAGGGATTTTAAGGAGAGGAGTGTGTGGACACCAACGCGGTATGGGTGGACGCAAGACAGATGATGACGACACGCACGAACGACACACAGGCACAAACAAGCTCACAAGACACACAGCCAGCTGGCTGCCACACACCCTGAGTTGGCGTACACATAACTCAAGGCCACATCCTAGTAGAGCCGTGGGCTCATTTCACGTTTACTCGAGTACGTGAAAGTGCCTCGCGCCGGACTGAAGTCCTCGCACGGCCCCCTCGCGTTCCCTACTTCGATGGCCCGCACCAGCCAGCCGCCGCCGCTGGAGCTGCCACTCCGCGACGAGTGCGTGTGCGAGGCGGCGCGCAGCGCTTCTGACGACGACGACGCGGGTGCCGACAGAGGCGGCTGGATGAATGCGGCCTTCGCGGTGCTCGGTCGCCGGCTCTGGCTGCTGCTACCGCTGTACGTGCTGCTGTGGCCGCTGCTCGAGCTCGCCTTTGCGCTGCACGTGCGGCGCTTCCTGCGCGCGCGATCCGCCTCCGGCCACCGGACGCACGACCCGGCGGCCGACCCGGCCGAGGTGCAGGCCTTCTGGAGGCACATCCTGACCGCCGAGCCCGCCGAGAGCGTGGACGACATGGTACGGGGTTGGTTCATCGACCCGGACGGCGAGCGCGAGCGCCAGAAGCTGCACCCGCTGGTCGCCTCCCCCGTCGGCCCCACCGGCGGGGAGCCGCGCGCCGGCAGCGCGTCGCAGCTCGTGGCCAGTGGAACGCTAGACGCGTCGTGGACGCGTGCGGGACTTGTTCGATAGGCAACGTGCTGCAGCTGATCGTGTGGACGCTTTACAACGTGGACGTGGCGGCGGCGACGCGGCCGCAGCTCGGCGTGGCGGAGGACATCTTGCGCGCTCTCGAGCGGAAGCGCGGCGCGCGGTACGCGGGCGGGACGGACCCCTCCCTCACGTGCATGCGGCACACGCTCGGAGGACTCGAGAAGGCGAGATAGCCCCGAGATCCGCCGAGATCCGCCGAGATGATCGGGCCGGAGGCGGCCGACCGCTCATACGCCGTGGGCTCAGCTGCACAAGCCTATCTCACATTACTCCCAGCTGCACAAGTCTTTCTCATAGCTGACCGACCTGGATTGGTATAACTCAGCTGCACAAGCCTATCTCACATTACTCCCAGCTGCACAAGTCTTTCTCATAGTTGACCGACCTGGATTGGTATAACTCAGCTGCACAAGCCTAATCTCACATTACTCCCAGCTGCACAAGTCTTTCTCATAGCTGACCGACCTGGATTGGTATAACTCAGGTGCACAAGCCGCTCCTCTTCTACGTCGGCGCGCTGGCGGCGGCTCGCCTCGTCGAGCTGCTCCTCTCGCTGCGCGGCTTCCAGAGGCTCGCGGCGGGAGGGGTCGAGTACTGGCGCCTGGCCGCGGCGGCGGGCGGCGAGGCGCAGGAGCCGATCGTGCTGATGCACGGCGTGGGAGGCATCGTCGGCTACCTGCCCCTCTGCCTCGCCCTCGCCGCCGAGCACGCGGCGCCCCTCTACGTGCCCCTCTTCCCCTCGTGCTCGCTCGGCGTCCCGACCCTCTCCTCGCCGCCGCCCCTCCCCGCCACCGCCCTCGCCGCCGCCGTCGAGGAGATGCTCGCACAGCACGCGCCGCCCGCCGCCGCCAGGGCGACCGCCGCCAAGGCGGCCGCCGCCGAGCCGGCCGCCGAGCCCGCGCCGCTGCCCAAGGCCCCTCCCGCGGCCACGTTTGTCGCGCACTCGATGGGCACCGCCTCGCTCGCGGCGCTCCTGAAGGCGCGGCCGCAGCTCGTGCGCGCGGCGCTCTTCGTCGACCCGGTCAGCTTCCTGCTCTACCGGAGAGGCTTAATCCTTGACTCTTGAGTCTGAGTCATCGACCGCTAGGTCTGCTTCCTGCTCTACCGGAGAGACGTGCTCTACAACTTCCTCTACCGCCAGCCCGCGCTGCACCGCACCTGGTCTTCTGTTCCGTCTCCGTCGGACACACATCTGGCGGGCGGGCCCTCACAGCTTGGTTCCCCCTCACAGGTGGCGCCCCTCCAAGTGGTTCCAGCTCGCCCTCCACCGCATGATCACCACCGAGCCGGGCATGCAGACCTGCTTCCGGCGCGAGTTCTGGTGGTCGCACTACGTCCTCCACCCGTCGGAGCTCGACTGCGAAGCGGCGGTCCTCCTCTCCGAGCGCGACGCCATCGTCCCCTCCGGCGAGGTGCAGCGCGCGCTCGAGGCGGAGGAGGCCGCGAGAGGGAGGCAAGCCAGCGCGCCGCCCTCGCCGCGCGCCGCGCCACCCCCGCCGTGCGCTGCGCCGCCTCCGCCGCGCCCCGGCTTGCGGGTCGCGGTACACGAGGGCGCGGTGCATGGCTACCTCGTGCTGCGGCCGGCGATCCGCCGCGGCGTACTAGAGGCGCTCGCGGGCCTGCGCGGAGGAAGCTAGGTGTGGTCTAATACTCTCACGTGTGTCACGCGAGTACACGTGCTCCCCAATTGTATATCAACAAAAAATGTGCGCTAAAGTAAGAACGCGGGTCGGAGGGGGGACGAGACCCCCCCCCGCGCGGGCCCGAGCGAGACAGTGGCGGCCGCGATAAGAACCCCTTGAGACAGTGGGCGGCGATAGAGCCCCCTCTCTCCCAGAAGAGCTCCCCAGACCTCCCCAGCTCGCCGACATCCGGGAATCACAGACAATGGTCACGACACGGGCCCCTACAAGACTAACCGAGAAGCGCATTCGCCGCCGACTCAACGTTCCAGTCAAACTTCTCCAGCTCCGCTCTCGCAACCTCCTGCGAGAAGCCGAGCTGCACCAGCTGCGCGATTAGCTCCGCGTGCGGGTCGGCGGCCGGCGTCTCGTTGCTTAAGCCATCCTGCTCGCCGCCAACGCCGACCTGCTCGGCGGCGCTAAACCCGTCCCCGAATCCGTCGGGCGCCTACAACGAGAAGGGGTGCGAGAAGGGGTCCGCTGAGGCGGAGATGAGGACACGCCTCGGCGAGGGAGGCGCGGGCGTGCCTCGAGGCCGCCTCCAGCCTCGTCGAAGCCTCCGCCAAAGCTGTCCTCGCCCCCAAACGCGTCGCCCCCGAACTCGCCGTCTGCTGTGAATTCGTCCGGATTGTCGAACGCTCCGCCGCCCCCGCCGCCGTCAGAGCCGCCGCCGAAAGCGCCGTCGTCGCCCCCAAAGTCGGTCCCGAAGTCGCCGCCCGTGACGTCGGCAGGCGAGACGGCGGAGGGCGGAGGCTGCTCGACCGCCTCCTGGTCGACCTCCTCCTCCTCCTCCTCCGCCGCCCCCGCCTCGCCGCCCACGCCCTCGCGCGGCTGGGCGAGCGGCGGCTCCCACGTCGTCTCGCCCGACTCGTTGTAGTAGTAGACGCGCCCGTGCTCGTCCGACGCCTCGAACCAACCCTCCTGCAGCGCGGACGGCGGCAGCGGCGAGAAGAGGGAGGGCGTCACCGTCTCGTTTGAGCTCAGCGGCGACGTCGGGTCGACGCATTCGAGAGACGGCGGCACGCCCTGCGTGGCGCCGCCCGCCTCGCCCGCCCCGGCCGAGCGATCGCCGCTGCCGCCGCCGCCGCCGCCGCCGCCGCCGCCGCCGCCGCCGCCGCCGCCGCTCGCCGCCGGGTTCGTGGCGGGAGTCGCCGCCAGCGGCGGGGACCGCGCCGGCGAGGCGAGCTCGGAGGGAGCGGCGCAGCGGCCCTCGGTGAGCGAGCCCTTGATGAAGACGCCCTCGTCGAGCTCGCCGTCGGCCGCCACGAGCTCCGCCGACGAAGTGGAGACGGAGCTGACGCGCGCAAAGCTCTTCGACGACGTGGCGGACTCGGCCGGCTGGCGGAGCAGCGGCCCCTCCGCCCGTAGCTGCGCGAGCTCGACGCGCGCAGGCGCCTACAAGAGTGTCGTGGAGCGTGGAGCGTGGACGTGGGCGGCGCGGCCTCGACGCGTCGCGGGCGCCGTGCGGCGCGAGGAGGCCAGCCCCTCCTCGAGGAGGGCGAGCTGCTTCTCCTTGAGCGCCGTCCCCTCCTCGCGCGAGGCCTCCTCCGCCTGCTCCGAGTCCATCGCCCGCAGCTTGGCGCGCACGCGCTCCTCTGCGGCGGCCACGTCGGACGCGAGCGTGTCGAGGGAGGACTGCAGCGCCGCCAGCTCGGCGCGCTTCTCGGACAGCTCGGCGCCGTACTCGGCCGCCTGCGCCTGTGCCGACTCCAGCTGCCGCACGCACTCGCGCTGCTCTTTTCCGTACGCCGCGCGCCGGACGCGCACGAGCTCGACCTCCTTTCGCAGACCCGCCGCCTCCACCGCCGTCTTCTCGCGGTCCCTCTGCGCCTCGGCGAGCGCCTCCTCCGCCGCGCCGAGCCTCGCCCGCTCCGCGCGCAGCTCGCGCGCCGCGCCCGCGCCGCCCGCGCCGCCGCCGGCCGGCGGGGGGGGGAGCGGCTCCCCCTTCTTGCGCTTTGTGACGAGGTGCATCGCGACGCAAAACTCGTCCTCGTCGAGCAGCCCAGAGCGGTCGACGTCCGCGATCGCCACGATGGCGTCGATCTCGTGCGGCGGGAGCTTGGAGCGAGCCATGAAGGCGCGCGTCTCTGCGCCGCCCACTCTGCCGTCCGCCCCCTTGCTGAAGCCGCGAAACACCTGGGTGTACTTTGCGCGCTCGTCGGCCCGAAGCGCCGAGACGGTCACAGCGCCGCGCGTGGCGGAGCGGGTGCGACGCGTGGAGGAGCCCTGCCCGCGCGTGCCGTTGTTGTCGTCGCTAGCGCTTCCAAAAGCAGCTGCAGGCGGCGCAGCGGCTGGCGCAGCGGCGAAATCCCCGCCGCCGAAGCCGCCGCCGAAGCCGCCGCCGCCGAAGCCGCCGCCGAAGCCGCCGCCATCACCATCACTACCGCCAAAACCGCCGTCGCCGAAGCCGTCCCCGGCCTCAAAGCCGCCGCCGCCCTCACCACCACCACCAAAGCCGCCACCGAAGCCGCTACCGCCCTCACCGCTGCCGCTGCCGAAGCCATCGCCGCCGAAGCCATCGCCGCCGTCGAAGCCGCCGCCGCCGAAGCCGCCGCCGCCAAAGTCACCGTCGCCGAAGCCGCCATCCTCGAACGGCGCGGCAGCTGGCGTAGCGGCAAAGCCTCCGTCCCCAAAGCCGCCACCGTCGAACCCACCGTCGAACCCCGCCTCCGCGACGAAACCGGTTTCCGCAAATGCCTCCGAATCCAGGGGCGGCAACGGCGCGGACAGCGCGGGCAGCGCGGGCGCACTGGACGATGAGGTTGGCGGCGGCACGTTGGACGAGGCGGAGGAGGATGCAGCGGGCGGTGCCGCGGCAGGCACGGCGGGCGCGGCGGCAGGCACGGCGGGCGCGGCGGCAGGCACGGCGGGCGCGGCGGCAGGCACGGCTGGTCCGGCGGGCGGCGCGGCGGGCGGCGCGGCGGCACGTGTGGGCGTCGTGCCGAGGAGTTTCGCTAGGCTGTCCTCCGCCGCGGTCGCAAAGGACGGCGCTGCTGCGGCCGGCGCGGCGACCGGCGCGGCGAGCGGCGTCGACAGAGCGCCATCCGCGCCAAGAGGAGCCGCGCCGCCCGGCCCGAGGCCGGTGGCTGCTGCGCCGGTGGCTGCTGCGCCGGTGGCTGCTGCGCCGGTGGCTGCTGCGGGGGTCGGAGCGAGCTCCAGGCCCAGAAGGTCTCCCATCGGGCTGTCGGTCGCCGGGGTGGCGGGGATTGAGGCGAGCGGAGCCTGCTGCGGCCCGCTCGCCGCAAGGCTGCCGAGCGGTCCGCCGGCGAGAGCAGCAGCGTGCTCCGCTGGGCCGGAAGGCGTGCTGACCAGCGCTTCGGGAGAGAGATCGAGCAGCGGGGCGGCGGCAGGCGCGACGGACGGGGCAGCAGCCGTGGATGCGAACGCGCACGCAAAGGCGTCGTCCGCAGCAGAGGCAGGAGCAGCGGCTGGCGTGGATGCCGGCGTGCCAAATGCGCAGGAAAATGGCGACGACTCCCCGGCGGCGATGCTATCGCGCTCGCCCGAGGGCGCGGAGCTCGCCGCGGCGCCGAGAGCGGCGAAGGGATCCGCGTCGACGGCGGGCGGAGGCGGCCCGAATGCGGAAGCGAAGGCGTCGTCGGGCGCTGCGGCAGCAGTCGCAGCTGGCTGCGGCGCCGCCGGCGCCGGCGCCGAGCCGAAGGCGTCGGCGAAGGCGTCGCCGGCAGGAGCGGGCGGTGCGGCCGGTGCCGGCCCGAAGGCGGCGTCAAAGGCGTCCATCCAAGCTGCAATCCAAGGCTGATGGGCCGCGGCGTCCGTGTTGCAGCGGCGTGCAAAAGGAGTAGAAAGAAACCGAAGCGGCGGCGAAAAATCCACGCCGGAAAAAAATTTCGTCGACTGTCTCCGACAAGGGACAGCGACGCCGTCTTCCCGGACGCCGGCTGTTGGCATCTACAGATTCCATAACTGTGGGAGGCTCTAGCTGTGCCCTCTGCACCCAGAGGAGCCTATGGTGAAGCGGGTCGGCAAGTACGAGATTGGAAGAACTCTTGGCGAGGGCACATTTGGCAAGTGCGCTCTCGCCCGGCCACCACCACGGTGCAGACCGCGAGAATCCTCTGAGAGCCACGCCCGCCCATCAACAGGGTAAAGTTTGCAGTCAACACTGAGACCGGAGAGAAGGTGGCGATCAAGATTCTCGACAAGGAGAAGGCGCAAGCTTGAAAGCGCCGATCTGCTCGTCGCCCTTCGATGCTTCCCGAGCCACTGCCCATGGCGCAGGTGGCGAAGCAAGCGATGGGCGAGCAAATCAAAAAGGAGATTGCCGTGATGAAGATGGTCAAGCAGCGGCACGTCGTCAACTTGATCGAGGCTCGCCCATCGCGCCCTCTCTGCCTGCTGACGCCGACGCTTTGCCGCAGCGTCCGCCATTAGTGCCACCACCGCCAGCGCCGCCACCAGCAGCGCTGCCGCCGCTGCCACCGCTGCCGTCGCCGCCTTCTCTCGCCTTCTCTTGCCTTCTCTCGGCTTCCCTCGCCGCATCCCACGACCACCAGCCGCCGCGCCGCAGGTGCTCGCCTCGCGCACCCGCATCTTCATCGTCCTCGAGCTCGTCACGGGCGGCGAGCTCTTCGACAAGATCGTCTCCACCGGCCGGTTCGACGAGCCCACCGCGCGCGCCTACTTTCGCCAGCTGATCTGCGGCGCGAGGGCTTGCCGCCGGCAGAGTGCGGCCCTGCACCCTGCCCTCAGCCTCGGCAAGTCCTGCTGCAGGAGTCGAGTACTGCCACCGGCAAGGCGTCTGCCACCGCGACCTCAAGCCGGCGCAGCTGCTGCCTGAGTGGTCGGCCGAGCGGCCGCTTGCGGCCGAGCCCGTGCCCTCTCCGCTGTAGGAGAACTTGCTCCTCGACGAGCACGCCATTATTGTTAATAATACTAATAGTTAATTAATTTTAAGTAGGAGAACTTGCTCCTCGACGAGCACGCCGTGCTCAAGATCTCGGACTTTGGGCTCTCGGCCCTCTACGGCTGCGAGGGGCTCGGCGCGGCGCTGCGGCGAGGGGGACAGCCCCAGGGAGCGGCGGGCTGGCTGACGGCGGCCTTGTGTGTGAGCAGGCTCGAGCACGCTGCTGCACACCACTTGCGGCACGCCAAACTACGTTGCGCCTGAGGCTCCGCCCCGCCCCTCCGCCCCGCCCCTCTGCCCCCTCTGCCCCCTCCGCCCCCTCCGCCCCCTCCGCCCCGCCCGCGACGGGCGCTCGCACCGCCCGAGAGCCGAAGAGGGACGCGTCCCAGACGTGCCCGGGCGGCCGCTAGGTGCTCGCTCGCCACGGGTACGACGGCTAAGCTGTGCGACGGTTGCTGTAATAATACATCATTGAACAACACCTCAGGTGCTCGCTGACCACGGCTACGACGGCTTCCTGGCGGACGTCTGGTCGTGCGGCGTCATTCTGTGCGCCGAGATCAGCCGAGATGTGGCTCTGGGGCCGTGTCCTCGCCGCCCTCGCCGCCCCCCCTGCCGTGAGCAGCGCTGAAGAGGAATAGTTGAAGAGTCGCGTCTCACCCCTCGACGCGGCACACTCGACTGCTCGCACCTCCCCACCTCGACGCACAGGTACGTCCTCCTTGCAATCATTATTAATTACTGTTATTAATTTCTGCAGGTACGTCCTCCTTGCGGGCTTCCTCCCGTTCGACGTGCGCGGGGCCCCTTCCCCGCCCCCTGCCCCTCTCCCGCCGCCCCCTGCCCCTCTCCCCACGCCCCCTGCCCCTATCCCGCCGCCCCTACCGCCCCCCGCCCTGCCCGCCGCCCCCGCCGCCTCCCCGCCTGCCCACAGCCTCGCCCCGTGCCTCCCGGCGCAGCCTCAGAGCAGAACCCCCGTCGCCACCCTCCCCCCCCCCACCCCCCCCTCCCCACACCCCCCCTCCCCCGTCCCCGGCCCTCTCCCTCTCTCTCTCCAGGAGCCCACGATGGCGGCTCTCTTCCGGCGCATCGTCCGCGCCGACTACTCCTTCCCCGCCTGGTTCTCGCCCCCGGTCCGCTGCCTGCTCACCTCCATCCTCGTCCCTTCCCCCGACAAGAGGGCGTCCATCGCAAAGATCAAGCAGTCTGCCTGGTTCGCCGAGGGCGGCGGCATCGCCGACGAGGCGTCCGAGCCGGGCCCCGCCCTCGCGCTCGTGGCGGCCAACTCGTTCGAAGAGGTCGACGACGACGCGCTGGCGGAGGAGGCGCAGCCGGGGGCGGCGCAGGCGGCGGCGGAGGCAGCGCCGCCGCACATGAACGCGTTCGAGCTCATCGCCATGTGCGGCGCGCTCGACCTCACGCCGCGCCTCACGCCGCGGCTGGACCAGGGCAGCGGGCTGGTCAAGCGGCACACGCGCTTCCACTCCGACGCGCCCGCGGACGCTATCCTCGCGAGGCTGGTGCAGGTGCTCGACGCGGCGCGAGTGCCGCACAAGGTTGTGGCGCGCTCCTTCAAGATCAAGGTTGCGACCGAGAGCGAGCGCGGCCCGCTCGGCTGCACGATCCAGGTGTTTGCAATCGCGCCGGGCCTCCACCTGGTCGACTGGCGGCGCGGGCAGGGCGACCTCATGACGTACCACAAGTTTTACGAGGCGATGCGGGGCCAGCTGGCAGAGCTGATCAGACCATCAGCCGCGGCCGCAGCGAACGGCCACGAGTAGCCGCAATAATCTCGCGCGCCACACGTACTGACGTACACGTGGTTACATGGCATGTGTTTTTGAGAGTATTAGAGAGAAGGTGCTCGGGTTGAAACTTGAAGAGCTTTTCTAATGAGACGTTCACGCAATCTCACGTTGGACGTTCTCGACGCGCCGGTTGTGGCTTGTGCGTATCGTATGTGTGTGTGTGGCAAGTGTGGGGGGGCCGGGGGCCGGGGGGTAGGGTTGCCTCTAAGTCTAACCGCGTTTTAATATTTGATGGGCGGCCTCTAACACGCTACACGGGGTTGCGCTATTGTCGGCCTAACTAACGTTAGCTACTGTTGTTGGGGAGCCCCACTGTTGTTCTGTTGTTACTGTTAACACTAGCAACACTGTTCAGCTCCTAACGTTAGGCAACCCTACCCGCCTACCGGGGGTGCAGCTCCACGCGCGCGGCGCGGCCGCACTCCCGCAGACCCCCGCGCGGCGGGCCGCACTACGTGCACCAGCCTGCAGCCACCACGCACTACGCAAGAACGGCACAGCCGCACACCCCATGGCACACCCACGACCGCTGAGTCTGAGACTGAGACCCAAGGGCCGCAGCGCGCGGCGGCGCGCGGCGGGGGGCACGCCCCCCCCCTCCCCCGTCGCTGCGTCTCGCTCTCGGCTCTACTTCCGTCTGTGTCGCTCGCACGACATACCGCAGAAAAAATTAATGCGCCTACCCCACTACGGGTAGCCCATTCACGCGCTCCGTTGCTAATAATAACCGCCGATTAGTTTCGTATATCAATTAGTCCGTGCGTCCCTTCGTTCCGTGTGTTTTGGGAACCTGCGTATTGTTCGACCGCCCTCTCCATCTCCGCTCGCCGCCCCGCCTGGCACTCCCCACGCCGGAGTGGGAGCGGGTGCGGGTCTTGTGCATGGTAGCTCAGCTACAAACGATCCAGCGCAGCCGCACGCTCAACAGCATACACCCACCGTCGACCAACATGGTCAGTGGGCGGTGCCTGAGCGAGCAGCACAACACCAGGGAAATCCCCTTATCCCGGGCATCGCCCCAGTCGGAGCGATGCCGCAGCCCGCAGCAGCCACAGCGTATGGCTGTGGCCAGCCTTTGCCGCAATACAACCTGGGCTCCTGTGCCATCCCAGGTATGGTGGCGCAGCAGCAGTATTGGATGCCCACCTTTGCGCAGCAGCCTCCGCTGGGCATTCTGCCGGCACGCCAGGGCAGCAGCGCCTCCTGCGGCACCGGGTTTGGCAGCACGCCAGCAGCAGCACCGCAAGCAACAACGCACGATGCACTGTGGCGGCAGCAGCCCCCGACGCCACAGATGGCCCACCTGCCTGGACTGGGCATGCCACCAGGGTACCCAGGGTTCCTGCCGCCTGGCATCCTGCCGCCTGGCAACGCGTACCACGCCTGCGGAGGCGCTGCTCACGCGCCCTGCTACCCAAGCTTTGCGATGCCCAACGGCGGGGGCCCAACAGGGCTGCCCCCGCAAGCAGCCTGGACCCTGCCTAATGCAGTACCGCAAGCCGCTTGGGCCGCGCCAGCGTGGATACCCGGATGCCACATGGCAGCGCCGCCAGCCGCAGGGAGTTACTGCCAGCCAGCACCGTCAAGCGCAGTGCCGGGCGGGTCCATGCCCCCCGCGCCGACCGCCCCAGCCAACGCGCCCGAGCCCATCTCAAAGGTCAAGGACGCGTCGACGCCTGAGGTTGCCGCCCTCAAGCACGTCGCAGGGCTGCGTCGCGACGCGCTACCCGCGCTGCTCTCCAGATTCCATCGCGACTTGTCGCGGAAGCATCCGAAGATACGCGAGGCGCTCGGGCACACAACGTACACCATCGGCGCAGCGATGCAGGGCGACACGGAGCTCGGCGAGGCGAACGCGTACATCGCCAAGTTCATCGACACCTGCCTCGACGGCGACTCCGCTCATGTCGCCGCGTTCCGCCAGCGGTATGAGGGCGACCCCCGCCTGCTGTACGACGGTGTCTACCTCATGGAGCAGATCGCGAAACTCTACCAGATCACCCACGGGAGTGCCGAGGCCAAGATCGCCAAAAAGGAGTTCAACAACGCGGTCTTCTTCACGATGGGCATGGACCTGGCCAAGACGCGGGAGAACGGCCTGCGTCTCATCAAGCAGTTCGAGTCCGTACCTGGCCTTTTCACTGGCCCGATCGACACGTGGCACGCGATCATCGACAAGATGCCGTCCGCGCTCAAGGACGACCAGAAGAGCCTCAGGCGCGAGATCGACCGCTGGCAGGACGGGCACTCAGTGCAGCCGTGGACCAGCCGCGAGGCGCTCATCGACAACATCGCGCGCCTGCTTCTGGGCCAAGAGAGCGGGGGGCTCGAAGCTAGTGCTGCAGAGGAGCAGAGCGCGCGCAACGCAGAAGCAGCCGAGCAGCGCGCCCTCGAGGCAGCAGCAGCAGAGGCCGCCCGCCGGAAGGCGCGGCTTCCCGAGCAGCTCAACGTCCGGCCCTGCCCAGTCGGTGGCGAGAAGCTCTGCCCGGGCGGGCACGCAGGCGGTGGCAGTGCCTGCCCCCGGCGCTGTCCGAAGTGCGTCGCCGCGCTCAGCGATGACCCAAAAATCAAAGTCATCGCCAAGGCCTGCCCAGGCGTCCGTGGCAAGAATGGTGAGGGCTGCGTCGTCACCAGCGGGAAGGACGTGCCCAAGACCATCCTCTGCCCGCAAGGCAAGCTCCCAGGCTACCTCCGCGCCTTCCTTGTCGCCGCAAACGCTAAACAACGCGGCATCACCAAGGAGACGAGCGCAGCAGAGCTCGAGACGCACGGCGCCGAGGGGCAGACGCACGCGCGCGAGGAGCCAGACGCCGAAGATGACGTACTGTACGGCGACTTTGGTGAGCTCTTTCTCTCGCCAAGCGGCGAAGGCGCAGCGCTCGAGACCTCCGCTGCCGAGGCGCGCGACGTCTACTGCGACGTTGCCGAGCAGTACTCTCCCGCCGACGCCGCCGCCGACAAGGCGCGCACCGACGAGTACCTGCGCGACCTCGTCTGTGCACAGAGCGAAGAGATCAAGGCGCGCCTCGAATATGCCGCTACCGCTGCCGTCGCTGCCGCTGCCGCTGCAGATGCCCGGGCACAAAGCGAGCGCGCGGCGTTTGCTGGCTTCTGTGGTGGCGCCGGGGTTGCCACCATCGCCCTTTTCCTCGCCCTTGCCGCTTGCACCTTTGGGTCGTGGGGAGCGTACGCCGCCAGGCTCGCCACCGCTGTCGCGTGGGCAGTCGTCGCAGCCTACGCGCCCCACACAGTCGGCCGTGGCACCAACCTCGCCGTCGCGCACCTACGCTGCCTCGGCGGCTACCTACCCCCAGCCGTACGGGCTACTGCCAATTTCGGCCGCCTGCTCATCGTCGCCGTCTCCACCTCGTGCCTGACGTGGATAGCCGGAGCGTGCGCCATCTGCAAGCTTGCCGCTGTCGTCACCGCCCTCACCGCCTGGCCAGCCGAGATCGTCCAGATGGCCACCGCAGAGCAGACGGCCGCCGTTGTCCGAGAATTACTCGAAGCCTCCACCGGAGAGTTCACCGGAATCCAGAGGACTGAGTCTGTTTGGGGCGCTCGGGGCGGCCGCCTTCAAGCCCACCCACGACCTTCCTGGGCACCACCGGGCGCTATATCCGTCGAGCTGCAGATAGACGGCGGCTCTAACGCCCTCATGTTCAAGCACTCCGCCGCCGGCGAGCGCGGCACTGTCCGCTACGCCGACATCGTCGCCGACGCACACGCATACAGCCTTCGGGACAGCCACCGGAGCATCTTAGGCATCAACGCCGACCCCGCTGCCAATGTCACCACGAGCCAGACCATCAGCGCGAGAGCGATCCTCGCGTCCAGCAGGAGCTTCGACATGACCGACGCCTGCTTCTCGTCTGAGGTGCGGCGCTCCGTCGTCTCCGAGAGCTTCCTCGCCAACGAGCTTGGCGTCAACGTGATCAAAACAGAGAAGATCATGATCTGGCCCGACGGGGAGGTAGACCCGATCGTCGAACGAAACGGACTCTACTTCGTCACGGTCATGCTCCAGCCGGTCCCCGCAGAGCGAGAGGTGAGCGCCGCGCGGATCCGCGTCGACGACAACGCCGCACTCTGGGCTGCGCGCATGGCCACCGACGCCAAGGGAACCCTGCGCGCCTCGAGAGCAACTCGCGGGATTGGCATCGACACGATCAGCAAGGCGGCCGCCGAAGTCATCGACAACAACGCGCACCTACGGCTCCAGCAGTCCCGCCGCCGGCCCGTCCAACGTGCGATCGCCGCGACGGAGCGTGCGCCGAGGCCCGGCCACACTTTTGTTTTTGACGGCTGGGGCCCACACGCCGCGCCGTCGCCGTTGAACAACCACACATACCAGTTCCACGGCGTCTGTCAATACTCCTCCTTCGGGTACACCAGCAGTAACACCAGGCACACCGGCGACGACTGGAAGCCATTCATCCGGAACGTCTACAACGACGCCAAGGCTGCTGGCCACACGCCAAAGGTGTTCATCTTTGACTCCGGCACCGACCTCGTCTCAGTGAAAGAATGGTGTGAGGCGGAGTTCGGCGTCTCGGTACGGATCGCCCCACCAGGACACCACGAGGGAGTCGGCACCGCCGAGGTGAACAACGACGTCCTCACGCGCGTCGCCGAGGCATCCCTCCAGCGCGCCGAGCTTAAGACGTCGTACCTCATCCCTGCTCGAGTCTACGCTCAATATGTCGTCAACCGACGCCCAGTCGAGGGGCAGAAGGAGTCGCGGTACCAGCGCTACTACGGCTTGATCCCCTCCTTCGACGCCGACCGCCTGCCGTACCTCTTTGGCACCGAAGTCAGCTACCACGAGGATGAGCCAGCCCGCGGCCCAAAAGGCAGCCTCGAAAGGCCACGCGCCGTCGAGGGCACCCTCGTTGGTTTTGACGGAGCGTCGTACCTTGTCCACAAGAAGCGGGGCGGCGTAGGACGGCCACGGCACGTGTACCCCCTCAACGAGGCAGTGCTCGTGCGCCGCGGGGCTGCCTCCGGAGCGACACTCGCCGATGCGGCGACCCAGACGCCACCGCCAGGCACCGAGCTCACGCCGCCGCCGCCAGTGCCTAGAGTACCGCGCCCAGCGCCGCCGACCCTCTCGCTCCCGAAGGGCACACGCGTCTCTGTTGTCTGGGGTGACGCAAAGAGCAACACCACCAGCGACTACCTCGGCACCATCGACGACTTCGCTGAGAGGAGCGGCAAGCGCTACTGGCGCGTCCTCTACGACGGATATGCCGACGACACGCCGACGTGGCACCCCTTCGAGACGACGACTCGCAAGTGGCATGTCGTATCGCCGCCGCAGAGCGCCGACCAGCAGCAGCCAGCCGACCCGGCGTCGCCGCCGCCAGACCAGCCGCCACCGCCGCAGTCGTCGCCGCCGTCGCCACCACAGCCTGCCGAGGCCCCCGCATCGCCAAGGCCCAGCGGGCCTGCCACGCGCGCGCAAACACGCGCCAACAGGGCCCTCACCGCCGCCGTTGCAGCCACCGAGGGCGCGCTCGAAGCCTCCACCTGCGACGCCCACGTCGAGGTCTTCAACACAGTCCTCTACGCCACGCTTGGCGACGCCGCGAGCCGCTTCGAGTGCAGCTCCGCCGACGAGCTCGACGCCCGGCGCCTACTCCTCACCTCTTGCGCAGCGGCAACATCGTACGACGGTAGCGCGTACGAGGCCTACGAGTGCGCCAAGGCGACGCAGCGAGACGTCGACGTCGCCACGCCACTCGGAAAGCAAGTCTTCCGGGTGCCCGCCAACAAAAGGGAGGTGCGGGACTCGACCGAGAGCGAGCAGTGGATGAGCGCCGACCGGAAGGCCCTCGACTGTATCCTCAATGGGCCCGGCAACCGCCTCGTGAACATCACCGTACCCGCGAGCAAAGGTGTCCCGATCCAGCGCTGCGTTACGGCGCGCAAGATCAAAATCGACCAGGCGACCGGATGCCTCGACAAAAACGACCCCTTCAAGTCGAGGCACAGCGCTGACGGCGGGTTCGCCAGGGTGCAGCGGCAGAGGTCAGGCCTACCGCCGAACCCTGTCCCCGCCACCTCGACCGTCGTCGATGACATGACCGCCAAGCTGTTCCTCGCCCACGCCGCCGCCGTCGATGCCACCCTCACCAAAGGTGACGTCGGCAACGCCTACATCAAGGGCGAGCGCCAGGGCGCGATTGGGTACATGGCGCTCCCGTCCACACTGCCCATGTTCGACGAGGACGGCACCGAGCTCTGCATCGCGCTCCACACACCACTCTGGGGCGAGGAGTGCGCCGGCTACGAGTGGGAGTGCACTTTCAACAAAATCATCGAGCGCCTCGGATGGGTCCCCTGCCCCGGAGTCCCCGCAATGTTCTACTTCCACGGCGAGCACGGAGAGGCGCGCATGATCACGATCGTCGACGACTTCATGATCTCTGAGGTCGGCGGAGCCGCGACCACCAACGCCACCATCGCCGCGCTCAAGGAGGCGTTCAACGGTGAGGTCAAAGTCGACGACTCGCCGACCTCCTTCGCGGGCCTCAAGATCGATCGCGACCGTGACCGCCGTACCCTCACGCTGTCCATGCCGCAGAAGATTGTCGAAGCCGCACGCGAGCACATGCCCGAGCTCCTCCGCGGCGACCGACCGACCGTCCTCAGCGGCAAGCGCCTCACCGACGCCGCCGACACGCTGCAGCTCGCCGACCGCGGGGTGAAACTCACGCCGCAGCAGGTCTGGACCCAAAGCATCATCGGCCACCTCAAATTTGTTGAGCGCGTCCAGCCGCGGCTCTCGCTCATACTGCACCGCCTCTCGTGCGTTATGTCCGCGCCGCCGCCCGCCGCGTACGAGGTCGCGCGCGCCGCCCTCTACACCGCGTACGCGCACAAGGACGACGGCATCACGTACGGCGGGCAGTTCGCCAGCGACGAGCTTGAAGGCTGCATGCACGGCCACATCCTAGGCCTTGACGCTGCCAGTGCGCCCGCCGAGCTCGCCGCCTCCGGCGACGCCTCGTGGTGTGCCTCCCCAACGGAGCGCTCCGCCGACCGCAACATCTACGGTATCCTCCTCACGTACCGTGGAGGCGCCGTCTACACCTGCACCAAGAAGATCGGCCTCATTGTCGATTCTTCGCACGAGAGCGAGGCAATCGCCACCGCAAAGGCCGGTGAGCACGTCGCCTACGCGCGGCAGGTCCTGTGCGCCCTTGGCGCCGCGCCAGCGCGACCGACCGCGATACTGTCCGACAACAAGGCGAACGTCCTCGTCGCGAACAACACCGCGTCGGCCGCGCGCTGCCGCCACTTCCTGCGCCGATACCTAACGCTGCAGCGGCGCATGAGCGAGGGGGAGTGCACCGTCATCAAGGTCCCCGACGCCGCCATGCCCGCCGACTTTCTCACCAAGTGGCTCGGCGCCGCCAAGCTCAACAAGAGCATCGCGTACGCCACCAACTCTCGGGCCCGTCAGTGAGCCCGATCCAACAGTTCCCCCTGCCCCCAGCGCCATCGAGTCGCGCCGGGCGGCCGAAAGCGGGGAGGGATCACGTTCATGAGCAATGCCAGCTCGCATCTACGCCCGCCGCCATTGGGGGGGGATGCGCCTACCCCACTACGGGTAGCCCATTCACGCGCTCCGTTGCTAATAATAACCGCCGATTAGTTTTGTATATCAATTAGTCCGTGCGTCCCTTCGTTCCGTGTGTTTACTGTTTTGGGAACCTTCGTATTGTTCGAATCCTATGGAGCAAGACGACCTCGGAGACTGGCTCTCACCGCTCTCGCGCAACAACGAAGCACCGCCCTCTCCATCTCCGCTCGCCGCCCCGCCTGGCACTCCCCACGCCGGAGTGGGAGCGGGTGCGGGTCTTGTGCAATTAATTATTTTCTGATGTAGTCAGACGCGCAAACATCGGGGGCATGGAAGTGTCACTAAACACAGAGTCTGTACAGAGGGGTATGCGGGGGAGGGGGCATAGACGCGAGGGTATAATTATAAGTCGAAGTGTGTCACAGGGCGGGAGAGACAATGCTTCGGGTGTGTGTACAGGCGCCCTGAAAGGGGTGCGGGGAGGGGGCGAGACAAGTCGGGGCGTGGGTGCTGGGCCCGGGGGTGGGCGAGGGAGAGGGGAGCCACAGGGGAGGTCACGGCCGACGCCGAAGGGGGGCAGGAGGCGGCAGGAGAGGAGACCTCGGTGCCGGCGCCTGGAGGCCTTCGTGCGGGGGGAGGGAAGAAGACAGGATCGCGGAGCGGCGGCGGAGGAGCTAAGCGTCCGGCACAGGCGCGTGCAGTCCAGCACCTCACACGAAGAGGGAGGCGCAGAAGGCCTCCGCCTAGGAAGTGTCGAGGAGGTGTCGGGGAGGTGTGTAGGAAGAGGGGGAGACTGCGGCAGACCCTCCTCCGCCTCGACAGGCACCGTCTCGTTTGCGATCCTCTCCGCCTCGACACAGGCGAGCTCCTCGGCGTCGTACGGGTTGGGGCCGACGGGGTCGAGGGAGAGGACCGAGTGCAGGCCAAAGGCGAGCGACGCCCCTGCGGGCAGTCGAGGGTGCGGGCAGAGGGTGCGGGTAGAGGGTGCGGGTAGAGGGTGCGGGTAGAGGGTGCGGGTAGAGGGTGCGGGTAGAGGGTGCGGGTAGAGGGTGCGGGTAGAGGGTGCGGGTAGAGGGTGCGGGTAGAGGGTGCGGGTAGAGGGTGCGGGTAGAGGGTGCGGGTAGAGGGTGCGGGTAGAGGGTGCGGGTAGAGGGTGCGGGTAGAGGGTGCGGGTAGAGGGTGCGGGAGGGGGGGGGGTGCGCGGGTGACGGGGCGCGCGCCTCGCTTCGGAGGCGGCATCGCCTCGTTGAAGTTGAAGGTGACGGGCGAGTCGTGGTGCGCGAGCAGCGGGTCCTCCAGCCGCAGCGGCGGCATCTGCACCGCTATCGCCCACGGCTGGTGCTCGGCAAAGACGTACTCGCCCCGCGGCGACTCTGCAGCGGGACCGTGCTGCGGCGTACTGTAGGCGTGCTGAGGCACGTCGGCGGTGCTGAGCAGCGGAGAGTCGACCGCGGTCTCGTCCGACGCGCCCCGGTTCACCTCCTCCGGCGCCGTGCGCTGCCGCTTGCGAGGCTCCTCGCGCGCAAACGTCTCGGCCTCTTCGCGCGTGAGCGGCCGCGCGACGCAGTAGAGCTCGGAGCGGTTGTGCGTGCGGCCCTCCTTGGCCTGCTCGTCGAGCGCGGCGAGCCACGCCGGGTGGTGCTTCCTGCAGTGCTTTCGCACGCCTGCGCGCGCGACGGGGCGGCTGGGGTGAGGCGCGCCGGCCGCGCGTGTCAATCCCTCACCCGCCGTCTCCTCAGCGCGACCGCGCGCGGACCCCGCTGTCCGCGCCGGCCGCGCACCGCGCCCTCGCTTCACCGACGCCCTTCCACCCCCGCCCCCGCCCCTCGCCCCAGGGCCCGCGCGCAGCAGGCCGGCCGTTTTGCTGCACCCCCGCGCGCGCGGCGCACCGTCCGTGGAGACGTAGGAGCGGCTGCAGGAAGGGAACTTGCACACGTAGACTTGGGTGATGGTCTCCTTTGGCGACGTGGCCACGTCCGCGTCTGGACTCAGCGACTTGGCGGGCATACCCACCGGCGGCTCTCTGTGGTCGGGTCAAGGTGGCCGAAACGGGGAACTCCTCGAAGCCGAAATCCTGGGTTTTGTTTTGGCGTGGTTGTGTGCTGGATGCGGGGGTCCCGATATCGAAAGAAAGAAAGAGCACTTCGGGAGGAGCCGCCGACTGCTCCGCTGCCTTCCGAGCCGTGTGTCAGTCGGGCTCTGCCATCTAGCCTTCAGTGTTTGTTGTATTCTCTGTTCCTTCCCCGTCCGCCAGGGCGACGCTGGCGCCCGCAGTCTGCCCGCAGTGGGGTTCAGCCATCTACTATGGCTGCGTCATAGAGATGGCAGCCATCCTCCAGAGCCATGGCTGGTGGTAATTCGATGGCAGCCGATGGCAGCCGTCCCGCGAGGCCGGGGGCGACAAGCGCGCAGCCATTTGTGCGTGTGGCGGGGGAGGCGGACGGCTGCCATCGAATTATCACCAGCCATGCTCCGGAGGATGGCTGCACTGACTGTGGTGCCCCAGCCATAGTAGATGGCTGAAATGGCTGTCCCGCAGCCATCTTTCCCAAGTCCCAAGATGGCTACAACACACACACACACACACCCTCTACTACTCGAGTACGATGTAGCCAGCTCAGCCAAGAGGGCTCACCTCGAGGCGGGCGGTGTGGCTGCGGTAGTGCGTCTCCAGCCGTGTCTACTAAGGATGGCTGCCGTGTGTGTGGCCATCGGGCTGGAGGCTATGGCTGCACTGCAGCTAGCTCAGCCATCCTTAGGTAAGATGGCTGTGAAGGAGCCAGCACAGCCATTCTGGGTTGTCACATTCCGAGGTTAGCCTCGTCATAGCACTCGCGTTGGCGCCAGCCCACACTTTGGTGGCGCACGCGCCACAATGTTCTCTGGCAAGAAGCACCGGCAGCTGCACGACAGTGAGGATTCGGACCTCGAGGCGAGCGTCCGGGCGCACGTTCTCGACGCGCTGCGCTCGCCGGACGTGCGAGCCGGGCTCGAGGAACTCCTCGACCTGCGATCCTGTGTGCGGGTAGCCTTTGCATCGGAGCGGAAGGCCATGCTGGCCTCGCTCAACCTCGGCGAGGAGCTCGCGGCGGCGGTGGCGAACCCTCGCACGCAGAAGCAGCTCGCGGCGCACCTCGACCTCTCTGCCGTCCTCGAGCACACGGAGCTCCGCTCGAGACTACGCGAGTCGCTCGCGTCCACCGACCTCGTCGAGTACGCAGAGCGCGCCATCCCTGCCGCATATCAGCGGCTGAAGCGGCGCCTCTCGCAGGACCGCCAGAGCCGCAGCAACGCGGCCCTCGCCGCCGGCAGCTGGGTCGTGTGCGCCGCAGCGACGGCGCTCTACACGGCGCTCGCGGCGGAGCTCTGCCTTGTCGGGCTCGGCTGGTTGAGCGCGCTCGCCTTCTTGCGGACGCACACCTTCCTCTGGGCCTGGCTCACCCTCCCCGTGCACACGGCTCGGATCCTTGTGGCCATCTCCGCCGCCCGCCGCATCCCTCCTCTCGAGGCGCTCGTGCGCGCCGCGTGCGAGCCGCCCTCTGCGCCTGTCGCGTCGCAGCCGCAGCGCGCCGGCGTCGCGGCGCTCCTCGACCCGGCGCGGCGCAGGCTCGGCCTGCTCGTCTCGCTGTGGGTGGCCTGCTCCACCCTCGACGCCATCGCGGCCGTCGCGCGCGCCTTTGCGTTCGAATTCGAGGGCGAGGTGGCGGCCAAGGTGGTCCTCGCCCAGCTGCTCGCCTGCTTCCTCGTCGTCGACGCAGTGCCCCTCCTCGCCTGGCCCGCCCTCGCGTGGGCCCTCGGCCCGCAGCACACCGCCGCCGCAGAGGCCGCACTCTCCGCCCCGTGGGACGGCCGCTCGGGCGCCTACCGCAGCGGCGGCGCCCTCGGGCCGCTCGCGTGCTGCGCCAGCCTCGCGGCTGCGGCCCTCCGCTCGCTGCGGGGCTCGAGACGGCGGGCGGCGCCGACCGCAGCACCTCCCGCCACGGCGGCGCCGGCGCGTCCGATCGACGACTGGATGGGCGGTGCGCCTCAGCGGGTGTGACTGTGCTCTCTGGTGGAGAGTCTTGTGTGACACGAGAGATACTTTGGGATTGGGTGTACGGTACAGTGAGGTCGATCAGGAGGCTGCGCGCCGTCTACACGGTATAGCGCGCGCCGTAGTCTAATCACCGGCTCTCAAGAGTTAGCTCTCAAGAGTTAGCGCCTGGTTAGCGCGCTAAGCGGCACACCCACGACACATCGTGATCGATGCGCACGAGGTCCATCAGTGCAACAAGTGCCAGAGACGAGAGAGCCGGCATGTCGTTGCTCCAAGCAAACCCTTGTGCGCCACTGTGCCCTCACAAAAAGTAGGCGCGGCGGAGGGAGCCCATCGTCACGACGTCGTCCGTGCGCGGGTCGCGGAACGCGCCGCCGCCATGCGCCGCCTCGAGCCGCAAGACCGCCGCCTACAGCCGAAGTTCGGCCGGCGTCTGGCCGGGATGCTGCGCCGCCTCGAGCCCCGCGGCTCGGCTGCCTCGGCGTAGACGTGACCCGACGGCAGGACGAGCGGCGGGTTGTCCTACACCCACGGTGCCAGAGGTGCGGCCGAGGCGCGGCCGAGGTGTGGCCGAGGTGCCCCGGAGGCGAGCTGCACCTCGTCGAGCAGAGTGCCGGAGAGGCGGCAGGTGACGGCGGAGCGCGAGCGCTGGCAGGAAGGGAGCCTGGTGGCGAGCCTGCCCACGGGGAGGGCGGGTCGGCTGCAACGATCGGCGGGAGGGGTTGGCGGGGAGGAGTGTGTTAGAGGTGGGGTGACTGCGGCATATTATTATTATTATTAGATCTATTGTGTATATGTGGCTGCGGCTCGCGCCCTCGGATCGGGCCGCAGCAGACTGGACAGCTCGGCGCCTGCGGGACAAGTCGCGGGCATGTCATGTACGTGTCAAGGGCTCGCCGCAAGCCCAGGCGGCTCGGCGCCTGGTGCTCTGGCAGCGAGCAGAAGGGCGATATCTCGGCTTCATCTCGGCTACATCTCGGCGCCTGGTGCTCTGGCAGCGAGCAGAAGGGCGATATCTCGGCTTCATCTCGGCTACATCTCGGCGCCTGGTGCTCTGGCAGCGAGCAGAAGGGCGATATCTCGGCTACATCTCGGCTACATCTCGGCGCCTGGTGCTCTGGCAGCGAGCAGAAGGGTGTCTTCAGCGCCGCGACGCCGGCGGCGAGAGCAACCACCAGCGGCGGCGTCGGCGGGGCGCCCGCCAGGCGGAGGAAGTCGCGCCCGAACCGGTCTGCCTGCAAGGGCGCGCACGCAGAGGGGGGGAGGGTGGTCGAGGCGTGCCTGCGCCGGCGGCCGCGCCCTCGACGCGCGCGTGGCCAGGCATGTCCCGTGGCCAGGCATGTCCCGTGGCCAGGCATGTCCCGTGGCCAGGCATGTCCCGTGGCCAGCCATGTCCACTGCTCGGGGAGGCTGCGCCGCGCATTGCGAGGGCACCGCGTGTGCCACCCGAGCGCACGGCAGCGCCCTGCCCCTCCGCATCTAGAGGCTGCATCTAGAGGCTGCCCACCGCTCGCCGCCACCGGCCCGGGTCGAGCAGCGAGGCGTGCGGGAGGGAAGTGCGCGTGCCAAGGGCTAGCAGCGCCTGCGCGCCGCCACCGCGGTCTCAGCTGTCGCGCTCTCTCGGCCCGGCTCTCCCCTCCGCCTCCGCCTCCTCCCCCCCTTCTCCGTTCGGGGCGGGGCGGCGGGGAGGCGCACACCATGCCTCGCCTCGCCTCCTCCGCGACGGCCTCCGGCAAGCCGGCCGGCTGCAGGTGGCGCCTCGCGTACTCCACAGCCTCGACGGCGGCACCTGGGGGGCGCGTGAGGGGGGAGGCGTGAGGGCGGCGTGCACTGCCCGCCCCGTCGAGTCCACCTCGCCGCTGCTCGCCCGCGGCGACGAGGGCGAGGAAGTGCTGCAGCCGCAGCTGCGGCTCGAGCGGCGAGCGCAGCTTGGCGAGCCGGTGCCCTGCGGCAGGAGGTGGTGCGGGCAGTGCAGCAAGGGCTGGCCGAGAGCGTGCCGGCGGGGTGGCTGCAGCGGCGGAGCGTGCAGAGGCGGCGGGCTGCCAGCGGGGGGTCGGCACAGTGTGGGAGAGCTGCGTGCGCCTGTTGAGCCGCGCGAGAGTGTGCTGCTGTGGGGAGAGGCAAGAGGAGTGGCAAGAGGGGTGGCGGGGGCCGGTGGCGGCGCGCACTCTCCCTCTCGCACCACTGCAGGGCTGGGCCGGCGTCTTGGCGGAGAAGCGCGTCCGTCACCCGGCGGCACTCGGTGAGGGGCCTGCCAACAGAGGACGGCCGGAGCTCTGCGGGCGCCTCCCGCCTGCGGGCGCCTCCCGCTTGCTGACGCTGCCCTCCCAAGCCGCAAGAGCAGGCAAGAGCAGGCAAGAGCAATGCGGTGCTCCGGTGGACCGGTGGAGGGCTCGTGTGTGTACGTGAGCGAGGGACACACGGCGCGTTCCTCTCGTCGAGCAGCGCGGCGACGCCGCCGTTGGCGGAGGCGCACAGGGCGGCCGCCTAATCGCAGTGCCGGCGTCAAAAGACGCGGCGAGTTGAACCCCCACGCCGCGGCCAGAAGTTTCGCTGGCCGAGTGGTGCCGCCCGGTCCGGAGCAGGTAGTCGGCGACAAAGCGGTCGCACCGGGCGTCCGCGAGCCTGGCGCCGCCTCCGCCCGCGGCTCCGTCTTCGGGGGCGGAGCTGTGGGAGAGGAGGCACGCGATCCGCGAGCGGCACCGTGCAATCCCCTCCGCCTCGGCACGCCGCCCCTCGTCCACCTTGCGCTTGAGGCGGTTGATCTGCTCGACGAGGCCACTGACCACCTGGCGCGCCTCGTTCGCGCTCACGCCCCGGCCGCTGGATCCGGCGCCAGAGTCGGCTTCGCCGCTGCTGGCCTCGCCGTCCGCCGGAGCGGAGAGCGCGCTGATGCTCCTCATCAGCGTGTCGAGGTCTGACGCCACAGCGGCGCGGCTCTCGCGGCTAGCCTGCGCCTGTGGCGGGCGAGGGGGCCAAGTGGCAGCGCGAGAGGCGTGGTGGGTTGGAGGGGAGCGGGCGGAGGGCACCAGCTCTTCGTACGGCACGTGCACGAGGCTGGCGTCGAGCACGCGAGCCATATAGTCTCGCCTTGTCGCCTGTGCATGGTGGTGTGGATGGGTGAGCACAACCCCCTTCCTTCTAGGCTCAGCCGGAGAGCACGCTAGTGCGTGGTTCACGGCGGGCAGCTGCCGCTGGCTAAGTGGACGGGAGCTGATCGGGTGAGCGTGCGGCGAATGTTTCTTTTTTCTTTCTTTTACTTTGATCGGGAGGAAAGTCCTAAGGGTCGATTCCGCATGGTACGGGACCCCTCGATCGTCTCATCCTCCCTATGTACACAATCTCTCTCTTTCTTCTTTTGACTTTTCTCTCTCTGACTCTGTCTGTGGTGTGTTCAGGGGGGGGGGGGGGGTCATAACAGGTTGAGCACTTGAGCATGGTTGGATAGGGTCGTCCGCATGGTACGGGAGCCCTACTTGCATGAAATCCTTCTTTCTCTTCAACTCTTCACGCTCCCATCTCGCCAAAAGACCTACATCGACGGTGGTCGCACACGGGCTCCCTAAACGCATTGCCGAGCGCGCAAACCGTATCAGCACTCGCTCCAGCTCTGCTCGGCGTGCAACACCTCCGCGCTGGCGGCCGGCGGCTCGTTTGGAGCGAGCTTGACCTCGCGGTGGACACCGGGAGGCGAGTCTTGGTCACCCGGTGCAGGCGGGCAGTCCGCCGCCGGCGCAGCCTGCTCGTCCACCCGGGCGTCCGAGGCGGGAAGGCACCGCAGCGCCGCTGCCGAGGCTCTTGAGGGAAGGCACCGGCTCTTGAGCCACTCGCGCGCGGCTTGCAGACGGCTGGGCGGGGGTATCAATTGCACCCACGGCTTGCAGACGAGCTCCAGGGTGTTGCCCCACTCCGACACGCTGTCGCGCTCGTCAACGAGCGCACCGCGCCGCCGGGCGATGAGCCGCTCGATGCGGCGGCGCTCCGCCACGTCCACGAGGTAGCGCACGCTCTGCTCGACGTACGCGTCCTCCGTCGCGGCGATGGGGTCCGTCAAGCCCATCTTGCGGTAGAACCCCTGGGCGAAGCGGCCTTGTAGATCCGGGCCAGGCAGCGTGACGATGACTCGGCCCTCGAGGAAGGCGTCGAGCAGCATGGCGTTGCAGCTTCCACACGGGTGCGCGTCGAGGAAGACCGCGCATCGCGAGATGTACTTGCGGAGCCAGCCGGCCGGCCCGCGGGGGAGGAAGAGCGCGTTCCCGTCGAGGGCCTGGGAGATGGCCGTGAGCGTCTTTGCGGACATGCCGTCCTGCAGGAATAGGAAGACGGCGGTGGGCACCCGCGAGAGGATGCGCGGCAGCGTGCGACGCACAAACGGCATATTGAGCGTCAGGCTCGGCTGCAAGCAGCAGACGAGCTTGGCGGGTGGCGGGGGCAGCAGGCTGAGCGCCTCCTCGAGCGGCGCTCCGGTGAAGTGGAAGGCGGGCAAGCAGCAAGAGAGGCTGCGCATGAGCACGAGCGTCTCCGAGTAGTGCTCCTGCGCCCCCTCCGCTTCGAACCACGCGCTCGAAAAGTAAAAGTCGATCGTCGGGATGCCAGACGTGAGCGCGTGGCCCCACGTCGTGACCTGCACAGGCGCGAGCCGCGCATAGGCCATGATGCAGGTCCATGGGTGCAGCCCGATCTCCGGGTACACGAGGACGTCGAGCTCCAGCGCCGCCACCTTCTGCAGCGCCTCTCGCACGTCGGCGCACCCCACGCGCTGGTCGACTGCCTCCCACAGCGCGCCAGCCTCGGGAAGGTCGGGGTGCGAGCCGGCCAAGGCGGAGGATACGATGAGGCACGTCTCGAAGCGCCGCCGGTCGAGCAGGGTGACGATCCTCGCCTGGCCACGGTAGACCGCGCTAAAGCACTCGAGCCGATCGATCGCAAAGAAGCCGACCCGGATCCTGGGACGCGTCCGCGGCGGCGGGGCGGGTTGCGCCGGGTTTAGCAACGCGCCGAGGCTCGACCTATCGAGGAGCGCTCGGATCGCGTGGTGCCAGCGGCTGATCAGCTGCTTCCGCGTGCCACCAGTGCACGGCAGCTGGTTGTGGCACGTCGACCTCGCCAGGACGTTGGTCTCAAGGCTGGTGGCGCGCGACGTGTGCGCCTCCACGAGAGCGCAAGCCCTCTCAAAGTGGCTGAGCTTGGCTGCGTCGTCCGCCTGGTGAAAGTACGCGTCAAACTGGAGGTGCTTGATCTCGTGGAAGAAGGCGCGCAGGAATTCCGACTCAATCAGGCCGATGAGCGCGTCCAGTGTCGCGGCGTCGGCCACCTTGTCTCGGAGCTCGGAGAAGAAGGGCTGGTCCATGTCTATCTCGAGGCCCGCCTGGGCGGCGAGCGCCGAGGCCGCGGCTGCATTGGCCCCAGTCACGGCCGCGAAGGTGGAGTCTGTGGACTTTTTCTTCTTCTTTTTCTTCCGCTTGGCCGCCTTAGACTTCGACTCCTCCTCCTGCGCCACCAGCTCCTCCATCGCCGACCAGTCCAGCTCCTTCCCGCCCTCTGCGCCATCAGCTGCGTCGGGTGCGGGGACCTTTGCTGCGGTTGCTGCGGCCGCTGCTGAGCTCGGTGCCGCGCCCGCCGCGCCCATTGCTGAGCGCCGTGGCGCGCTATTTGAAGCTTCGAGCCCCGATGGCGGCTGTCCCGACGTGAGCAGCGGTGCGATCGAGAGAAAGACACTAATCTCGAGACTGTTCATTCGCGGCTGGTGCGCCTCAAAGATGGCGTGGGCCTTTTGGAAGTGGAGCAGCTTGGCAAACGCCGCCTCGCGCCCGCTCATACCCTCGAGGCAAAAGTCGAACAGGAGGTACTTGACCTCGTGAAGGAAGCTCCGCAGGAATTCAGACTTGACAAGGCCAATGAGAGTGTCGAGCGACGCCGCATCTGCAGCCTTTGCCCTGAGTTCGGAGAAAAAGGGGTTCTTGATGTTGACGTCGAGCTTCGCAGCGGCGGCGGCGGAAGCACTGGCCGCACTGGCACCTATCACCGCCGCAAAGGTGGGAGTCTCCGGCCCTCGTGCGCGCTGCATCGAGGGCATTGCGAGTCTTGCCAACGCGGCGCAAAAGTTTGATCGCGGAGCGCGGAACGATCTCCGATGGCCTTCTACAGTGGGTTGCGGGCATTAAGAAAACAGGATTCGGCGGCACGCCGCCGTTTCTAAGCCTTTCCACAGCCCTCATCCACCCCACGCCGTGGTTTCTTAGCTCCGGCCGGCCTCCTAAGGATTTTAGGTAAGAGGTAAGCTGCGGTCCGCGAGGGCGATGCCAGAGTCTGCCGCCGAGTCGGCTCTCTGGATGACGGGAAGACGCACACACGCCTCCATCTCCACTCCACTCAGAACACCGTAGACTTGGAAAGTGACAAGTGCGCGCGCCGCAGGCGAAGAGAAATTTTGAGCTGGGGCTCCCGTTCACACTCGAGACTCGTGTCTGGCCTTTTCTCGGGGCCGCGCCTGCGGCGCGCCGTGGTTTCTTAGATTTTTGCGGAAATCTCTTGGTAGGGTTTCTTAATGCGACGTTTTCTTAATGCCCGCAACCCACTGTACCGGGACATATTTTGTACCGACTGCGGCGCCTCGTCCCTGAGCGCGTGCGTCATTTTCTTGTCTTGAGCACTTGAGCACTGGATAGGGTCGATTCCGCGTGGTACGGGACCCCTCGATCGTCTCGCCCTCCCTCACTGGTTGGGAGAGAGATTTTTAGCAATACCAAACAAATCTAACTTGTTGTCTGGTTGGTGTGTTCATTAGGGGGGGTCATAACAAACCGCACGGTACAGGATCGAGGTGCACGCTGCCGAGGCAGTGTCGTCCCCCCTCTCCATCGTCTCACTGGGAGACGTCGGCGGTGATGTGGCGGTGTTGTCTGTTGACCGATCGAGCTATAGCAGCTACAAGTTACAAAAGAGGAACTTGGTCAGCAGGATCCGGGGAGCGGGGTGTTTTTTCTTGTCTTGTCTGTTGTTACGCCGACAAGCCTAATCATTGGACACGCTCAAATCACAAATGATAAGGTCCTTCTGTGCAGTGTGGGCAAACCCTGGTCATAGTCGTAATTTTTTTGGCATTTACCTCGATAATCGTTTTTCCCGGGCCGGTGAGCCCGTGACGCACAATGAAATCCCAGAAAATAAAAACTTCTCCCAGATGCACATCGGTGCTGGGGTACGCAAAGAGCGAAATACACAAAGCGGAGTGAGCGGCCGAGGCCGCACCCGTGCGACAGCTGTAAGCTGATGCTTTCTCCACGCGCCGTCCGCCGAGTCCCGCTCGTGTCGCTCGCACGGCGAGGTGGCAGCAAGCGCGTGGCCGAGGCTGGCGCTAGCCACAGGGGGGCCGACGAGCGCGCCTCGGCTGAGCGGAACACAGCAGAGAGCCTGCCAGGCTCGGCTGGCAGAGGGCCCCGCGCGCCTCAGCTGAGCAGCGCGGTGGACATCGCCTTGACGGTGTCCAGCATCGACGTCGCCTTGGCCTCGCCGTACTCCTCGAGCAGCTTCTTCTGCGCGCACGCGCCGAGCTCCTCCACCTCGGCGGCCGTCTTTTGCCCCTTTGGCGCCGCGGCGCAGCAGAGGAGCAGCCCGTACAGCGCGCGCAGGTTGCCCCTCGGCTTGAGGTCGAGCGAGTGCGCAAAGTACTTTCGCGCCTACGCGGCACGCCGCGCTTAGGTCATCGCACTCGCGGGTACTCCCGCGTCCTCTCGGGCGGTGCGCTCGCGCCGTCCGCACGAGGTCCGCGTTGCCGCCCTTGTCGATGCCGCCGAGGGTGAGGAGGATCTCTGCGTAGCGCAGGTGGTGGATGTACGCCATGGGGTTGAGAAGCAGCAGCTCCTGCAACGAGGGGTCGAGCACCCTCTCGGGGGGCTGCGGGGAGGGGCCAGGAGGGCGGCGGCGGCGGCTCCTCCATGCAGAACTTGGCGCGCTGGTACTGCGCCTGAGAGAGGTAGAGGTCGCAGAGCTGCAGCCAGCCTGGTGGGGCGGGGGGGGGGAGGCGAGGGCGGGTTGGGCATGCAGCAGCGGGGGAGGGGCCGAGGGGGTGGCACGGCGGGGCGGAAGCACGCCACACAGCCCCGCGCCGGTGCAGACGCCTCGTCTTTGAGAAAAGAGAGCGGAGAGGAGGGAGGGTGTGTCGCACCGTCGGCGTCTGACCCGACGACCTCGAGATGCGCCGCGAGCCTGCGCGCGCGCGTGGGGGGGGGGGGGGGGGAGCTGTAGGGGAGAGGACCACGCCTCGCGCGTGCCAGCCCCAGCCCCGCGGCGAGGCCCTTCCGGCCTCCGCCTCCGAGGCGAGAGCACGCCGTGTGACACACGAGTCGTGTCTCTGCAGCCGCAGCAGGGGACCCCCTCGCAGCAGGGGATCCCCTCGCAGCAGGGGACCCCCTCGGGCTGTGTGTGGAAGGGTGTCTGCGCTCTACGGCCGCGCGCCGCTTCGCAGCCTCGGCCGGCTTGCCGCGCGCGCGCAAAAGGGCCACCTGCCGCTTGAGCGCGGCGAGGTTGTTCGGCTCCTCCTCCAGGATCTCGTCGTAGTCCGCCATCGCCATGTCGTACTCCCCCTTGGCCTCCCACCTTGAAGGGGCGGCCAAAGCAAGGCGGGTCGGGGGCGTGTCGTCGGACGTGTCGGCGGACGTCAGCAGCGGACGTCGGGCGGACGGGGGTGGGTGAGGGCAAGGCGGCGCGTGCAGTCGGCGAGACGTGTGAGGGAGAGTCTCGGAGGCGTGTCTGCACATCATTCCCTCGAGCCGCTTGACGCGCATCGAGTCGGGGAAGCGCGCCGCGAGCAGGGAGTAGTACTCAGAGGCGAGCCGCATCTCCTCCGACGGCTCCTCTGCGCCGCTGCCGGCCGCGCGGGGGCGGCGGCCATAGTGCAGGAGCGCGATGTAGACTTGCTCGTACATAGCCCAGACCTCGGCGCCGAGGCGGCCGGCGTGCGACCGCAAGAGATACTGCCCGAACTTGAGGACGAGGTCGGGGCGGTGCGCGCGCGACTCGCGCACAGCGAGCAGCAGCGAGCGCGACAGCTCAAAGCCGCAGCGCGAGGGCTCGTTCCCGTAAGGCGCGCATGCCGCCTCCGCCTCGGCGAGCGCCGACATGCCGCAGCGTGCAGCAGCGTCGGCTTTGGAGCGGGCGTGGGCGCAGTTACCGGAAAAATTCTTTTTTTCTCGCGGTGTGTTTTTTCTCCGTTTGTTGCCCCCGAAAAAATAATTAAGGTGAATTTTCGCTTCTCGCTCTCCTCGACCTCCGAGGTCCGGCATCCACGAGCCCCCTCGGCGTGTGCAACACGGCCTCCCACCGCATCGGCGCCCGCGTCGCGGGCCTCTCGCCAGCGCAGCTGTGCGCCATCATCGAGGCGCAGGCGGGCGCGAGCGACGCCGCGCTGCGCGTGGCGGAGGAGCACGCCGCACGGCTCGTGGAGCAGCCCGAGTGGGTGCTCTCCGAGGTCCTCCTCTCGCCGGACCTCGCCCCGCACATCCTCGCCCAGCTGCCGACCAAGGGGCACGCCGTCAAGGGGACGTGCCGCGCGTGGCGCCGCGGCTGGAAGCAGACGCTGCCGAAGCGCGAGAGGCTGCGCCTGACCGTGTTTGGCGGCGAAGGCAACGCTGGACGCCTCATCAGCTCGCTGGAGCGGTACGACGCGTCCACAAATGAGTGGGAGGAGGAGCCTGTGGCGCCGATGCCTGCGGCACGCACGTTTGTCCGCACGGCTGTACTCGATGGCAAGCTCTACGCGGCGGGCGGACACATAAACTTCGCAGCGTCCAACCTGGTGGAGCGGTACGTCTTTGAAACGAAAGCGTGGGAGGCGGTGGCGCCGATGGCAGAGGCACGGTCTTCTCACGGCATGGCGGTGCTCGACGGCAAGGTCTATGCTGTGGGCGGGTTCAACAACGACGACGGCGACCTCAGCTCAGTCGAGCGGTACGATCCCGCGACGAAAGCGTGGGAGGCGGTGGCGCCGATGGCGACGGCGCGGCATGATCCCGCCGTCGCGGTGCTCGAAGGCAAGCTGTATGCTGTGGGCGGCGGCAGCGAATACCCTAGCTCAGTCGAGCGGTACGACCCGGCACTGAATGCGTGGGAGGCAGTGGCGTCGATGGGGACGGTGCGGGACGATCTCGCCGTGGCGGGGCTCGACGGCAAGCTGTACGCTGTGGGCGGCTTCAGCGATGGCGACCTCACCTCGGTGGAGCGGTACGACCCGGCGCTGGATGCGTGGGAAGCGGTGGCGCCGATGGCAGAGGCGCGGCGTTATCACGCCGTGGCAGAGCTTGACGGCAAGCTGTATGCGGTGGGAGGAGAGGATGCCGGCTACCACGCCCTCCGCTCGGTGGAGCGGTACGATCCCGCCACGAATGCGTGGGAGGCAGTGGTGCCGATGGGGAAATTGCGACGCGCTTCTGTCGCAGTCTTGATTTAGTGGGCTTAGCCGAGAGCAAGCAGTTGGCCAAGGAGGCAACTCGAGGAGGCAATGCCCGTGCGCAAGGGCAAGAGGACGCGCAATGAGCGCTACATGTATCGGTAGGAACGGAGCGCCGAGCGCGTCCGTGTCTTGTCGCCCCCCCCGGCCCCTGTCTTGTCGCCCCCCAACTGGCATTTTTTGTGATTCTCTCTGGGCTCTGCTCGCTTGATCTGTTGCATGTTGTATTGTGTGGCACACCATAAAGTAACGTGTGGAGTCACCGCAGATTCAAGAAGCCAGCAAGGAGGGATCGGGAAACGGCACGCCGCCTCACCCTATAGAAAAAAAAGACGCGCCACTGCGCACGACGCTGCCTCTTTGCCGCCGAGCCATTTGCTCTCTGCGCGCGCAATATGCCCGACACCTTGATCCTGGCAGCCGGCCGCGGAGACGTCGGCAAGGTGCAGCAGCTCGTAAACAACGCGCAGCGCTTCCGCAGAGAGTGCCGGAAGAGCGAGCCGGGCGGCAAGACAGCCCTGCATGCTGCGTGCGAAGGTGGCCACCATGCGGTGCTGCCGCTGCTCTTGGAGCACGGCAAGTCCCTGCTGGACCGGTGTAACAGCCACGGCAAAACCTCGCTCAATATCGCCGCCGATCTGGGCCATCTGGAGTGCGTGACCGCCCTGCTGCATGCTGGCGCTCAGCTCGACACTCCCGACGTGCAGGGCTGCACCGCGCTCATGCGCGCATGCATCAACGGCCACGCGGGCGTGGCCGAGCTCCTGCTCGAGCGCGGCGCACAGCTCGACCTCACGGACGCCCAGGGCCATCCCGCCCTCTATCGCGCCGCCGTGCTGGGCCACGACGGCATCGTCGAGGCGCTGCTGCGGCGCGGCGCCGCACTGCAGCCCACCGCGCCGGGCGTGAAGCTGCTGCCGGGCATTATTGGGCGCGCGACGCGCAACGGGCACCCCGAGTGCGCCCGCCTCCTGCAGACGGCGATGCGGTCGCGCGGAGAGGCGCACTACTGCCCTCGGCCCAGCACTGACCACATAAAACTGCACGACACCATCTGAAGACACCCTTTTCCGCCGCCGCTGCAACGCACCTCGTGCCGAAGCGTGCACCGCCTTGGACGCCGTCGCCCCGCCGCTTCCGCCCCAGGCGCTCGTCGGACAGCGTGTGCGCGTGGTCGAGAAGAGCCCGCTCGTGGTGCGAGACACTTCCTAGACACTTCCAAGACACTTCCTAGACACTTCCTAGACACTTCCTAGACACTTCCTAGAAGAGCCCGCTCGTGGTGCGAGACAGAGAAGAGAAGAGAAGAGAAGAGCCCGCTCGTGGTGCGAGACACGCCTCCGAGACACGCCTCCGAGACACGCCTCCGAGAGAGCCGCTCACCTCCCGCCAGCTCGCCAGACCGCAACCCACCACCCCACCCCACCCGCAACAGACCCCTCACGCCGCCACGCCCCACGCAACCCACACGGGTGACTCCAGGTGCCAGTCCTCAGCTTCCTATCCGGCTCGCTCGGATGGGTCCCCGCCGCAGTGAGCCGCGCGCTCCCCCGCCCCGCGCCCCCCTCCAGCGGCGCGCTGCGGCGTGTGCGCGTGTATAGGCGTGCCGCATCGAAGGCGAGAGCGACGAGATCGTCGTCGAGCTCGAGGAAGATCGATTCACCAAGCGGCCGATCAAGGAAGAGCTTGACCCGTCCCAAACCACACCACCACCAGACCGCCACCATTGAGCACTCTCTCCACAGGTGCACTCGCTCGCTCTCGAGCTGCCTTCGGCCACCGGCACAGCCGAGCCGCCCCCCACCGCTTTGCCGCCCGCCGACCTGCCTCCCGCTGGCCAGCAGCCGGAGCGACCGGCCGCAGCAGAGCAGCCGCCCGCCAAGGGCCCCGCGGCGGCGGGAGAGTGCGGCGGCAGCGGAGCCGCGGCCGAGACGGCAGTAGCACGCGATGAGGAGGAGATGGGAGCGGCGGCGTCGGCAGCGGCAGCGGCGGCAGCGGCGGCAGCGGCGGCAGCAGCGGCGGCGGGGGCGGCGGCGGCGGCGGCGGCGGCGGCGGCGGCGGCGGCGGCGGGGGTGGGGGCGGGTCCTGAGGGGGAGAGGGGAGACCTGACCCCTGCTTCGGTGGAGGGAGAGGAGGAGGGAAGGGTGCACACAGAGGGCCGCGCCGATGGCGCGGGGGAGTGTGCCGCCCGCCCCAGCGAAGCTGCCTCGAGCGAGGATGCCGCCGCAGCCCAGTCGAGGGGGGCGGCGAAGCAGGCCGCGGCCGCGGCCGCCGAGCTCGCAGTGGCGATGCGAGACGTCGCTGCGGGGAGCGACAGGCGGGCGGCGCGACCGACGCCGTCGCCAGAGCCGCTCTCGCCATCAAAACCACCGCCGCAACAGTCGCACTCGCCGGCGCGCGCCAAGGTGGCCGCATCCATCGTGCGCTTCGCAGCGGCGCGGCAAATCGCTTCGGCGAAGGCGAAGCGGGAGGCCGCCGCTGCCGCTGCAGCCGACGCCGCCGCCGCTGCCGCCGCCGCCTCGCCTGCGCCGCCGGAAGAGGTGGCGGCGACGCCGCCGCCACCGGCACCGCCCACGCCTCCGTCGCCACCCTCACCCTCGCCCTCGCCTTCGCCCTCCGACACATCGCCGCCGCCGCCGGCGCTACCGCCGCCGGCATTGCCGCCGCCCCTCGCGCCGCCGGTCGGCGCCATTGTGCGTTTTGCGGCAGCGAATGCCGAGGCGAACGCGTCGCTCCAGGCGCAGCGTGTGGCGCTGCAGGCCCGAGTGGCGGCGGAGCGCGCCGGGTTGCGGCCGAGCGCCGCTTTGGCTTGCCGGCCAGCACCGCGCGTCTCGGTCGCGACCAATACGGATCCGACGCCGGAATATCTCGAGCTGTGCGAGCTGCGCGCTGAGGTGGCACGGCTGCGCGAAGCGCTCAGAGCGGAGGGGCACCGGTCCGAGCCGGACGACCACCTGCACCGTGAGCCCTGAACTCGTGTGCGAGAGTACGTGCTAGAGTACGTGCATGTGCGAGTACGTGTAGGGTGTAGTAGAGGGTGGCAGCGGTGTTTGCGCGCGCCGTGATGTGTGGGCATGCACGTATATCTAGGATTTTACACACAACAACCTGAGTACAACAACCTAGGAGCTAGAGGTCCTAGCTCACGGCTTCGTGCGACGCTGACGGGGCCTCTGCAGGAGCATCGGGCTCGGCCACTGGGTCCAAGGGCGCGCGGGATGCTGCCGTCCGTTTCGCCTCGTGGCGGGCGACTCGCCGTTTGAGCGACTCGAGCTCCTCTTCCTGCTGTTGAATGAGGGCCGACTGCTCCGCCAACGTAGCCCGCTGCTCGATGAAAGAGGGGCTACTGAGCGCCGTCAGCCGCTTCGGCTCTGGCGACGCAGCCGTGATCGCAGCGCCGCTAGCCCCACCGGCCGCCGCCTCGGGGGGCTCCACATCGACAACGAGCTTCCACTGAAAGATCGCGCGGTCGGCCCCTCCCGCGGAGCACAGCAGCTGCGGCCCTCCTGTCGGGTTCTTTGCGCTCGGCATGGGCGCCTTGATCCACTTGACATTCTCGACGAAGGAGGAGTGGCCAGCGTACCAGTAGTGCTTCTGGCGGTCGACGATCGACGGGAAGTTGTACAGAATCACTCCGCCTAAAAAGCACGCTCTGTACGTCATACCTCGCACCACCCTCGCCGAGCCGCAGCATGACGCTTGGCCTCGGTCGTCGGCCGCGGCAAGGAAGCGGTGGCACGGCGAGCGGGCCACCATGTTGATGTCGTCGGTGCCGTAGCCTTCGGGGTAGATGCCCATCACGTTGAAGCCGAGCGTGCACGACCAGCTCGCCCACCTACTCACCACCGGCTGGCCTAAAGACGCAGTCTTACGGGTGCAAGGTCAGTGCAACCTTCCGGGCCCACCGTCCATCGCGCTGGTCCTCGATGTTTTGCAGGCCGATGCGCCGCCGCGGCTGAGCCCCCAAGTTATCGTCGTCGTAGCCCCACCACGTGTCCCAGTAGAGCAGCTCGCGTGCGCTGCATGTCGACTGCAACACCTAGAGGGCGCACACAGAAGCGTAGGGTCAGGGCACAGGCGGTGTGCATATGCCATATGCACACGCGTTGTGGAGGTGGTAGCGGGGGGGGGGGGGGGGGGAGAATGGTGGTTGGCGCTTCCGGGAGGAGGGTCTTGGCGGCGCACCCTTGAGTTGGTGCTCCAGTCCACGTGTAGTACTGTCGACGAGTGGCCTTTGCAGCGCGCGAGCCGCACATAAGAGTCGCCCACAGCGTTGTAGATGTCAATCATCTACACCGAGCAGGAGCAGTGAGGGAGGAGGGAGTGGACTTGGGCGGAAGAAGGGAGCCCTCCTCGCCTGATCGTGCGACGCGACGGCCAGCATCTTGTTGTTAGGCGAGTAGCGTAGCTCTGAGATCTCTGAGACGCAATCGCGAATGGGCATCCGCGCGGCTTGCGTCTGGCTCGCCCGCAAAGGGAAGAGCTCGCCCGCCCAGCCGCCCTCTTCCTGCTCCGGCGTCTGCGCGGCGTCGGATAGGATGAAGACCTTGCCCGCGACGGTGCCGACCGCAAGCCGGTGCCCATCGCTTGAGAAGGCGCACGCGACGGCCTGCTCACCGGGGAAGGAGGCGAAGGCCACCTCCTCCTTGGCCTTGCAGTTCCAGATATACACTCGGTCGCTCTTGCACGCGCTGGCCATCAGAAAATCCTTGGTCGGGTGCGCGTCGAGGCCGCGCAGGTAGTCTGCGTGGCCCTTCACCACGAGCTGCCGCGACTTATGCGCGAGCTTGCCCTCCTTGAGGACGAGGTCCTTGCCGCTTCGCTCGAGCTCGATCTTCCAGATGTCGCACTTGTCCGTCCCCACAACCACCTCGTCGGACGCCGGGAAGGTGTCGAGCGCCTAGCGAGAGGTGTGTGAGCGTGCGTGCGCGCTCGGACGGCCGGCCTCAAGGGGCGTGGTGGATTCGCCGCTCGCCTTGATCAGCGGCTTGGAGGAGCGCTTGGTGACTCGCGGGATGCGGCAAGTGCCGTAGTGGACGGGCTGCCCCGCCTTGACCTTCCACACCTTGATCTCTCCGTCGCCGCCGCCCGAGAGCAGGTCGAGCGTGCCCTGGGCGCTCCCGCCGGCCCGCAACTTAAGGACCGTGAGGTTGTGTGTGTGTGCCCGGCTCGGAGGCCGCCCCTTCTCTGGTGACGGGACGGTGATGCGCCGGATGACGCGCATGTCGACCCCGGACCGAACCTTCTTGCCCGGCTCGGACTTGTCGGCGGACTTAGAGGAGCTCGCGTCGAGATTTGTCGCGCCAAAGGCCTGCCACATGTACATGTCGCCAGACTGCATGCCCGTGACAACGCCACCGTCCTAGGAAAGACGGCGCCGTTCGCTCCTTAGGATCAGCGCATCGTGGGCGTTCAATCTAGATCGCGCCGCGCGATTCCTATTGCGCTGCTCACCGGCAGGAACTCGACACACAGGACATCCTGGATGTCGACGCCGTCGTTGGACTTGGTTCCCTTCGGATTGTCCTTGTTGAGGAAGGAGCCCGCGTCCTGCGACCAGATGCGCTTGAACTTTGACTCCTTCGGTGGCGGGCACTCTTTCCAAAAGATGATGTGCTTGGTGCCAAACGAGCAGAAGTCAAACAGCTTGGTCTGCTTGGAACCCTCACCGACCTCGACTGGGTTCCACTTGATACCAAAAACGCACGGCGGCGTGCCCTGGCACGTGTTCTCCCGATAGAGCAACTTACGCGTCCTCCACTCCCAAACGAAGAGCGAGTGGTGCGTGTTGCGGCACACCGAGATGACGAGCCGCCCGTCTTCCGAGAAGCAGACCGCCTGTGGAACCAACATCGGATGCGCCACGGCAATAAGAGCAGCGTGGGAAGCGCGCGTATGGCGATCGTCTAGGGGCCACACATGGCCTACAATCTTGCCTGCACGCCCGCGATCGAGTCGGTCGGCTCGTCCTTTGACGTTGTGTGCTCCAGCGTGGCAAGCTCCTGTAGACATGGCCGTGCAGAGCGCTGGCATCCATTCTCTCGGGCGGCCGTGCCCTGGGCTGCATCTTGGGGCTGGCGGTGCGGTGGAAAGAGGAGACGGTGCCTGCATCGAGTGCACGTCCCAGACGCTGACGGTGGGCGTGCTCTGGACGCCTTTGGCGACCTTGAGTGGTGCCGCCTGCCCCGTCGCCGCGTAGTTGCGCGAGGCGTCCAACGCCAGGCACAGGATGTCGTTGTCGTGCGATGTGAAGAAACGCTGCCGCTTGCGGCCTGCCTGTGGCGGCGCCGACTCCCGCTCCTCGGCCACCGCGCCAGCCGCCTGCGCCTTTGCGGGGCCTCCCTCCTTGCTGTCCTCCCACTTGAGGACGATACCTAGAAGAGCGTGTCGTGGACATTTCATGGGCAATGCCCGGGACACGTCGTCTCCCACTCGAGGGCGCTGCCCGTCGCGGCCGTGAAGTAGGCAACCTCGCGAGTGGAGGTGTAGAACAGGTTTGGCGAGACGAACGAGGATTGCGGGTCAATCCGCTGGCCCTTCTCAATGAGGAACTTTGTGTTGCCGGCGTAGCCGTACACGAAGTCGAGCTCGAGGTGCGCGTCGGGCCGCCGGCGTGCCCGCTCGAGCACGGCGCGGCTGTCCCAGTCGGATGGCGTGTATAGCCCGGTGAGGCACTTGAAACGGCCGGTCTGGATCTTGCCTGCAGCAAGGGGCGAGATTCGACGCAGTCGAGAGCGCCACTGGCGCGCGCTACTCAATAATTGGTAGGCGCACACCTCGGAACTCGTTCTCGGCGCGTTGCTGGATGGCCTGCGAGCTGTCTTGGAAGGGTACGCCCTGAGCGACGCGCAGCAGCGCCGGGGCTCAGGTTGCTTGCAGAGTGTCGTGTGCTGGCGCAGGCCGGTGGAGGCGAGGAGTCTGTGCCTCTGTCTGAAGCGTGTGCAAGAGGAAAGTGCTCCGTCACCTGCTCTAGTCTGTGAAGTGGCTTAAGCGTCTAGACGGCACCTGCTTGATGGATGTCCACGCGAGCAGCCGATTCGCGGACGTAAAGAGGGTGCGCGTGAAGACATCGTAGGGCAGCTGCCCCAGCTGGTTGCAGCCGAACCTGCACACGACCCTCGAACGCTCAGAGGTGTGCTTACCGACGCTCCGCATGTTGCGCGTGCATTGTGCGCACTTTTGAAAGACTGCGTGGCAGGTCGTCTCGTCTGCCTCAATCTCGAAGCAAGCGAGAACCTTTTGGAAGGCCTCGACACTGACTACCCCGCTCCGGTCGTGGTCGAACAGCTCGAAGGTGCGCATCAGTATCGTCGACTCCTTCTCGTGGAAGGGGGTGTAGTCTTGAATGACCTTTGAGTACAGCGCGAGGCGTGAAACAGGACCGGACGGACCGCGCGCAGGCCTGGCGGATTCGGACGGGCGCCGCGCGCCTTGCGCTTTAGCTCCGCCGTCACCGAGTTGACGAGCCTTACGCTCGCCTGGCTGCGCGGCACGAGCTTGCCCGCCTCCTTTGCCTTAGCGCGGATCGCAGTCGTACGCCGCTCGACGGCGGGAGCCGTCTGGCCGGGCCGGGCCTTGTGCTGCACGTGCTCCTTGGGCTTGTAATTGGCGGGGATCCCGTGGATCTTGGAGCTCCAGAACGCCGGCTTGTTGTGTGGCAGTGTCTTCCGTTCCGCCAGCTTTAGCGGCCTCTCCTTTTGGTCCTGAGGCGACGGGGCGGAGAGGGGGATTGCTAAGCCGCCCGCGTGGACTGTCCGCAGCGAGTGTGCGGCCACCTCTGCAACCACGAGCGCCGACTCCATGACGACAGCCGCACGCGCGTTCGTGCGTCAATCTTCCGTCGAGCGAGCGGGGAGGGACGGAATGCGGCGCCGTTGGAAGCGTAACAAACATACGAGGATTTTCAAAGAAAATACGTGAGCCGCTGCGCGCAATGAGTTCTTGTAGCTCGGGTTTCTTCTGTCAGTCCCGTGCCCAGTGTTGTGTGAGGGAGACGCTGGAGGCGCTCGCCGAGTTCGGCGATTGAGTGAGCGCCTCCCTCCCTCTCTCCGGCTGCGCGCATGAATGACCGGCGCGGCCTCCGAGTCGGCGTCTAGCGCGCGATAAGGTTTTTGCTTGCCTTCCCTGGGACCCCGTGTTGCATGTCTGACTGTCACTCTGCGATTTCGGGGCCCGGGGTTGTGCGTTTAAATAAATAAATAGAGCAGTCATCTCCAGGGAGAGATGGGCGACGCACACGAACACACACACACACACTAGGCGCTGTGCGTTTAGGGGCGGTAGTGACCTCAAATTCTTCTGACCGCGAGCTGAGGCGCTAGGTACAAGCACAGCGCCCTGGGTCTGGCAAGGTACTCCCACGCCTCTCGGGGTTTTTGTCCGGTGCTGGGGCGAGCCTCGGCGAGACTGCGTCAGCTGTTCCCACACAGCAGGCTGGAAGTACCTCGCCAGCCCTGGGTTGAGGAAAGCTTGATCTACGCATGATTCACCTCGCGAGCGTATTCGTGACGGGTGTCGTAGCCACCGCGCTCCCGTGGCGAACGCAGACCGCTGTAACGACCATCGGCGCACTGGAACGGACCGGCGCGAGCAGCGTCCGCCCACACAATCTTCTCAACGTCATGCTGGACGACGAGAGCGGGCTTTGCAGCGAAGGTGTGTGGCACAATTCGTGGCTGGGCGTCAGCCGCGTTCTCGCGGCGCGGCAGTTGCGCGCTCTTGGCGAGACTGAGGCCGCGGGTCGCACCCTGAGCGCCGCTCAGAAGCTCGGCGACTCTCTGCACGACATGAGCTTCGATGGCGTCGGCTTCCGTCGGCGTAGCCCGTCCGGTATCTGGGAGGACGTGGCCATGGCCGCGGTCGAAGAGGCGGGCGAGGACGCCGCCTTCTACCGTCCCTGCACGGAGCACAGGTGCGCCTCAAATGGCGCGGCTGCCATCTTCTTCTCGCTGCTGGCGGAGGAGGCGGAGGACGGGAGCCCGGAGGCGGAGGCGGCGAACGCGCGGTCGGCAGAGGTCTTCGACGCCTTCACGGGCCGCTTCTTCGATAAGGAGAAGATGCGCTTCCGGCGTGAGGGCGACGGCGACGGCAGCTACTGGCGCGCTGTGGACCAGGCGGTCGGCTGCCTCGCGAGCCTTCGCATGGCCAAGGTGGGCCACCGCGTTGCAGAGTCGCGCGCTGCGGCTGGCTGCGCCGCCGACAGCCTACTCCGCGAGTTTGGGTACGCGCTGTTTGCGACTGAGGGGCAGCCTCCAGGCCCGCCGCCCGCCCTCCTCGCGTCGCAGCCATGAGAGAGAGAGAGAGAGGGGGGGGTTGGGAGAGAGCGCGAGAGCGAGAGCAGGAAGGAGCGAGAGAGGCGGCGGCGGAGTGTGACGCGGAGACGCTGTAGGTACCTACCTCGGGCGCGCGCCACCACCGCCTCGCAACTCGTGGCACGACAGCCTCGCCTGCTTCGCGCTGCTCGCGTCGGGCGTGCTCGGCATCGCAGGAGAGACGCCGGCTGGACTGGCGCGTGCGCTACCAAACTAGACGTAGCGACATCTAGAAGATGGAGCGGATCTTGTTCGCAGGACGGGTCGGAGCTTGGCTCGTTACTCCGCCGCGTGTGGGCAGGTCCGTGCGATGGTCGAGTCGTACCGCGACGGGGAGACGAAGGCGATGCTTCACCGCCCTCGCGAGCAGAGGCGGGCGCAGGCGAGGCGGGCGGAGGCGAGGCGGGCGGGTGGTGCGGGTGCGGGTGCGGCGGCGGCCGGGGTGGAGGGGGGTGGGGTGACGGTAGAGCCGTCGTCAGCATCAGCGGCGGCGCTCAAGGAGGAGGAGGAGGAGGAGGAGGAGAGGGAGGAGGAGGAGGTCGCCTTCACCTCGACGCAGGCGCTCTGGTCGTCGGTAGTCCGCGCCGCGGGCCTCACCAGCGAGCGGGCGGAGGCGGCGGGCGGCGCGGATGTGCCCGCGCTGCGCGCATGGTGCGAGAGGATGCGCGAGCGCGAGAGCAGGCTGCTGCCCGTCGCCAACGTGTACGCCACGCCGCGGCTGTGGGCGAACGTCGAGTGGGCCGCCTTTGTGCTGCTCGACAAGGATGTCTTTGTGCCGACCGACAACGGCACGGGCGCATAGTGCGAAGCGAGAAGAGAGCGCGCTCGTGTCGACTCCCACAACTAGTGGTTTCTCTCCCCTTATTACAAAAAACTCTGACATTTTACGAACTCCTTGGCGACGTGCGCGTCGCGTGACGCGTCGCCAAGGCTGCCTGTGCGACCTCGGTCGTACAATCGGCGACCTCGGTCGTACAAAAAACTATAACACAATCGGCCGGCTGCGCGGGTTTTCGGCGAGTTTCCCGCGCACCGGCCACGAGCTCGACTCGCACAGCAAAAAAATCCGGACCACGAAGCGCCGCCCGCGCCCATTGACCCCCCACAATCAAAACCCACTTGCTGTCCCTCAATCGCCACCCGCCAGATGTACTGCCCTCGCCCACCCAATACTCTCACCCTCCTGACCCGGACAGTCCAGGTACAGGAAAGGCGGGGAGCGGGGCCCGATCCAAGGAGCACCCCGTCGGCCCGGGAGGGCTGTGAATTTCGGCGCGGGCGGAAGGCTGCCTGGCCTGCAGACGCTCAGCCCCCGGCTGAGCTGCCGAATCCTCCCGGCTAATCCCCTGACCTGCCGCCTGAAACGGGACAACATTACACCACCTCACACACACTCCCCCCTCAGGGCTAAGCAGTGCGCAAGTCCACCCGAACTCTAGGCGAGGCATCGACCGCTCCTTTGGAATAGTGCCGTCAGTGGCTGCACTAGACGCCCATTAGATGGCGCGCGGCGCGGGCGGATGACTAGGGGAGAGAGAATGCGGAGAGACTAGCTTGCAGGTAGATGTGCTCAGCCAAGGGTAAGGGATGAGGGGAATGTGTCAGTGTGAGGGGTGCACCAACCGCAGAGCGTCGTGTTTTGCCTTTGAAAACGGAACAGTTTTTTTTCTCACCTCAAGTCTCAAGTCTCGCTAGCTCAGTAGCTCTGTCGAACACGGTGTAACCTGCCTGTGATCGCGGGTGTCCTTAGAGATTGAACGTTACGTTGATTTTGTGATAGACCAAAACGCCCGATATGAAGGGTGCAACTCACACGCCGTGCCATCACACGCTACGGCAGCACTTAAGCACGGGCCTGACTCTCGAGGATGGACTGACCGTTCATCGTGTCTGAGGGGCGCTCGGCCGCGGACCGCACGCCATTCACGCTTCGCTCTCGATACCAACCGAGTGCAGCAGGTTGTCCAGCGCGCGTCTGCCGTCAGGGCTATTGCCAATGCCGTGCTGCTGTGCCAGGCGCTCGAAGCGAGCGATGACATCATCGGGCGAGCGTCCTGGCAGGACGGCGCTGATTCGTGCAGCGCTGCAACGGTTCCAATCGTTTGAGCCGATCTTGCTCCACATGACCAGGATGCAAAGGTCTTCGTCCGGATGCCACCCGTCGTTAACGTGACAGGTGCCGAACATGCGAGAGGCGAGGCAACAGCGGCTTGTGCTGCACGCCGTCACTGTCAAACGTCAAAGTGGAGCAACATTTTTTTTGGTTTTTTGTTTCATTACCGAATCGCAGTGCTGATCGATCCCAAGAGCATCGGACCAAACGCGATCGCCATTGAGACGGCGGCCACCATGGTCGGCGTGTCGGCCGACGACGTCAGCACCTTCTCGTGTGCGCTTATGCAAACAACACAAACAACTTCTCTCTAAATCTCTCTCTTATGCACGCCGCCGCCCGTCGAGAAAAAAAAGCCGGGCCGCATGAACTACGACAAGGAGGACCACGCCTCCCGGGTTCGATGAGGAGTCAGCGGAAGGAAGGGGGGAGGGCGAACCGAGTACGATAGAGAGAGACCGCGGAAGCGGGCGCGATTGGTCGACGAGGGAGAGCTGGGCCGACCTCCCGGGGAGGGGAGGCGACACGACCCAACGGCGTTTTTGAAGGAAGTTTGAGATAGGAAACCAAGAACGACACACACCAGTCCGCAGTCGACTCGAATCGGTGTGTCACCAACAAGAAGAGAGAGATAGGGGCCTTCTCTCTCTCTCTCCATGAAAGGCGGACGGAGCTATGTTCTTCGCCATCGCGCCGCGCGCACTCACACACACAAAAACACACACAGCAGGTGCGAGGTGGGGTCGCCTACTACACCTCTTTTTCACCCGGCTGGCGGGCACCACTCGCAGTGACTTGGTCTCCTCCACTCGCTTCATGACAGTACGCCTTTCCTTCCCGTCGCACGCCTCCGACCGCTTTTCCATAAACCTGATCCGCGTTTTGGAGAGCTTGTCGGTTCACAGGCCTTGTTATGAGAAGAAAATACGTCCGATGGCGCTGTGCGCTGGTCTGTGAGAGGTTGAGGTGCGATTCACATAGATAAGATAAAATAGAGGCACATCTCCATGAGAGATGGGCGACGCACGAACACAGAGGCACAGCGCGCACCCCGCCCCGCTCGCGGGGCGTGCAAGAGCACAAAACAAATATTTTTTCTTCGCGCGTTTTTGTTGTTGGCAAAAACCGCATCCAATGTTGTTCCCTGGCGTGCGCGAGTCGCTCTCCTAGATCTAGGCATCCAACATGGTTGGAGGTCCTATGCCGACGCCCGCGGCGATCTACTTCTGGTCGAAGATTATGCACTATCCCAACCCGCCTGGAGCGCCCCCGCATCCGCCGGCCCCACCGTTCTATCAGGCAGGCAGGCCTGTTCCGCCGCCGCCGGCGCCGCCGGCACCGCCGCAGCCGCCGTCGTCTCCGCCGCAGCCGCCGTCGTCTCCGCCGTCGTCTCCGCCGCAGCCGCCGCCGCCACCGCCATCGCCGCCCCCGCCCCCGCCGGCCCCACCCCCCCAACCCCCGCCTTCTCCACCGCCATCGCCTCCGCCACCTCCTTCGCCGCCTCCCTCGCCGGCGCCACCCCCGCCGCCGCCTCCCTCGCCGCCGCCACCCTCGCCACCGCTATCACCACCGCCGCCCAGCCAACCGCCGCCGAGCCCGCCGCCGCCCCCGCCTCTGCCTCCGCCGCCGCCGCCGCCGCTGCCACCGCCATTGCTGCCGCCACCGTCACCACCACCCTCACCCTCCCCACCCCCGCCGTCGCCACCGCCGTCGCCGCCGTCGCCGCCTCTGAGGCCGCCCCCTTTGGCGCCAGGCACTGTTACATATGAGCACATAGTGTATGGCGTCAGGAGCGCGGTGAGCGCCGCGCTGCCGATCGTCCTCTCCGGTGCGTCCGGCGCGACCACCGTCGTCGTGCTAGCACTTGTGCTAGACCTCGTGCGCAGGCGCGGCCGAGGCCGGCACGCGCGGAACGCCCCCCTGGCCCTACGCGACGCCGCCGGCAGCAGTGGCCAAGGCGAGGTGGCCGACGGCAGGGACGAGCACCGGGCTGCGGGAGAGCTTAACACATAGACCGGGACCGGACGAGGGCCCATTACACGCAAAGCGCATGTGCATGTGCATGTGTCGCGCATGGCGCATCGAGTCGAGAAGGGCAAATAAAGGGGATGCGCTCTGTGCATTTCGACACATACAGTAGCCCGGGACAATGTACGAAACGTCTCTAATAAAACGAAAACAACAAGACACCCGGTAAAACCCACGTGCGTCGTGCGTGAGCGGGTGTGACTCGAGTGTGAGGTGTGTAGCCTAGAGTGTACAGACGGCTCTAGCACGTAGACGTAACACTGTCACTGAGCTCGAGCGACTTTGCCAAAATCTTTCCTCTTTCCAGTATAAGACTCTTTCGTTTTTGCACTACGGCTTTATCCTTTCAACGGCGTGCGGCTAACCGTAAGTCACAAGGTCAACTTGTGCCCCGTCCGTGTTTGTCTAAAGGCATGGTCAATTGAGTGCCCCGCGTGTTGATGTCGGTTCATGTTCATGTTCTGACTCTCTGCCTCTTGCTGTGTACCCGGCGTGACGTCACGCGACAGGGCGAAGGAGGGGGCGCAAACGAACGAGCGAATGAGCCCGTCCATTTGTACTCAGCTAAGGTTTATTACTCGATAACTCGAATAGGAGGAGCGCCGAATTACGTTTTGCAACGACACCAGCGGCATACATGCATGTCCGCTGCGAGGAGGAGCCGCAACCTCGCGGCTGTCCTCGGGTGCTTGGCTTCGGCCAGCCCGGCTGCAGATGCATTCCCAGCGGAGGGCGTGCTAGTGCTGCATGGAAGCTCCGCCGAGCAGAGATGCGTCCAGAGCCCGAGCTCCAAACGAGTGGACGGCATCCCCGTTGCGGCACAATGCTGCGAGGGAGCGCAGTGCAGGCGCAAGACGAGTGGCAGCGAGGACGATTGCATCGCAGGTGCCTGGGGTGGCGGATCGTTTGAGCTCACAACCTGGACCGAGGCTAGGAACAAGTGCACCGCTCTCGGGCTCTCGCTCTGCGACAGGAACTGCCAGAATGCGGGCTGCAACTACAATGGGCTGTGGGTGTGGACTCAGCTCCCTTGCCAACGGCCGCCACCGACGCCGCCAGCAGCACCAGGGCCTGTGCCTCTCCCGACCATGCCCTCGCCAACTCAACCGACTCCAGCACACAAGGTGTGCACTCCTCCGGTGTCGGTAGTCGGCCTTGACTCATGCTACGACGCGGCATCCTTTGCTGGATTCACCGCGGACGAGGTCGCCTGCCGGAACAAGTGCGAAACAGCAGAAACCTGCTTCTTTTACTCCTTCTGGGTGCTCGCAAGTTGGTGCAGGCTCACCTTGACCTGCGACCGGCTCTTCCCAACGCTGGTCGCTGTTGGCGAAACCATCAACGTCAAATCTTGCACGCTGCATGAGCAGCCATCGCCGCAGCCGCCGCCACCGCTGGCCTCACCGTCGCCGCCGCGACTGTCGGTGTGTAGACGCTACTGCGCGGACAAGCCGCATGGCTGGGCAGAACTGTGCACCTGGCATGGCTGCGGGGCATGCAGCGAGTGTGTTAGCGTATCGCTCGCGCCGCCGCCGCCGCCCTCACTGATGCCACCGCTGCTGCCCCCGGCGGCCAAGTGCAGGCGCTTCTGCCCAGCCAGGACGCATGGATGGGTAATAGCCTGCACCTGGCAAGGCTGCGGGGCATGCACCGAGTGTTCGGTGTCGCTCGTTCCATTGCTGCCGCCGCATCACTCGCCACCCTTGCCTTCGTTGCCGCCACTGCTGCCGCCGCCACTCTCGCCACCCTTGCCTTCGTTGCCGCCACTGCTGCCGCCGCCACTCTCGCCACCCTTGCCTTCGTTGCCGCCACTGCTGCCGCCGCCACTCCCGCCACCCTTGCCTTCGTTGCCGCCACTACTGCCGCCGCATCACTCGCCACCCTTGCCTTCGTTGCCGCCACTGCTGCCGCCGCCACTCCCGCCACCCTTGCCTTCGTTGCCTCCACTGCTGCCGCCGCCACTCTCGCCACCCTTGCCTTCGTTGCCGCCACTGCTGCCGCCGCCACTCTCGCCACCCTTGCCTTCGTTGCCGCCGCTGCTGCCGCCGCCACTCTCGCCACCCTTGCCTTCGTTGCCTCCACTGCTGCCGCCGCCACTCTCGCCACCCTTGCCTTCGTTGCCTCCACTGCTGCCGCCGCCACTCTCGCCACCCTTGCCTTCGTTGCCTCCACTGCTGCCGCCGCCACTCTCGCCACCCTTGCCTTCGTTGCCGCGGCTGCCGCCTCTGTCGTCGCCACCCTCGCCGCCATCGTCGCCGCCGCTCTCGCCGCCCTTTTCTACTCCGCCACAATTCCCAGCGGAGGGCGTGCTAGTGCTGCATGGAAGCTCCGCCGAGCAGAGATGCGTCCAGAGCCCGAGCTCCAAACGAGTGGACGGCATCCCCGTTGCGGCACAATGCTGCGAGGGAGCGCAGTGCAGGCGCAAGACGAGTGGCAGCGAGGACGATTGCATCGCAGGTGCCTGGGGTGGCGGATCGTTTGAGCTCACAACCTGGACCGAGGCTAGGAACAAGTGCACCGCTCTCGGGCTCTCGCTCTGCGACAGGAACTGCCAGAATGCGGGCTGCAACTACAATGGGCTGTGGGTGTGGACTCAGCTCCCTTGCCCACCGCAACCACCACCACCGCGGCCGCCACCGCCGCCACCCCCTGAGGCGTTTCGGGACGTTTCTGCGTACATGCTCTCGGGCCTGTCGATGCCAGGCCACTTTTACAGCCCCTTTGACCATTTTGGTGGTCCGTCGCTCCTAGACTGGAATGGTGATGGGTGGCTCGACATTTTCGCCACCAACCACCACCCAGGCAACGCGAAGCTGTCAGCAGCGGAGAAGTGGGACCTCGCGCTCAATACGGTGGGTGGACCTCTTGCACGGGAGGCGCTCGTCGACATCATACAGTACGTTCCCTTTGGATCCACCGAGACGGACCCGGCCGCTTTCGACGCGCACGGCACCGTGCTGCTAGACTTGGATCGAGACGGGGTCCTCGATCTGTACGTGGCGCAGGGGACCCGGCAGGGCACCGACACCTCCTTCGATTCGGCAAACGGGCTCTTCTGGGGTGAGCTACATGCGTCCGCGTTGACGCCACGACTTTCAGGGGGGCGCCTCGCGGCCGTAAATGCGGGGCTCGACTGCACAGGCTGTCGTTCGTACGGCGTCTACGTAGCTGACGTGAATGGCGACGGATTCCTTGACGTGCTCGTGCTCAACTTTGAGCGGGCGCAACCACCTATCCTACCGAGCCGCCTCTTTCTCAACCGCGGGCCGACCCAGTCGCGCAGCTTCGAAGAGTCCGCAGTGGTGAGCGACCACGCCACGGCTGCTGTGCTGACCGACTTCGACCAGGACGGCTTTGCGACGGAGCTTGTGGTGCTGCGGACGCAGGGCATCGCTGCGGGTGAGTCGCCCCTGCGCGTCTACAGATGGAACAGCGTCGAAGCCTTGGATGTGGCTGATCTGACACCATCCAGCGAGGCCGTGGGCTGGGGCTCGGTAACTGACCTCGGATGGGATGGCGGCGCGATCGCGACGGGCGACTTCAACGGCGATGGCATCGTCGACCTCACAATCCTCAACAACCGCCTTGGCCGGCTGTACTTCTACTACTCGTCGCGCGCTAGGGCTGCACCGCTCTTGTCGCAGCAGCAAAACACGTCGGGAGTCGCGGCGTTGGTGGATCTGCGGGACCTCGGATGCGACGCGTCCACTCTCCACGTGGCCGATTTTGACCTCGATGGCAACGTTGAGCTGCTGGTCATCTGCAAGGATGCCGGGACGAGCTTGATGCTCCAGCGGGTGGGAGGGGAGTGGATGACGATGCGGCACCCCGAAAGCGCGCGACGGCGACTCTCTTTAGGGCAGGATCTCAGAGAGGAGGGGCCGTTGGACGGCGTTTCCTTGCTCCGGCTTGGGCAATTAAGCGGTGCCAGCGCGGACGCGGCGATGGGCTCGCTCTCCGAACAGAGCACGCACCACAATCGGTCCTTTGTCGAGTGGTGCTGCGCGGCGAAGGCGGCCTGTGCGACGAGCACTGGGATGTGGCAGGGCTACGGCATCAGTGCGCTGTGCCGCCGCCAGCGGGGGAGGGTCGACGGCGCGAGCGTCTTCGACTTTGACAACGACGGCTTCATGGACGTCGCGTTGTGCTCCAATAAGGAGCGGTGCCACCTCTTTAGGAACCAGCATTTTTGGTGGGGGCGCAACTCGTACATCGCCTTCACGCTGCGGGGCGTGACGAGCAACCACTACGGCATCGGCGCGACGGTGCTCCTCACGTGGTCCGACGACTCTGGCACCGAGCGGGTGCAGCTCCGTGAGCTAAACGCGGTGTCGCACGGGCCCGGCTGCCACGGGTCCAATGACCATCGGCTGGTGTTTGGCCTCGGGCCGTCCGGCTCTCCGCTCAGGGTGGTGGTTCGCTGGCCGTCGCGCACGGTCGATACGCACGATGACGCGGCCCTCTTGCGCGCGCGGACGAACACGATGGAGAGCGTGGGCGACGGGAGGCTGATGCTCACCCTAGAGGAGGGGGCGTCCTAGCGCTGAGAAGAAGCGAAGAAGAAAGAGAAAATTGTGAGAAATTTTTTCGTTTTGTCTGTCTTCGCAGACTTCCCCACCTGTCTGCTATCTCTTAAGTGCCGGCCAGAAGATCCGCCCGAGGATCTTCGGCGCAGGGCGCCGTCACCGGCCCCATGAGCCGCCTGCGAGGCTATTCAGTGCTCATGTGGCACGGCCTGAGCAGGCCTAGCAATGCCTCGGGCCGACCGGCGCCCAGAATTGTTGGTGCTGGCCAGCAACGTGGCCGGCGAGTGCCGTCGTTGCATTGGTGGCGACCACCGCAGAAGCGGTCAGCAGGTGGGAAGGCATCGCTCTCTTTGTAAGGATATTGTCCGTATTCATTGTCTGGTCAATACTTCTGCCTGGATGGCACCTGTGTGTCCAACATGGCGACCCTCGGCCTCCCTCGTGAGTCCACCTCACGCTGATCATTCTCGTCGCTAGCTCAAGCCGAGAAGTGGTCCACCGACACCATGAGGAGCGCAACCATCATGGCTGCAGCCTCAGACTGACCGGGTTAGGTCATATTACCGGCGTGGTGGCCCAGAAGCGCGACATTTGCTGCCCGCAGAGCGCTAGCAGCCCACTCTCCGGCACGTCTGTGCGTCGTGCGGGGCTGAACTTCAGGCACGCTGCACGCGGCTTATCGTCGAGAAGAGCTCAACTCCGGCCAGTGAGTGATGGATCTGATCATAATCAATCCCTACTGTACTGGGGGGCTCTCAGATCAGCCGTTCAGAGCTCTGATATTGGTTCCCGGCAGAAGATCCTCCAGAGGATCTTCTGCCGTCGGCCAAAAAACCGTGTTCAAACGAGACACAATGACCCAACAATGACCCCCACGGCCAGCCTGGACATGCAGCCGACCCGGCCTGGCCAGCTGGGCCATCGGGGCGGCCGCCATCGGCCGTAGGACCGCGCTGCGGTGCCGAAAGGGGCTGGAAGATCCGCCAGCGCCTCCTCGGCACTTAAGAGATAGCCGCAGCCACTCCCAGCTGCTCGGTGTGAACAGAGTGCGTACCGAGCAGCAGGAGCTCCGCAACTCGAGATCCCTCGAGAGTTCACGCGGAGTCGGCTGGGGCTGTACCAGACAGCTTCCCCACTGCGCCGAATGCTGCTGCTCTCGTCCCTCTCACATGCTTTCTCCATCAGCTCCGCTGGCCGCCCATCGGCGCGCTCCTCGCCCATGATGGCGGAAATGGCCAACGGCAAGATGGAATTTGATAATGTCGCGCGGGAGTGGCGGTGCAAATGGCAGGACGACGGTGGTGGCAAGGCCTCGTCCGCCACCCTCGTCGCGATCGCAGATGTCGTGGACGAGTTCCTGCCGCAGCTCAAGGCTCTCGACGGCGCGGTTGTCAACCGCGCCGTCTGTGGCGGGTGTCTCGACTTCAAGCTCTGCACGACCGTGCCTCTCGCCACCTTTGGCCCGTGGGAGGAGGCTGGGCACCCCCCCGAGGCTGACTTCCTGGCCAAGCTCGAGGCGATTCCAGGCGTGTCGATGGTCGAGACGCAGACCATGACCAACCAGGTGCTGTAGCGCCGGGGTTTTACTAGTCTGGATTGTCCAGCATGAGATTCGTCGTATATCTCGCTCCGGCCTCCGTGGTGAGTCGCCGCCGTCTCGCTTAGCTTATCTCTGTTCTGGCATGTTTTGGGAATCACAACCACGACGAAGCTAAATGATCATTCGGTCGGCCCTGGGAGGCTGAGTGGACAGACCTGGACAGTGGTGGAGGAGCAGGCTCGGGCTGTATCGGCGGCAGCAGCCGCGCGCGCGCATAAGCGTCCACCAGCAGAGCGCGGCTTTCCCCGCGGAACTCGCCCTCGCGCGCCGCCGCCGCCGCCGCCACGCTACTCAGCAGCTGCTCTGCCGCCGCGCTGCCGCCTCTGCCGCCGGCCGCGGGCCAGCGCGACGCGGCTTGCGCCAGCCGCGCGAGGTTATACGCCTTGTACCTGTCGAGCCGTGGGAGGGCGACGCGGGCGAGGGACTCGAGCAGCGGCGCCGAGTCGACAGCAACCACACCCCGTGACGGCACCAGTGCGGCGGCGCCGCCCTCGCCGCCGCCAGCGGAGCCAGAGGGCAGCCGTGTGCAGTACACCTCCGCGAGCAAGGCAACCTCCGCAGGCTTGAGCTGCCACGGCCGCACGCGCAGCTCGTCCGCGATGGCCCGCAGCAGCGACTGCTGCGCCGCGCTCTCCGCCGCGCTAGCGCCGCCGCCGCCGCCCGCACTGCCGCTGCCGCCTCCGCCGCCAGCACCGTCCCTTCCGGCGGCGGCAGCACGAGGCGGCGGCGTCGAACCGTACGTGCAGGCGAGCGAGACGAGGTGGGAGGCGCGCGCGGCGGGCACCTTTGGCACCGCCGCCGCAGCGAGGTGCCCCAGCAGCGCAGACCGGTCCTCCGAGGCCGCCGCCCCGCGCGCGAGCGCAGAGGCGAACGCCGCGATGCACTCGAGGCGGACTTCGTCCACGACGGGGCGGCCGCGCACGAGAAGGATGGCCCCGCCGCGCCGCGCGCCCGCCTCTCTCCGGAGCGAGCGCGCCACCACCGGCGCCGCCGCCTCGAGGTAGCGCTGCGACGAGTGGCCTGCGTTGACGAGCGCCTCGGCGACAGAGGCGCACTCGTCGCACTCACTCAGCGGGGCGCTCTCGACGGAACGGCGCTCGATTGCATCCCACAGCTCGTTCCACGGAGGCTCCGATCGCACGCCAGCCGCCACGAGCGCCGAGGCGAGCGCTGCGCGCCTGCCGGCCTCGATGTCCTCGCTCTGCTCGACAAGCTCCGCGGTGTGTGCTGCAAGCGGCTCGAGAAAGGGCAAGTTTTCGTCGAGCCACGCTCGCTCGGCAGGCCGCCGCCGCAACCGCGCCAGCCGGCTCCACGCAACGGGCGCGTGCGAGAAGTCCATCTCTGGCGCGAAGCGGCGCCGCGTCTCGAGCAGCTCTGGCAGTGTGCGTGCCGTTGCTAGCCGTGTCGCCAGCTGCGCGGGATCGATCCAGCCGGAGGAGGGCCGGCGACGCACGGCCGCCCGCCTCATGCGCTCACTCGCCATCTTACCAACGTGTCGGAACGCCGGCGCACCCATATCGGGCGCCGGAGCCGAGGCCAGCGGGCAAACGCACAGGGCGGAAGCGAGGACGCCGAGTGGATTATGTTTGCTTCGCGAGCGCCTGTTCACGTAAACGCACTACCCCGGGCCCGAAATCGCACAGCGCCTGTTCACATAAACGCACAACCCCGGGCCCCGAAATAGCGCCTGTTCACAGACTACCTTGTTATTGACAAGAAAATACGTCCTATGGCGCTTTGCGCTGGTCTGTGTGCTGTGAGAGGTTGAGGTGCGAGCCATGGAGGCCCTGGGGATGGGGGGAGACTACCCGCGGGCCTAGAAGGCCCGCGCGCAGGGGGGTGGTGGGACATTGAGATTGAAGGCGGAGGTGGAGGCGGCGGAGGCTCGGCGAGCACGGCTGGGAGCGGCAGAGGATTCAGGATCGGTGCAAGCACTGATCTGAGAAGAGGGGTGGCTTTGGTTGGTCACGATCGGGACGGATGACACGTCTGATGCAGACATGCGGTCACCCTCGATTCCTGTTTGTTGAATGTTGAAGCCCTCTTCGATGCAGTCGCAGGAGTGATAAAACCCATCGAGGTGGGAGCCGCCTGCGGCATACTGAATCCTCCACCAGTGGCGCAAGCCCGCTCGTCCCGACGCTCGAGCGACTCGTCCACCTTCCCAGCCACACCCTGCACAGCAGCATCCTCCTCCCCCTCACTGTAGTTGTCCCACACCCGTCGTCGGAGTCGTCGCCACGGCGCTCGAAGCGGCAGCAGAGCTCCTCTTCCTCTGCTTCCTCTGCTAGCAGCTGCGCCAGCACTGCCTCCCACTCAGGGTCGGCAGCAGAGCCAGCATCGCTTTGAGCAGAGCAGCGCATTGCCACGTCCTCGTCGCAGAGCTCCACCGCGGCGAGAGACGTGGTGACAGTGGCGACCGACGTGCCAGTGGCGCGGCTGGCATCGCCAGCAGCGAGGCCGCCAGCATCGCCGCTGCGCACCGCAGCGTGGGGCGCAGCAGCGTGCCGTTCGGCCCCTGGGGGGTCGACGGGCCCCCGGGGGCGACGGGGGTGCTCTCCGGCCGCGGCGGCCGAAAACGGGGATCTCCAGTACGGTCCAGTAATGAAGTGATGCACTTGATGCAAGGGTGCCATTGTGCTCTACTACAAAGGTTGTGTGAGATGCCCAAGTCTCAGACACTGAATCCAGCGGAGCTGAGTTCTGTCTTCTGACGGTGTGTGAACACGAGCAACCGGAGTGACGACCGGGACCGGGCCGCACGCCGGGAGTGCCCCGACTAGCAGTGGCGGGCGCGGACGAGCGAATGAGAGGTCGTTATCTGTGGAAGATGTGTTATTAAAGACTAGGATTGCCTATCTCTCACTGAAAGGGACCTCTCATTCGCTCGTCCGCACCCGTCACCGCTCACGGAGTGCTCCGCGTGCCACACCGGCCGCCGCCGGCCGCCGGCCGCTCACGGTAACGGAACAGTCTTACTACTCCGCAACGTTGAGCTGGATCAAACTGAATAGTGCTCCTGAAAGCCCTCTCTCTGGGCTCTGCAACACAGTAGCAGCTCACGACTAGCAGCTGCTGTGGCTGTATTTGTAGCCATTTTTTTAGGCTTCAACTGTGGTCCCAAACTAGTAGCAACACCTCATGAAAATCAGTCAAAAAGCCCCAAAAAAATCGGCGCCTGCGGCGGGCTTCCTGGGGCTGCGCCTCAGACCCCCTTGACTGGGGGAACCCCCCCCAAGAGCACCCCCGTCGCCCCCGGGGGCCCGTCGACCCCCCAGGGTTCGGCCATCGTGTTACGACATCCAACCTGCTGTTCACGTAAACGCACAACCCCGGGCCCGAAATCGCACAGAGTCACGCAACACGGGGTCCCAGGGAAGGCGAGCAAAAACCTTATCGCGCGCGCTAGACGCCGACTCGGAGGCCGCACCGGTCAGGCGCGCAGCCGGAGAGAGAGGGAGGCGCTCAATCGCCGCACGCGGCGAGCGCCTCCATACCTGCTGTTCACAGACCTTGAGCACTTGAGCACCGGATAGGGTCGATTCCGCATGGTACGGGACCCCTCGATCGTCTCGCCCTCCCTCACTGGTGTGTTCATTGGGGGGGGTCATAACAAACACGGTACAGGATCGAGGTGCACGTTGCCGAAGCAGTGTCGACCCCCCTCTCCCCGACGGCGATGGCGGTGTGACCGATCGAGCCACAAGAGGAACTTGTTCAGCATGATCCGGAGTGGCCAGATGCACTACCTCACTGGGCCTGAGACCATCCACGACGCATCCATCACCGTCTCGGATTTGTGTGGAGTCGAACCACTCCGGAATGGGGCAAGCCCATCTGGTTAATTGTCAAAATTCCTGTTGTGCAAGAGGGGAGGGGGCTCTGACGGAGTGTGTGTTCACACAAAAACACAACCCCGGACCCAAAGACGCACAAGCAAGCACAGACAGTCGGCATGGAGGGTGAGCCACGCTGAACGAAATGAGCGTAGAGCCGAACGGGAGGAAGCCGGGGAAGAAGACTCCGAGGAGGACGAAACACCAGTGGTAATCCCGTCGTCAGCTGTAACGATGCACCCGAAGGGGAACCCAGCGCCAACATCATCGGTGGAGGCGCAAGTGTTCGAAGAGAGAGTGGACCTGAGCAACGATATGACTTGGCGGCAAATGATCGGAGTGGGCATCAGAAGAGTCGTCCTTGCGCGAGGAGAGCTCGATAAACTCGAGGGGCCAAAATATGCCGCGAGGAGGGCAGAGTTGCGCCGAATGGCGAAAGAAGCCGAGAGAACAAGGGAACGGCAGGCGGCGGCGGCGTCGCAGGACGAGGCAGACGAGAACGACGCGACAGAGGAGGCAACGACAGGAGGGAGAACGACGAGAGTGGGACGACCGCGAGGTGGCATGAAGGTTGCAGCGAGAATCGGCGAGGGACTGCGAAGGGAGATAGAAAGAGGCGGACGACCAAGGGTTAGGGTGGGCGACGGCTAGCACCACACTCCTATCCTTAAAATCCCTGTGTGGTGGCGGCGTGCCGTCCTCCCATCCCTCCCTTGGGTTGTCTGTTTTTTTTCTTTCTGTATACGTCATGACGGGGTAGGTAGGGTAGGTCTGGGCCCTCCCGTCGGGTTTTTCCCTCTCTTCACGCCGGTATTTTCACAAAAAAGAAATTTCCGCGGAAATCACGATGTCAACCCTCCCCGCTCCCCAAGTGTGTGATCTGGTGCTGGTCGGGCTTGAGAGTGGCCTGCCATGTCACAGGAAGGACTGTGGTTGCAGGAGATCCAGTGATTTCTTTTTTAGTTTCCCATAAGTAAGGTAGGTAGGTAGGTAGCTTGCCCTCATGGCGGAAGCCCTGATCTCGCCGTACGTTGAGGGGCTCACCTTTTGGGGGTTCACTGACAAGTTCTCGTGGATCCACGGCTGGTTTGGAGAGGACGACCCGTTGCTGTTCGACCGCGAGTATGGCCTCAAGCCAGCGTACCATGGGTGCTGCGACGGGGTGGTGGACGCGCTGCGGACCTATCCGTGCCTACCCACGTGCATGAGAAGGGCATCTCGAGGACGATTCGAGGATGCGAGCTCCAACTTCAATTGTAGCGGCTCCGTCATCACCACTAGCACCGGCTGGAACAACGGCGGACTCTGCAGGGGCTGCTCGAGGTGCATTGCCGAACGAAAAGAGACGTGGGAGATGGAGGATTGCTTTGGCAACAGCGCGAGGTGTACCACGTGGAGGGCGCAGCAAGACGAAGGCGAGAACCCATGCTGAGATCCCCGTCTCGGTCTGTCCCAGTCGCGCGCCGCACGCCCTGCCGTGCGCGGGGCCATGCCGTGTACATCACCGTGTGCGCGTTCGAGTCGTGCATGTAAGTTGCTGGCATACGTTCATAGGTAGGTAGGGACACAGCAGAATATGACGAAACATACTTTCACGAGAATGATATAAAAGGGGTTAGACTGATAAAAGAGACTTGAGAGACTTGAGAGCGACGTGTGAGAGAGAGAGAGACGTCGCTCAGATATTAATATATATCGCATGTCGCATGGCGCATGGCGCATATCGATATGTGTGTGACACACAGCGGTGTGTGCGCGCGTCAACGCCGCGCTCTCTCCGCGGCGGCTGGCTCCCCCGTGACCCCACAGAGGAACACGGTTCGTACAGGATCGAGCGGGGGTGCACGCCGCTGGGGCGGGGCGAGCGAGCTGCGAGGGCGACCCCAGAGGGTCGTGTGTCAGGAGTTTGACCCTGTGTTGGGCCGTAACGTATTTATTTAATAATGTGACCGACTCGTGAGTCGTGTGAGAGAGTTCTTACGGCGGGAAGAGCGCGCACAACTGTCGCTCCGCCGCCTCGAATAGCGTGAACTTGAGCGACTCCTCGACGCAGACGCGGCAGATGCGAGGCCCGACGCCGAGGAAGAGGCCGGGCAATCCTCCGCTCCGGAGAATGGCGCGGGCACACGCGAGGGAGGAGCTGTACCGCCTCGCGTCCAGCGACATCATGTTTGCGCGCACAACGTCGATCGGCTGGCTGAGCACCGCTGACACGCCGCCCGCGGTGCCGCCTGCCACCAGACTCTCCCAGATTGCAATTGGCCCTTCAGGTCGGCCGGGGCGGGAGCGCAATCTCTCGGCCATCTCGCCGTAGCCAACGAAGCGGATGCCTACTCAGTGAGACGACTGCCGTGGGGAGACGGCCTCCAGCCGCCAGCCTCTCCTGCGGCGGCGGACGCCCGCGCAGAAGGAGACCTTTGCCACGGTGGGCCACAGGCCAGAGAAGAAGCCGTGCCTATACTCGCACGGGCGGGAGTCGCACCTCTCGCCTCTAGCCGCTGGAGGGGACGGCCGCGCGCCAGACGCCAAACTCGGCCGCAATCTGACGCGTAGCGTGGAGCACGTGCCTGCGGTGGCGTGGGGAGGCGCTGTCTGTCTGCGTATACCGCTCTTTGCGTGCCAACTCGGGCCGCCGCCCAGCCTGTACTGCCGCGGCCCTCTGGGCGACTGGTCGTGCACCATCTTGACGGCGATCGCATTGCTCGGCGTCTGGCACAGCGCGCCGTCCGCCGCGCCAGCCAGCACGCCGCAGCCGAGGTCGGAGAGCCTCTTGCCGCCAGGCGTCTCTCGCAGCTGCTGGCTCCGAGCCGTTATTCGCAGCCGCTCAAAGGTGGTGAAGCGCACGACCGCACGCAGGGGAGAGAAGATGACGAAGCTGGCGCCGCCGCTGTACAGGCCGAGGAGGCCAGCGGTTCGGAAGGTTCGCTGCACGACGTCGAGCGGGCCAGTGTAGGCGCTGCTGCCAGCGTAGAGCGCCGAGGAGCGGATCTGAAGCTGAAGCTGCGTTTTGACGTACTCGAACGGAAAGGTGGCGAAGTTCTCGAGCGTGCCCGCAATGGCGGCGGCGGCGACGGGGAAGCGCTTGTGCTCGGTGGTCATTATGTGTATACTAGTGGGGGACTGCGGACCCGCCTCTGTTGTTCGGGCAGTGAGAGACGCAGGATCTGCAAGCCAAACTGCGCATTTTCATTTTACTCTCGTGAGCTGTGAACAGACGCACTTGCCTTCGGGGGCAAGTACCCAAATCCGCTAGGTTGGGCGTGCTTTCACAGCCTCCCGAGAGTAATTTTCATTTTGGTTTAGGGTTGTCGGAGATCATCCATCAGCACTCATAAGTCAGTCAAAGCAGTCGTGGCACGTGAGCAGAGTCGCTGCATGCAACGACTGACTTATCGCGCAAACACGATCGGCCATCGCACCCACCGCAAACACCTCGCCGCACAGATGGGGGGAGGCATAATCCCACACACACCGGAGCAGCGCAGACACCTTACACGTCAGCGCTCGCTCGATGTGGCCGGCGCTCTCCCCTCTCCTATCGCCTTTTCAACGGCGGCGTGCGGCCACGCGCCGCGCCGAGCCGGTCTCGGCGGGAGACCTCGGAGCCGCACGCGATGCGGGCATGCGCGATGGATGGCTCCGTTGGCTCCGTGCCTAAGGCAGATAGATTAGGGTGTGAGCTGCGGCAGCCACCGTTTCTGTACCTCGATCACGTGCAGGCCGTCGGAGGCCGCGCTGGATGGCCCAGGGCCGGCGGCGGTGAAGGCGTCCGTCGATGAAGGGATGTCCTCGAGGGAGCCATCGTCCTACGCGGCTGGTGCACCGGTCCAGTTGTCGGAGTTCGAGATCGCCGTCGACTTGGAGAGTTCGGCCCGTTGACGAACTCACGGAATGTGAGCGACTTGGTGCACGCTGATAGTCGAGCATCATGGCTCGCACCTCATCCTGAGCGCAAGGAAGGAACTCGCCCAGGGGCCAGCTGTTGGCGTCGCCGTTTTGATCGAGCTGCATCCACTGCATGGTTTCGTAGTCAAGCGTAAACGCCCAGGAGTTGGTGCCTGGAGGTGACTTGCTGATGAGAGCGCCTTCCAGGCGGGTAGTCGTGCCCCTCACCTAAGGTCATACGGCGGCGTCAGGGGGGGGGAAGGGGCGCGAAGCGTGAACATGGAGGCAAGCAGGTGGTGGCTGCACCTGGCCAAAGCCGGCGACCAAAGTTGTCGTAGGTTGTGCGGGTATCGCTGAGCGTGAGAGGGACTGGATCGTTATGTGTATACATGCGCTTTTCTTCTTTTCAATTTCATGAAGAGGTGGCGAAACCTGTCCGAGGAGGCCACCGGCCAAAAGCGCATGTCTTGAAGGTCCGATACTGGAAGCCCATATAGGCACCTTACAAAACCCAAAGCATTCAGGTGTATTCTTTTTTTGCTTGGCCGTACGTCATGCCGGGGTAGGTACTGAGGGAGGGTGTAGAGGATGTAGAGTGTAGAGCGCTGTAGAGCTGTAGAGATGTAGAGCGCTCTGGAGCGCTGTAGAGCGCTGTAGAGCTGTAGAGCTCTACATCCGCCGCGGGACGAACTGCGTGCGTTGTAGAGCGATGTAGAGGCGCTCTACAACGTGAAATCTCTACAACAAACTCTACATCAAAAGCGAACGAGGCACGGTCGCTCTCCGACATGAGGCGCGTTGCACTCGCCAGTGCTGCCCTGGCCTTCTGTCTGCCCGCCCAATGGGTGGGAGGTGCCTCTGCTGCTGTGGCATGCCTCACGGCTGCGACTGGCCGGCGCCTCGGCGCGTCAGCTCGGCTCGGCGTAGCGATAGTGGCCAGCGCAACTCGCTTGGACTCAACGCTCAGCCAGGAGCTCCCGCACACGCTGGCGCGAGGCATGGCGCATGCAACGCGTCTGAATGCTCGCCTCGCCTTGCGCAAATGCGACCGTCCTCGCCGCCGACAGTCCACCGCCTGCTAAAGAAGCACAGCGACGAATGCGGGCACCGGCGACGCATGGCAGGCTGGTGATGACGCAGTTATGGGGTGTTGTGTGCCATCAGAGTGACTCTCTGTGTGTCAGGGATAGTCAGGGCCGTCCATCAGAGCTCCAGTAAGCTCGGAGACACCCCATTAGTGCGACTCGACCTCTTTGAGTCACTGCCTTCCCGGCGGGTTGGCTGTAGAGCCTCTACAACAACGCCGTGCAAAGCTCGCTTCCGAGCTCTCACGCCGCGCGTAGGGCCCTTAGGGGCCTAGAGAACACAACCTCCCCTCTCTTTTCTCCCAGTAAGCTATAAGTACGTACAACAAACTCTACAACAAAATCGCGCTCTACATCGCTCTACAACGCACGCAGTTCGTCCCGTGCCCGATGTAGAGCTCTACAGCTCTACAGCGCTCCAGAGCGCTCTACATCTCTACAGCTCTACAGCGCTCTACACTCTACATCCTCTACACCCTCCCTCAGGGTAGGTAGGGTAGGTCTGGGCCCTCCCGTCGGGTTTTTCCCTCTCTTCACGCTGGAATTTTCACAGCAGAAAAAGAAATTTTCCGCGAAAATCACGATGTCAACCCTCCCCAAATGGGTGATCTGGTGCTTGTACGTACGTACTTATAGCTTACTGGGAGAAAAGAGAGAGGGGGTTGTGTTCTCTAGGCCCCTAAGGGCCCTACGCGCGGCGTGAGAGCTCGGAAGCGAGCTTTGCACGGCGATCGAGGATGGCACGGTTCACCCCCTTCACCGAAGCGATGGAGATGCGTTCCGCGTGGTGTGACACAAATGAGAGGCGGGAGTGGGGAGGGTACGCGGTGCTCTCTGCTTGTAGGGCTTGAGAGTGGCCTGCCATGTCACAGGAAGGACTGTGGTTGCAGGAGAGTACCACCAACCATCACTTTAGTTGGTATGGTACCCCACCTTCACCCATCGAGTGATTTATTTTTTAGTTTCCCATAAGTAGGGTAGGTAGGTAGGTAGGTAGGCAGGGGCAAAACAGGTCAAACTCCAAGCAAAAAAAGAATACACGGCGCGCATTGGCCGTTTCTAAGGCCACCTCTGCCTCGATCGCCGGCCTCCGAACCGCTCGCTCCCCACGAACCCAAGAACGCAATGTCCGACGATGAAGAAGAGCTCGTCGATCTGCCGGACTTTGCCAACGCGGCCAACCGCGCGCTCTACGCCGATCTCAAGGACGCGGAGCGGGCGCTCGCTGCGACCGAGGAGGAGCTGGCCGAGACGGGCGAGCGAGTGTCTGTGATGGAGGGTCACCTTGGCTCGGTGGTGGCGGAGCGGCAGAACACGCAGCGGCTGGTGGATGCCAAGGCAAAGGAGGTCGAGACCGAAGACCACCTCAAGCAGCTCGCCGATAGGGAGCTCGGCCGCTTCAGCTCGGAGCTCTCAAAGCTGCAGCGCGAGTGCGCGGATCTGACAGACAAGGCGCCGCGCTCGCCCACCCTGTGCTCACACAGCCAGCGCGGTCGTCGCCACCCCGCCCCAGAGAGTCGCGCGCACCCGCGATCCGCTGCTCGCGGCGGAGGTGGTGGCAGGAGGCGGCGGTGCGGGATGGGGATGGGGGAGCACTCCGCTGAGCGGCGGCGGCGCCTGCCCGCGGCGCAGGCGACGGCGGCGCAGACTCAGATCTTCAAGGGGAACGAGCGGATGGACGCCTTCAAGCTCCAGATGAACTGGAAGCAAGAGGCGCACCACGCACCCGAGCCCGCCGCGCCGCGCCGCCCCGCTCGCCGACGCCTTCCGTCTCCGAAGGCGCCCGCCGCCGCTCTCGCCCCTCGCACCTCCCGCCCCGCCCGCCCCTCGGCGTGCAGGAGCTCGAGCAGTGGGCGCTCGCGGCGCGCCAGAAAGAGGAGGACAACCTCGCCATGCTCAAGTACGCAAAGGCGCGCATGTGTCGCCTCGAGGGAGAGGAGGAGGGGAGAGGCTGAGGAGGAGGGGAGAGGCGCAGCGTTGCGGGAGGGCGGGCCGCCCACCTCCTCCCCTCTCTGGCGTCAGGCGGACGAGTCGCGCCTCAAGTCGCTCAACCTGCAGCTCGAAAAGACGCTGGCGCAGGCGCGGGCGGCCCTCGGAGCCGACTCCCGCCGGGAGCCGCCCCCTCTCGAGCCTTCCCCTCCGGCGACGCGTGCCCGCAGGTGGCGGAGCGGCAGGCGGAGCTGGAGGCGGAGGTGACCAAGACGTCGGTGCAGCAAGTCGAGCTCGACCGCACCGCCGACGACTACCGCGCGCTGCAGCGCGAGCGGCGCGGCCTTCTCCTCCAGAGCCGCTCCGGCGCGACAGCCTCGCCTCACCCCTCCCCCCCCCCCCCCCGCCCCGCGGTGACTGGCCAGGCGAGAGCTGGTCGAGCAGTGGGAGATGTCGGTCGCGGCGATGCAGAAGCGCGACGAGGCGCGCACGCGCACGCGCAGCACTCACCGCGCTTCCCACGCACCTCTGCCCCACTCCCTCGGCCCTTCCTAGACCCTCCCTAGACCCCTAAAGCACCTCGGACGGCGCCTCGCGCCCTCGCAGGACATCTCCCGCGCGCACGAGGAGTACGCGTCCGCCAAGCGCGAGCTCGAGGCGCAGCAGGATGCGCTCGCGCAAAAGGAGAGCGAGCTCGAGGCGCGGCAGAAGAGCAACGCGGACCTGCGCCACGGCGCGGCAGCCTAGGCTCATCACATCTCTCATCACACCTCTCCAGACCACCACGTCCGAGAGACCAGCACGTCCACGTCTGCGCTTGCCGAGAGACGGCGCCGCGCGCGAGCAGAGGCGCAGGCGGGTGCGAACCTTCGCGGAGCCTTCCTGCAGGCATCGCCTCTGCGGAGCGCGCGGTCGGCCGCCGGCGCGAGGAGCAGCGCGCCGCTGCGGAGGCGACGGAGAGCGTGCAGGAGCAGGTGGCCCAGGCGCGCGTCGCGATGGGCGAGGCGGCCGCGGAGCGGGTGGTTCGCAGCCCCCTCTGAGCCCTCCGCTGAGCCCTCTCCGAGCGCGCTGCTGTAGGCGGCCGCGGAGAGGGACAGGCGGCGCGCGCAGATCCGAGGCGCGGAGGAGAGCCTCGAGGAGCGCCGGGCGGCGCTCGAGGCTGCAAAGGCCAAGCTAGCGGCGGCGGAGGAGGCTGCGAGCCGCTCGAGCGACAACCTCGGCTCGCTCGAGGCGCCCCGGGCCTTCCTAGACCCTCCCTCGCCCTGCCCAGACCCTCCCTCGCCCTGCCCAGTCCCCTCCCTCGCCCTGCCAAGACTCCTCCCAGACCCAGGCTCGCTCGAGGCGCCCCACCCACGCCTCCCCCGCGGGAGGCCTCCCCCGCCCCGGGGAGGCACGGCTGACGGCCGCCCCCCCCTCGCGGCGAGCAGGCGGCCTCCAGGCAGATGGACGAGCTCCACGCCCGGGAGGGGGCGCGGCTCAAGGAGCGCGCAAAGGCGGCTGGCGCGCTGCGGGAGGCGCTGTACGCGGAGACGGCGCGGCTCCAAGCGGCGAGGCAGGAAAAGGGAAGGTTCCCCCCCCAAATTGGGGGGGAAAAGGGGGTTTTTTCCAACCCCCGGTGAAGGAGGGGGGGGACCGGGTTGGGGAAAAAACTCCCCCCTCCCCCCCCCCCTGGGGGTGTGGGGGAACAGGTCCCGGGGGGGGCACCTCCCCGAAAAGGCCCCCCGCCAAAGGGAGGGGCGAATTTGGCCTTTGGCCCCCCCCCCCCCCCCCCCCCCCCCGTTTTCTGCAGAGTCGCGACCGGTGGCGCCGCCTCACCGCCGCGGCTGTCCACAGGTGCTCTACACCGCCGACTTCCAGCTGCAGCTCATGCAGCGGAAGGCGCCCGCGCACAAGCGCCCTCCCTCGGTCCCGTCCCCCGGCTCGGTGCCTCCACCCACCCCACCGCCACCCACCGCCACCCGACCAGGTTGCGCGCGCCACCGGCGTCCGCTCCGCAGAGGAGCAGACCGAGCTCAAGTCCCAGATCGCTACGCTGCAGAGGCAGCTCGAGCAGCAGGGCGCGACGGCGCGCGACGCCCGCCGGGCGTCCCCGCCCGCCCCGCCCGCGCGCCCCCCCTCATCCGCGCCCGCCCGCGCCTCGCGCAGGCGCGCATGCTCAGCGAGCAGGAGAAGCGGCTGTCCAACGAGCTGAAGCGCGCGCGGAGGCGGGAGGAGGAGGTGTCGCGAGCGGTGGCCGCCGCCTGCCTCGGCCGGCGCAGCGCGCGTGAGCCGCGCCGCCCGCTCGCTCCGACGCAGGTGACGACGGAAGAGGCGCGGCTGCGGGCGGCGATCGACGCGGTCGAGGTCGACAACACGCTCGCGCAGAAGCAGATCAAGAAGGAGGCGCAGCAGCGGCAGGAGGCGACGGTGGCGGCCGACCTGCTGCGGCTCGAGGTCAAGAAGCTGCGCGAGGCGCTGCACGGCCGGACGGACGGCGTCTTCGGGCTCGAGAACCGCAAGAGCCAGCTGCAGCTCTCGATGGCGGAGCGGCAGGAGGAGATCAAGGTGCACACCGACGTGCTGCGCGCGCAGCTCAAGGCGGCGGAGGACGAGCGCTCCCGCGCCAAGAAGGCGCGCGCCGCCGGTCGCAGGCTCGGCTCGATCTCGGCTGGCTCGAGAGCACCTTCCCGCACCGGCCCGCCCCCCTCACAGGCGCTGACGGAGCGGCTGCTGCGTGTCGACCGGCTCTCGGCCAAGAGCGCCAACCTCGAGGGCAAGCCCGGCGCCATAGATGCCAGACTGTCCACGCCGGCTCTCGCACACACGGCTGCGTCGAGGCTGGCGCCACCGTGTGTGTGCGCGGACCTGACCGCCCCGTTCCCTGTCGGCAGGCTCGGGACCGACGAGGACGGCGCGCCGCAGTCGCAGGCGCACCTCGTCATCAAGGCTGTACCTCGGCCGTGTCTCGGCTGTGTCTCGGCTGTATCTCGGCTGTCTCTCGGCAGGCGTACCTCGTCATCAAGGCGGCGCAGGAGCGAGACGAGCTGCAGCGGCAGGGCGACGAGCTCGACGCCAAGATTCAAACGGCGGAGCGCGAGGTTGTCTCGCTCGACAAGGCGCCGAGACGCGGGAGGGGCAGGGGGCGCGCGGGAGGAGCGGGTCCCCACACCGAGGGCCCGACCCAAACCACCGCAGGCGCTGCGCCATCTCGTCGACAAGAATGCTGCGTACAAGGCGGCGCTCGCGCCCGCAGGCCCGCGCACGCCTCTCGCGGAGCAGCGCGCGCTGCTCGAGGAGCAGCACCGCGCTGCGCTCGCGCGGTGACGGCTGTAGCAGCCGAGAGAGCCCGCCGTAGCAGCTCTGGCGCCACTCTGCGCTGCGCCCTTCGCCACCCCCTCCCACCCGCGCCTCCGCCCGCACGCGCGGGGGCGGCTGCGGAGGCGAGCTCGTCGCTCAAAGGGGCCACGCGTGACACGCCCCATCGCGCATCACGGCAACTGCTCCCTCCCAACTGCTCCCTCCCATCCTCCGCCCGCCGCCTGCTGCAGGTGCCGCGCGCACAAGGTGCAGCAGTCCGAGGTGGAGGAGGAGATCGGTCAGATGGGAGTGACGCTCGACGAGCTCGCCGACGTGAGCGGCGCGCAGAGGCAGCACTACGAGCGGCTCGCCGACGCGTCGCGCTCGATCGGCGCCACCCTACAGGAGCGCCGCGGCGAGCTGCAGAGGGTAGCCAGCGAGCTGTCGTCGCTGCTCGACGCGCACCGCGAGAGCGCGGCGGCCTCGGGCGTGCAGGGCGCCACCGCACTAGAGCGCGAGGCGGCGCTGTCCGAGCGGCTCGTCGCCAACCGCACCACCCTCGAGCGGCTCGCGGCCCTCTCGGCGGAGGACGCCTCATTTGGCCCCGCGCTGGAGTCGCTGTGCGCACAGGCTGGCGTCCCGCCCCCGGACGCGCTGCCCGGAGACGAGTGAGCGGCGCAAGTAAAGCGCGCGGCAGTGAGCACGATTGGATTTTATAATCAGATATTCCCATCTATAAACCACGGCAGCTCGGGGCCATTGGCGCGCGCACCCTGGGACAAGAGATGACATGAGAAATCTCACTGCGGTCACTGGTGTATCTATGCTATATGCGTATCGCGCCGCGCGGTCACACCGCACCGGTCTGGCGCGAGCCTGTGCGGCCCAGGATATTCTTTTCTTTTACCAGGCCCCTCACCTCTGTCTGTGACAAGTCGAGGCCGCGCGCTGCCCAGTCCGCGAGCACGTCGTCGTAGTCCTGCTGCGAGGGCACGTAATGCCCCGAGTGGGGCGTGATGACGGCGACGCGGCCCGCCTCGACCCGGAGCGAGCCGGCGAACTTGACGGCGTGGCCGCGAGAGAGGCTCGAGTGGTGGCACACGCCCCTCACCTGCATCGCACAGGGGAGTGGAGGTTGGTGTCGGTGCGCGGGCGGGCGCGGGGGTGGGCGGGCGAGTGCAAGCGCCACCTTGTCGGCGCAAAAGATGCGCCCAAAGTGGTCGACAACGAAGATTCCGAGCGTGCCCTTGCCGCGCAGCCGCTTGTCGGCGGTGGCCAGCGGGGCTTTGTGCATCGCCCTCCCCTCCTCGTGGTCCACGGCCGCCACGATGTCGCTCCAGGACGTGCCGGGCAGCAGCGCCGTCGGCAGAGCGTAGCAAGCCGCATCGGCGCCCATGCCGTCCAGCGCCGCCCCGCTGTCCCGCGAGTCGGCGCCGCCCTGCGCCCTACCGCCCTGCCCCGCCGCCGCCGAAGTGCGCGCCGCATACGAGCACCCGCGGCTCTCCTCGCGGCCCCTCGCGCCGACGGCGAGGAGCACGGTGCTTTGGGTGCACCGGAACGCCTCCCACTTGTGCAGCCGGTCGTCGTCGTCGTCGCCGCCGTGCTCCGCCGCGGAGAGGCGGGCGTGGAAGTACGGGTCCCGCAGCTGCCGGAGCAGGCCTACAGCGGGGCCCGCGACGGCTGCGCTGGGAGGGCGTGGGGCAGCGCCTCACGCGCGAAGGGAGCGGCCCTCGCGGACTAGCGGCGCGAGGAGGGCCGCGGCGTCGGCGGGCGCCTCCTCGCCCCTCGAGAGCGCCTCCTCCGCGCGTGCCCTCAGCCCGGCGAGCAGCGCCTCCCTCTCGCGCGAGAGGGAGAGCCCCTCCTCGAGGAGAGCTCGCACCGCCCCCTGCCGCGCCGTGCCGCCGGGCTGCTCCCACGGCGTGGGCAGCGTGACCGGGAGGCCGTCTGCGCCCCAGACCAGCCGGCCGGCTCGGTCAACGCGCGCCTCAAACAGCTCGAGCTCCTTGCGGTGGCAGTAGAGCACGCGGCCCTCCTCGAGGAAGCGGCGCGGCATCTGCGGCAGGTCGATGAGCGAGCCGCGGCCGCGGTCGAGCCTGGCACAACGGAGAGCAACCAGTGGGGTAGTGTTCCATTGTCGGGAGCATCGGGAGCAGAGTGTGTCGACAAAGGTCCGGCGCACCATTTGAAAAAGTTAAGCTCGGTCCGCGAGAGCTCCCACCGCTGCCAGTACGGGTAGAGCAGCGATCCGTACCTGTGCCGCTCGTCGAGCGCCTCGAGCCACAGCTTTGGAGTCATGCCTAGCACCTCCGAGTCGCGGTGTCGCACCCGCTCCTGCGCCCGCTGCCGCGCCTTCTCCGCCATCCGCAAGAGCTGCGACATGCCGTCGTCATCGGTGCTCGTCGAGCGGCCGTGAGCTGCGGCGTGAACTGCAGTGGAAGAAGCTGCTGCTGCCACCGCCGCCGCGGCTGCAGCGGCAACGGCGACGGCGATGTAGCGGTGGCTCGCGCCCGCCGCCACAGCTGCAGCCGCGGCGAGCAGCGTCGCCGCTGAGGCGACGAGTTTGCTGTTGTGGCCCATGCGTTTGTGGGAGTTGTGAGCTGTGCGTTGCGGCCGACGGTTGTGAGCTGTGCGTTGCGGCCGACGGCCGCGGTGGAGGTGAGAGCGTGCGTTGCGTTGTGCGGCCGACGGCCGCGGGTTTTTGAAGAAGAAAATTGGCAGCACCGCTCTCTCTCTCTCTCTCTCTCTCTCTCTCTCTCTCTCTCTCTCTCTCTCTCTCTCTCTCTCTCTCTCTCTCTCTCTCTCTCTCTCTCTCTCTCTCTCTCTCTCTCTCTCTCTCTCTCTCTCTCTCTCTCTCTCTCTCTCTCTCTCTCTCTCTCTCCCCCTTCACCCTCTCCCTCCCTCTCCTCTCCCCCTCTCTCTCTCGCTCTCTCTCTCCCTCTCCTCTCCCCCTCTCTTCTCTAAGCGGGTCATCGCAGGAGTGACGATGCCACGTTTGCGGGTTCCCACAAGGAGGCAGAAGTGCTCTGCACGCCGCGACGCCGGCCACCCCAGAAGGGCTCGCTTGTTGACAGCTTTTTCGTGTGAGTCATGGGCCGCTGTGACCAGCTGCGCACGCTATGCTGCACGGTGGAAGGTGCGGCCCTCCCCGCTGCACGCGCGCACGCTCTCAATCGCCCACCTCCGCGCGCGGCGGCGCGCCCGCGGTCGTGAACGTCCCGCACCCCGCGGCAGGCCTGAGGAAGCTGAAGAAGGCCTTCACCATGATTGTCGGCACCGCCTTCATCACGGTCGCAGTCCTGTCCCTCGTCAATATTCTCGGCAACGTTTTCAACTTTGTCAACTTTGTCCGGATGGCGCGCCGCCCGCCGCCCCGCCGTCCCGCTGCGCACGGAGGAGGTCAGCCAACCGCGCCGCACTGCTGTCGCAGGTGTGGAACATCATATTCGGCGTTCTCATGCTGATGCTCCAGTTCGGTAAAACCGAGTGGCTGATCCATCGGTTCGGCTTCATGGGGCACTGGGTCGGCCGGGCGCTCTTCTTCTTGTTTTGCGGCACAAACATCCTGGTCGTCGATGACAGCTCCACTTGTTTTATCTGCTTCATCTCGTGGGTCATTGGCGGCATGTGCATGTTCGTCGGCATTCTCGAGATTGTCTTTGGATGCCGCTGCGAGGCGCGCGCCCCCTCCCCCTCAAGCCGCCCCTCCCGCGAGAGACGGCTGCGGCACACGTGCACACACACGTGCCCCGACGTCCAGCGGCGGCTTGCTGGGTCCCTCCCGCCCTCCCGCCGTCGCTGCCGCTGCCACCCGCGTCCTCTGCCCTCCGGCCCGCCCCTCCCCTCCCTCGCCCTGACGCGCTGCCCCGCCGCCCGCAGGGAGAGAACCTCTCGCGCAACACGAGCAGCCAGCAGGGAGGGCAGTACGCAGGCCAGAACGCAGCGATGCCTCCCGCCGACCAGCAGCAGCAGCAGCCGCCCGCGGCGAAGAAGAAGAGCGGCTTCTCGAGCGTCTTCAGCAGCGGCGGCAGCGGCGGCGGCAGCGGCGGCAGCGGCGGCAGCGGCGCAGCCATCAACCCCGCGCTGGAGCGGGCACGCAGCGCGAACGCGGAGCGCACAGCCACAGGCGGCGGTGCGAGCTCGGAGCCGTCCTTCCAAGTCACGGTGGGCGCCCCGGCGGCGAGCGGCGGCTCCGACAACCCCTTCTTCGGGAACGCGCACCTCTCCACCTGAGGTCCGCTTCCCCTCCGTGCCTCGGGGCGGCTCGCTTCTTCCGCCTGTGCCACACCGCCAGCAGCCTCTTGCTCGCCTCGCCTGAGCTGCGACCAGCCGGGAGGGAGAGGGGCCGCGGCAGAGCCAGGTGTGGCGAGCGGGCGCCGCCTCGTATCCCAGTAGTCTTTGTGTTCATTGGGTGGTGGGTGGGGGCGCAGGATACACGCCGCGTGAGAGGGCACGGTCACGAACAGCCGAATCAGCCGCGCGGGACCCCCCGCCTAAGCCTCCACCTCACGTCTCAGCGTGAGCGCAAGTGATGTCATAGAAACATGTGCTCACACAGTCAGCTGCGTTCATACAACATTTTTTGCGCTACCGCAACAACACGCAAAGGCTAGTTCCATTTCACTGTGGCACAGCTCGCGTTACAAAACCTTGATTTTGACCATTGCGCGAAAAAGGTACCTCTCGGTGCCTTCCAGAGGCAGCTGCGACCCCGCCGAGTAGACGGCGTCACACAGCAGGTGGCGCGGTGTGACGCCGTCCACTCGGCTGGGTCGCAGCTGCCTCTGCGCGTCCTGGGGATGTACCTTTGTCGCGCGCCGGAGACGACTCGACGCCGCTGAGATCGGAGATCAAGCTCTGACAGGTCGCACGTCGCTCCTTTGACGCCGACGTGACTCACCCGTGCAGATCACATCAGGACACGGTCTCGACGCGCTCGGTACGACGCCTGCGACCCGTCTCGGGTCAGGTGGCACGACGCTCATCGCGCCTACCAGCGCTGCCGTACAGGTTGCCACGACGAGGTCGAGCACGCTTCTATACGCTCGCCGAGCCTTCCTTTCCATCCCATTTGGCAGCCTGGGAACGGTGGCGGTCAGAGGCAAAGCATACGAGGGGTGGTGGAACCACATGTCACGGCTACTGCCGGCTCGACCCCACGATAGCCTCCGGAGGCTGACTTTGAGGCACAATCATCGGACGACGTCGGCGAGTTGAGTCGCGCTCGCGGTAGCCAGATGACCTCTCATACTAGTATCATCGGCCATGGCCGCAGGAAGCGCGGGGGAGGGCGCTGGGAGCAACACGGAGCTCCGTTGGACGTTTTCAAGATTAGCGTGTCAGAGTGAAATGGAACTAGCCAAAATACGTCGTTGTGAGCGGACGCGACCCCCACAGGTCGCCGCAGGTGCAGCGGCCAGCGCGCGCGGCGAGACGAGAGTCCGGTCGAGAGAGACCTCTGCGGAGGGTGCGGCGGGGTTGGAGACGTTTTCTCAAGATTTAGATTAGCGCGGTGTCAGAGAGTGAAATGGAACTAGCCAGGGCGGCCAGGCAGCGGCCAGCGAGACGAGAAAGAGACCTCTGCGGTGCGGCGGGGTCAGAGTGCGCCCGGCCACACACATACATTTTGCCGCCGCGGCGCAAGCGGCCCCTCCGCGATCCGCCATCTCTGCTCGCTGGGGCGTATCCTGCTCTCCAAAGACGCAGATATAGATCTCCGGAGGACAGAGACGCCACTCGTGAACGCTGCCAGCCAGCAGCGTCACAGCCGGTACCTCTCCTTGTAGTACTGCTGCTCCGCCACCATCTTCTTCTCCACCTTGGTCGCGATGCGGTCGTGGTTGGCGTGGATGCGGCCTATAGTGCGCGAGTCGTGGGACAGATCGCGGCACGGTGGCTCGGCCGGGGGGGGGGGGGGGGGGGGGGGCTCCGGGAAACGCCCCCCCACAAAGGGTCCCACAGGGAACCCCTCTTTTGACGGGAAGGGGCTAAAAAAACCCCTTTGTCGCCCCCCCCCCAAAGGGGCCCCGGCCCCCATTTTGGGGCCCCGCGGGGGCCCAGGGGGGGGGGGGGTCCCACCCCCCCCCCCGGCGGGTCAAGGGGGCCCCCCCCGGGGGGGCCCCTGCGGGGCCCCCGGGCCCCCGGCCGCGGTTTAATTTTTAAATAAAAAAAAAATACCCCCCGCGGGGGCCCCGGGGCCCCAACCGCAATTTTTAACCCGGCGATTATCTCCTCCGGGAGGAACCCCCAAGCCGGGGGGAACGGGGAAAGGGGACAGGTTTTTTTTTTTTTT